GAATAACAATATAATCATTATCTATGTTGGTCAACGTTTGTGCAAAAAAATGGTCCTTCATTGTCACGTGTATATAATATATTTTCGCCAAATCCACCAATAATAATTTTTAAAGGACATTGGCAATAAAAAAAAGTAGTTTAGTTCATTTGAAAGAACTCTTCAAATTATATACTAAACTCTATTACATTATATCTTGCTTAGTTTTTAAACGATTGAAGTGGGCTGTTCGCCATCTTGTACTGTAATAATTGAGGATATGCATGTTACATCAAGAAAGGGGTCACGTTTAATCTTGAGAGTAAGCAATCAATATGGGTCCAAAACGTCGTTTCTGGTTGCTGTCTGAAATCTAGAAATGATTCAAAACATTTCAAAAAATTTGGAATGTTACCCGGTCATTTTAGAGTAGTTTTTTATGGTTAACCCAACTCCTGACGTCATCAAAGCCATAGTTAATGAGGTCAAGAATTTGTCCAAGATGGCGGACACCTCATTAATTTCGGTCTAAATATTTCGAGAATTAAGCAAGATATGACAAATCGGTAATGGACTTTAATATATAATTTTAAGAGTTCTTTTGAATGAGACAAACTTATTTTTTACTGCCAATGTCCTTTAAGTATACGTTGCCCAATTGTTCAAGTCACGGGTAGCTAAGAAACTTTCCTAAAACATTGTTATTGGTTGCCGCCCGTTGGTTGGGCAAAAACACAATACGCACGTGACAATAGTCCCGTTTACACTTGCAATTTTTGCTGCGATTTCTAGTGCGATTTTCTTCTTCTGATGGATGTGAACGAGTAAATAAGTTATGAATTGTCTGAGTACATGCATGTATATATACCCTCATGCAAACAGTTATAACTCATTTACTCGTTCACATACATCAGGAGACAAAAATCGCAGCAAAAATTTCAAGTGTAAAATGGGTCTAATATAATGGACCACGTTTCAGAATAAACCTAAAAAACATAGATAACTAGAGGGCACTCAGAGACTGCATACCTCCGCCCGCATTGAATTTCAGTCGTGTGAAATGCAACGAAGACAATAGATAATGAAGGCTGAAGCTTAATGAGGTTTATCATCTCATTATTGTCTTAGTACTGCGTGCATACATTATACACGTCCTAAATACGTATTCAGTGAGTTTTTTTTTAATTGACCGGGAAAAGCAAGACAAAATTTTGTTCATTTCTCGTTCAATTTTTAACCAAATTCAACCAAATTTTAATCAGTTCTTCCTTAGCCGATGGGAAATGCATTCAAAAAATTTCGTATGAATATGTTTGGTATTTCTTGAGTTATCGTGCTCACAGACAAACACACATACATACACACACACATACACACACATATACACACACATACAAACCCAGATGATTACATAACCTCCTGGCGGAGGTAATGAGTTATATTGTAATTCTAACGAGTTTCCAACCTATCTCTTCTATTAACTATGTCTATGAAAAAATAAACGGTATGAATAAGCTATTAACTGTGGAATAAGTAAATGGTTGTTGCACAAACATCACTATAGACAATAATTTGGCTAACGTTGTTTACACTGATCGTTGCTACCCAATTCAGAACATTAGATAAGTCATGCACATGCCTATAGTTACTATTATGGAACATTTGAAAAAGGCAAATTCAGGATCCGAGCAACATTAAACACTTTTTCAAGGTCTGGTTTACAGAAGCGTATAGAATAGTACAAAAGTAACTAAGCATTAGAGTTATGTCTAAAGCCCTGGGCAAACTAGGAAACATTGTTGTGGAAACATTTGTGATTCTCGATGTTTCCCTGTTTGCCCACCCGTGGAAACATTGTTGCGGAAACAAAATTTGCTTCCCAAGAAGCAAAGTTGTTTCATAGCGAATTCACTAATGTTTCCTAGTGTTTACCCACTCTGGGAAACATGGCGAAACGTTGGTAGGAAACAATGTTTCCGCAACAATGTTTCCTAGTTTGCCCAGGGCTTACTCGAGTTACTCTTAAGAGTTGCTCTTTTAATTTTGAATACTATAGGAGTTATCTAAAATTGTACGTGTAAATTGTGTATGAACAAACGTTAGCCAAATTAAATTTTAGTTCTATGAGCTAGGTAATGCCGATTGTTCTTACCCCCACGTACACTCTAAAAACACTCTGGTTAAATTCAACCAGGAATTGGGTTAATAATCCACCCAACACATTCTGGTTAAATTTAACCCATTTCCTGGTTAAAAATGATCAATTCAACAAAAATTTGGTACACTTTTTTGGACTTTTAACCAGGAAAATGGTTAATTTTTTTTAACCAGACTTGTGTAGGTGGATTTTTAACCCCGTACTGGTTGAATTAACCCAAATTTAACCAGAGTGTTTTTAGAGTGTATGGTTAACCATTCAGGCCTGGAACACGTAGTTTAGCAGAATATACGAGTAGCTGTACTGCAAATCCACCGCCAGATATTCCTTTAGATGACACCAAGTCGTTTTCAATCCCATCATTGATAGCGTTGTATCCGTTGCACACATCACGATACGAATAATCAAACTTGTAATAAGCAATGATGTTTTTGCTGCAGCCCTCTCCTCCTGCATACAAGTTGAATATGATAAAATAGTCAGGGGCGAAACTAGCTCCTTTTAATTAGGGGGTGCCTGCTAGAATTGCCCTGCAAAAGCCGATGATGCCCTGCAGCGTTTTTTTTTACCACTATTTTTCCAAAAAATGTTGTTGGCGGAAGTTTAAAAATTTTTTTCCGGACATTCAAAAAAAGGGTCGAAAAAATTTTCCCAGACATAAACCAGTTAAATTAAGTGTCAACAAATTTTTTCCGTAAAAATTCCTGTTAAAACATGCATGAAACCCTTATTTTTGGACCAATATCTGTACAATTTAGGTCTATAAATTCTATTCAATTCCCTCTGGAAGCCCTGTAAGTTACTTAATAACTCTACATTCTATCATTTAAAATCTTTGATTGCCCTGCCAATCCAGATGACTCGCCCTGCCAATCCAGATGATTCGTACTTTTTTTTTGGGGGTGGGGGGGTGTCACCCCTTTGTTACCGCAATCGCATGGCCGCCGGTTCGATTCCTGCCAGAAGGTCTATAGTTGCAATGTTGCATTTTTCGCAACTGCTCGTGGTTATGGGTCTAATAACTGTACTAGTGACGGGCGATACCGAGTACTCGGTATTCGATACCAGCGATACCACAAACAGCGGTGTCGGTATCGATTACTGACGTGGTATCGTTCGATACTTGCATCCTTTTTTAAATGACTTGTTTAATTTCACTTCTTGGTAATGGACCATTTGCATTATAGACTAAATTTTGATCTAGACAAAAATTTCATCACCGCTTGAAAGAGCATCACAAAATTAGTAATATTCCCAAGTTTCGTTGCGAAATGTTGTAAAATGCGGATAATATGGCGTTTCGAAATTTGCAATTTTCAGTCATTTTGTATTACAAACGGGAAATTGATGCCCCAACACCCGATTGGGCTGTCAATTTCCCGTGCGTAATACAAAATGACTGAAAAACAGCAAACTTTGCATGGCTATATTATCCGCATTTTACAACATTTTGCAACGAAACTTTGGAATATTACTAATTTTGTGATGCTCTTTCAAGCTGTGATGAAATTTTTGTCTAGATCAAAATTTAGTCTATAATGCAAATGGTCCATTGAATAAGACTTAATGAACCACTAAAATAAGTCTTAATATTCCAAATGTGGTGCGCCAAGTCATGTATAGAAAATTTTTATTACGTTTCAGGCTTTTGGTTTACATATAGCTTTGTTTAGGTTACATACAGTAATGTAAAATGTTTTTCCGCTGACCGACAGGTATCGAAAGTAGGCGATACTAGCAATTTAAGTACTCACTTCCGGTATCGAAAATTGAAATTTTGTGTTCATTTTGGTATCGAAATAGGCATCGGTTCGGCCGATAGCGATCTTAAAAGTATCGGTATCGAATTAAAAATCCTGGTATCGTCCATCACTAAACTGTACAAACCCCTTCAACAATTAGTTCTATATCGAGTGAGATGCCCAGAATCCTGATATTTAAGTACATATGTTATCACTGATCTGTAGCCAATATTGATAAATTATTAAAAACAAAGATTTTAGTTGATTTCGCTGTACTGCTTTATTAGCCTGCGTGTACCCGGGGTTCAGAGGTTTTCTGGTGTCAGGCGAGTGTTTTAGGAGGCGACGAGGCGGAGAAAACCTCTGGGCACGACCTGTCAACCTATACAGAATACTGTATTATTAATTATACTGAACACATCACATCTGCATATAAGCGAAATAGGAACCCCCTGACGCAGGGTAGCCCCGACTCGCATTTACAAATTTTGTCGCGTGAACATAGCAAATGCATCCTGGAACATACTGTCATGACCGATCAAATAGATATTATGTTTATGTTGGATTTTTCTTAACTATCACCGGCGCACCACAAACAGGAAGGTTTGGAACTTTGGACAATCATAGACAAATTTCAAAGGTTTGATTACACTCTTTCGATAATTACGTCACAACTACATTGTTTTCAACTTAGGACCATCCTAAATGTAAAGGATTTCAAGTAATTTTTTCTCATGCGCTATGCACAGAGAAGCAGAACATCCTTCTTCAATTCATTTCATCCTCCTTTTTATTTTGACCAATAAATGTGGAAATAAGTTTTAACACGAAAACGAGGCTCCCTCGTTTTCGTGTTAATGCTTATTTCCATAGTTATTGATCAAAATCCAAACTATTTTTCGCGCATGTGTTGAGGAAGGATGTTCTGCTTCTCTGTGCATAGCCCATGAGAAAAAACAACTTGAAATCCTTTCCATTTAAGGAGGCTACCTACAGTTGCGTGCGGGATGTTCGCGGGACCAGTACGTGAATTATCCCACGCAACCGCATGATCAAAACAAAACAAAAATTGACCACGCTTTTTTAAAAATAAAGCTATTTCTGAAAGGTTTCTAATGGAAAAAAGCGTTGAATAATACTTCGTTTTGAGTGCCAAATCACTTCAGCAATTCTACATATGATACGAATATCACTAGACCAGAAAATAGCTACGAAACAATGTTTTTTAATTTTCTTTAAATATACACTGTCAACTGTAAAACATTTGCAAAATTTCATACAAACGTTTAAAAAGTTATTTACTTCTCAAGAAAACGTTCACGTTTTTAGTCGTGTTTCTACAAGATTAAAGTGATAATATGTAAACAGAAAAATATTTCAGTTTCATAGCCTAATTGTTCATTTTTAGCAAAAAGTACAAAACCAAACATGAAACAAAAAAATACGTCCACCTGTTATTAGGCTGTTACAGCTCATAGATTGAGTAAACGGCAGGGTTTAATTAGCTTCAACTTTGTTTTCATCGATTTGATCCTTCACATTAATCCTTGGCTGTCCATGGCACTCAAATAAATCGAAAAGTTGACAAAAACAATACAGTAAAAACAACATTGCGGCTCGATTTTGCTGAATGAAAACTCGTTCTGCGCCCGCGTACAATCTTTTACTAGTCAGCGACGCTTTTCAATAGGGAATTTCTCGAGTTACACGAGGCTATTTTCTAACTTTATTTGCATTTTACTCATTAGTTTCATCGGTGACCTATCTTCAAATTTTGACCACGAATTTATTTTGCGGTAAATTATATAAATTTCAATTTTTAAAAAAATCTGTAGTGTGGAAATTTCGCAATAAAATTTTCGCTTTTAAAAAAATCACACACTACAGAATGTTTTTAAACTTTCACCACAGTTGCAGAGCATCATTCCCTATTGATATATGAAATAAAAAAGATAGGTCACCGACATCGTTTTTGAGATAGCGGCACATTTATGGGTTAAATTGGAAGGTTTTGTGCTGTCGTCATGTTGCCATGGTAACACTGAAGTTGTCGAAATCTAGTTTGAAATTTTCCTTAGGTGACCAATATTGTCACCAAGTCGAAATGAATTCGCGTTCTGCACAAATAAGCCTGTTTTACGGAATTATTGGGTAAACAAGAATAACTGTAGGGAGCCACCTTAAGATGGTCCTAAGTTGAAAACAGTGTAGTTGTGACGTAATTATCGAATGGGTGTATTCACAACTTTAGAGAACTCACATGCCTGGTTACTATTGTTCTAGTTTACAGAAGCATAAAATAAAACAAAAGTAACTAAGCTTTCGAACAGTTTCATTCCTGCTGCGTCTCGTGCTTATAATAATAAGTAAACTTTTAGTTTATTATCGTAATTTTTATCTAATTTACCTATTTTTACTTGTAAATATAGAATAGATTGAATATGTTTGTTCTTATACCTTGTAATTCCAAAGTAATTCAGTTGTTACTGTTAGTTTGGAAATTTTTAATAATAATAATAATAATAATAACAAAATCTTGAACTAGGCATGTGAGTATTCTAAAGTTGTGATTTGGTTAGCAACAAACAACGTTAGCCAAATATGTGTACTATTTTTGACAAGACAAACTCGGCATTTCATTTTTTAGACGACACGGATTTCAAGTTTTAAATATTTCGTGCTACCGCGAAGAGTTTGCGGGATATCAGCTATATTTCCACGCGCGCGTCACGCGACGGCGTAGCACACCAAAGCGCCTGGGTACGAGGCTGTATATAGGTTATTTATAACTTGACTTATAGTCAGGTTATTGAAAATGTATTCTTTGAAAAACTCTTTCTATTCTTTACTGAAACTAATATAGCTTTTCTTTAATAAAGTATTGAACAATTATACTGAAACAAACTAAGACAACTAACAATCTAAATAAGTCAGGGCTTAATTTCATTGTGACATCATTTTTATCACATCAAGAATTCGATGGTATTTAAATTCGATGGTATTTCATTGATTCTATTCTATAGAATGTGTGAGTTGCCAAATGATATTAAAACACTATACTCACAAACCTGAGGTAGCACTTTCAGCCAACATTACGGCAAGCAAGGCAGCCAAAGCAACCATAACTTTCCCCATTTTAAAGCGCGTGGTCAATACTCAGTACACTGATTTTCGTCTTGTGCTGTGCGTTTGATTGCGTGTTGATTTGTTGCGAGATTTTTTGCAAGAATGATTAACGCCGGAGACGGATATAAAAATATGACGATTGGGCACTCACTGCACTTGGCTATCATTCAGTGAAACGGGGAATCCAGGAATAGCCGATCTCAAACTCAATAATTCATGAGTAAATTAGCCAACCATATTGCTTCATTTTGCTCACATGATAATACGGGATACCTGATATGATGAAGTACATTGATCCAGTCCTAGGACTGGATGAAAATTAATTCAATCTTTGGACTGGATAAAAAATAATTAAATAGTGATTTACAGTTCGCATGAGATGTCATTTCAAATCCGACTGTGAGGACTGGACTTGATTGCGGACTTGAAATCTAGTCTGTCCAGTCCTCATTGTCGGATTTGAAATATTACTTGAAACAGCAGAAGGTGGGCCAGCAGCAGGACCAACAGGTAAAACAGGATGACGGCCTATAAGCCCATCAAAAAATGCTTACGAACGAATATAAGCCATTAAGCCCACGGTCGTGGATAAAGGGGATGGACTAGAAGCAGGTTTTCAAGATGGCCGCCAGTTTTTAAGATCATTAAAACGTAAAAGAATCGACAACCAGCCACGTGCAACAATACTAAACCTTATCCTCACCCCACACTAACGCAAACTCGTATTTCAATTTTGGAACCATCTCGTATAAACTACCTCTCGTCCATCCCTTTTAGACATTACCATAAGCCCACGGCTTATATTCGGAGGTTTACGGTAACTTGCAAGGCCCCGGCATCGGTAATCTCCCTTTTCGCGGTTTCCCCTTTTACAATTAATTAACTTAGCCGATCTAATGTGCCATTCTTTGAGTTCTTTTCCAGATTCCTAATTGGATCGATGACACTGGCTTATTAATTGGTTCGATATATCCTGGCTTGGTTTTCAGGTTAAGGTCTATAACAAGATTATATATATTTGTGTTAACAGGATGTGCTAAAATGTCTTGTGCAGGCCACCTGGGTATCGTTACTGAGTTTGGAGATTACGTCCAATATTACTGAATATTGGTTAAAAATAGCTTTTCGATAGTCCAAGTGACATTGAATATCGTTTGCTGTGACCTGTGACATGCACATAGGCTAATTAATTATACGTTCACCTACTGAGAAATTTTAACATACCAGCAGATCTAGAGACCGTTGGTTCTGATTCCTGTTTTGCAAAAATTAACATTAGAGAAATTGTTTCGCCTTCATTGCTTGGACTTAGGTACTAGACGTACTATTCCTAGTACGATGTTAACGAGAAAAACAGTATTCAATAACTTTAAATTAATGTTAATTTGGCTTTGAAAATTACGATTTCATGAATTGCTTGGTGTCAGTAACCGATTCCAGTAGCCCGCAGGGAACTCGGTTTGTTCTTGTATAATAGTATTTCCAATTTTAATGCTCTGTGATTTTAATAGGTCAAGAACAATGTGGCAGCTGGTATATTGCATTATTGGTGACATTGTAACACTTGTGCGTCATTTTCAGCGGATTTGTGTGTCTTTCCCAGTCCCAAACCTGAAATCACTCACATGCAGGTACGTGATGGATCTGACTTTGTCATTCCTACACATCCACATAACTCAGTAACAATTGATGCATGATTCCCCTTATTACGTTTTCGTAGCGCTTTGCATTGTGGTTATAGTGGTATCACTGATAAAGATAGCGGCCTTGAATGAAAATATTGAATGTTTTCGCGAATATTTTGCTGTTGGCTATCGGGCACCTGACCCTAGCTTTTTTTAAAAGTTCTTGTACGGGTCAGGACAAAAAAATAAGCCATCTTGAATATCAGTGATACCACTATAACCACAATGGCAGAGCGCTACGAAAACGTAATAAGGGGAATCTAGTATTGGTCATGCCTCACTCACCGTATTCATACTCTGATCATGGTGTTTATCTTGCTTGTATATTATCTTGCTTATTGTCTTTCCACTCGTGCTAGTAAATTGTAATGCACCCTTGGCCTTGATAATGTTTAGCAGCACCCTTCCTTGTAATGTTTTATGTTTAGCATTTTTAATGTATAGTTTATGGACTGAAATAAATTTGATTTAATAATTAAGGCATGCAGTTGGCAGGACTTCAGTCGAAACAATAGTTTCCTTTAATATTATTTTTAAAACGTTTTGGAGTCATAATTAAAACATTTTGATCTTTATCAGGAAGTTTGGAATTCTAAATTGTTCCGTCTCGAGAATAAAGATCGGAAACCACTGTTGGCAGGAGGGCATCTTGTGGAGATTTATAAAGGATCTTACGCAATCTTCTAAATTACCAAAATTGTCCGTTTACGTAGGGTTGGGGTTAGCGGTTAGCCTGGGCTCACTACGATGCAATAATATGAAAAATGCAACAGCATAAGGCGGAAAAGAACGCAACATTTTGGGCCATTTTGATCTTCTTATGCTTAGGTATCACTGATCTGATATCAGTGTTAGGTATATGCTTATACTTAGTGAGGACATGCAGTGTATAAACAATCATAAGAAATCAATACATTACATTTGATCCCTATTAATATGCTTGTGCTCATATTTGCGCCTATAGGGAGGAGTCCCAATGGGGAGGACAAGGCTTTTGGGTTAGGAGTAGCAATCAATGAACAGACTTGGCTGGATATCCTCCTGGTTTTCTATCTAGATCTCATGGATCCTCATGCGACTTTTTCTGTCGACAGACTCGGCTGTAGACACTGTATACTGTGTAGTATATGATGTGTTTCTCAAATTTCACGTCGAAATGAAGCAGTTCGTTGAAGGATCTTATAGAACAAATTTCAACTTTTTGAGACGTTTTCAATGTTTTAACACTCAGTCAGTTCCATCAAAGATTTCTTACAAATTCGATCTTCAAAACTTAGAATTTGCCTATATGCAACTGTCTGATTCCTACTGTGTCTACTGTGATCACAGAAACTTTGATAGTGTATCAGACCAGTATTGCCTTTAGCAATGGTATTTCTAGTTGCATTTTAATTTGGCTCCTTTCTCTTTGTACTTATAAAGGCAGTTAATTATATTACATCCGCTGAGAAAACGAAAGAAGACCTCTTCATTAACATGTGTATCAGTGTATGCTATATACGACATGTTGACATCGATTCAAGTTTCAACTCAGAAACAGCTGCTCTTTCTTGTTTCACAAGCGTGACAGGAAAACGGTAGGTGTCCATTTCTCATTTTACATTCACTATATTTATACAATGATGTTAGTGGCAATACATTCTACAAGTCAGCATGATGACGCGTGCCTGCATTGTTTTACATCACGGGATTTTGCGGGCGACCGTCGATCTATTTATAAAGTACGTCATTGGCAACATGGCTATTTATAGCCCTGATGTCTTCGTACCACAAGTTGGCCGTATATAAAATGCGCATATTTAATCCGACCACAAACAAAGAAAGAAGCGTAAGATAGCTAGATGTATATATATGTATACTGGTTCAAAGATGAAAATAATGAATTATACTAGAATTTCACCTATCACTTCGACGGCGTTACTGGATCTATTCAAACAACCAGACACGAACAAAATTATAGACTGTCGCTCATATACGGCATACAACAGTGGTCATGTAAAACAAGCTATAAACATATGTTGTCCAACATTACTGAGGCGGCGATTACGAAAGACCAGTGCGTCACTAGAGACATTAATATCATGTCAAACAACTCTGAACAGCCTACGAGATAGCAAAGTTAAGACGATTGTTTTGTATGATGACGGTGCACAAGTCGATGTGACAGAATCAGGCAATAATACTCTGTCCCTCATAGGTTCTATGTTAGCCGAGGAACTTAAAAAGAAAATTTACTATTTAAAAGGTTTGTATGTATAGAATATTATTTCTAAATATAACTTATAATTTTCAACACTATCAAGGCTGGAACACCTAATTATACTGTTGTAACATATAGATATAACAATTTATAATGGTAGATTTGTTTATTATGGAGTTGTATGTGCTGACTTGGACGTTGCATGAACCATTAGCGTGTTTTGAATGTTTGTGAAGGGATTTGAATGAAATGTTGTCAAATTTGGAATGATAAATATTGAACGGGCTTTGTTTTAAACTACAGGAGTTAAATGATTTATAAATCATTCAAAGCGAGGTTCAAATTATACAAACTACAAAGTTTAACTCTGTGAAGGCCATCTGCACTGTCCCTTTTACTTCACGTGTAGGTAAGCGTTATAAGAGAAATATAAATAGGTATTATGTAGGATAAACTAAGTGGGTGAAATATAATCATGGTTACAATGAATGATTCTTTATGATATTGTTACTTGGGAACTGCTGTTTTAGCAACAGTCGTGGTAGAACTGTAGAAGTTAATATAACATGAATTCCGGCTAGAAGCGTGGTTTGCCTTCAATAGTTTAGCCGACTTTTGGATTGTAATAGCCACTCGACCGGCTTAATCATGGCTTAATGTACTACATCAGGTTTAACGGCAAACAAGGTAATATAGAAAGTTAGTAGGGGTTTAGCGCAACTCTGACTGAAACACGCTCATAATGAGAAAAACATTTCCTATTTTGGTTACGGTAAAGGTCATTATTCCTTCTACGATAACTTGATTGAACGAAGTTTTCAACTCTCATATCTTTAGGCAAGGTACACAGTCCGTAATTTGACCCAGATAGTTCAAAACAGGAATCCAAAAGGCGACATGTCATATTTTATTATAGAATTAGGATATTAAGGAGTTCATTACCATCTTCGGAAAATTATATGGGATACGTGATTACAGTCATATGATATTAGTTACATTGTCATAACTAAAAAATCTCGAGAATGGAATAGTCACTTCAGTAAAATAAACCAACTTTTTGTCAGAGTGCTTGCCTTAATGAGGATTAATATATAGCAGGGTCACTATATACACAAGTTGAAAATGTGAGACAGATTTCCTGTTCGGCTCGCAGAAAGGTAGGTCAAACCTTTTCCCATTGTTCTGTGCAGGATTCTCACATGGTGCTATTTTCGATTTTGTATTTTCACATTTGTACAGGCCTAGAAATTTTCTCTTCCTGCATGGCAGGAAAATCGAAAAATAAAAATTTCCTGTGTACATCAAGTATAAAACTTCCTGCATATTATATAGAGTTAGAGAACATTTGGCGCATATTGTGATAAACTTCAAGACAATCTCGACTTGCAAAACGCTTTTGTAAACAATATAAGTATATTATATGGCATTCCAGTACATAAGATGACAAGATGCAAGAACGCTTGCTGCTGACGCTGCCAGAAATATTTCAGCAATGCATTTTTTATACATTGCAATATTTTTAGCTTGATGAAATCCTGTAGACTGTGATTGGTTTGTCGAATGAGTTGCGTACAGGCCAATGTCAATGTGGTGCATTAATGTGCGCATGCTCAATTCAATTTAGTTAAGTCTGGAAGCCAAAAACAGTAGGGGATCTTAATCTCGTCAATGTATATGGGGAGCCGTACGTGTAGGTCAGCTCGACTGCTCGATTGTATCGAAGCATACTTTTGGGGGGATACATACAGTATACAGGCTTGGTTTAACACGCACTATAAATATTTTCTTAATCCCCGTTTTCTGTCTGCCGACTTTGCTCATGAATCGCTCTGATTCACTCCACTCGTTTTGTTTTTGCAATCAAGTGAACCTAAAACACACTCAAATGTTCAAGTTCGTTTCAACTTTCTTTCATACTTTTCATTTAACCAATTAGGCCTGACGTCAACTGATCGTATACGAAAGGAACTACTATTGTTCATTTTAGGTTTTAGTAACACCGTATATTATTCGAGATTAACGTCCGTGTATTAACTTGCCGGCAAATCATGCATGCTTTGTATTTCAACAAGTATTTGCTATATTTTTATTTGATGCGTAAAAATAGCAACCGTGGCGTGAATTAGATCAAGGAGGCTTATTTAATCTCGTTTCTTTCAACACCTTTCCCGTGAAGTAATTATGACCGCGTGTCAGAGATTGTTTTAGTAATTACACTTGCTCATTAATACAGATAATATAGTACGCTGTGGTAGATTATTTCAGAACAATACAAATCGTGTCTCCTTTTCAAAATCAGCTGCGAAGCATTGGCTATTGCACACGTGGTTACGTCTCGATGGTCAGGCTTTAAACTAAAACAACAGTACTCGACTATGATTGGCTAATTTGGCAACCAGTTTTTGTGAACGTGTGACCGCGTGTAACGATTTATTATTTATCACGTCGTAAACTGCGTTTTCTTTTCGCATCGCGAATTTGCTTATTACATCATTTGAGTCGAGCGTATACAAGAACTAATGGACGATATTTCCTCATAAGTTTTAAGGATTGTACGTCCTTGTTTGTCGCGATTGCGGAACATCTCATTGAAATTGAACACTCGACGAACGTGTACGTATTGAGAAAGGTACGGCTCCCGTTGCAATTCCTGCAGAAATTAGCTTGTTTATGGCTTGTCATCAGTTGGAAGTCGCACGGTATTTAACTAAAAAGCAGGCGAATAATTTTACCGTGAAGTTTTAGACTGACATCGTTCATGGGACAGTGCATTTTAGTTTATTGAAGGGAAATAGAAGAAGACGCTTTGTCGAATATCGTAGTATTTGCGTTCCCGCCCTTTGTTTACTACAACCTCTATATGTCTTCTTTCAGGTGGTTTTCAAGAGTTCAAAGCAAAACACGCAAGTATGTGTGAATGGACGCAATCGTCGTCAAGAGATTTACCACGAATGGCGGGACGGGGACCTGCCTCCCTACACTTAGACTTCAATCAAAAGAACGATAAGGAAACGTCAGATGAAGCGGACGCAAAAACTGCGCCAGTCGAGATACTTCCGTTCTTGTACCTTGGTAATGAATCTCATTGCGCTTCAAGGGAAGTGCTTGAGAAACTCGGAGTGACAGCAGTAATGAATGTATCTAAAACTATCAATAATCATTTTCAAGGCAGCTTTTTATACAAGAATGTTCCGGTAGATGACAGTTATAATGCGGATATTAGCCGTTGGTTTCGCGTCGCAGTTGACTTCATCGGTGAGTAGAATGATCAGGGCCAATATTTGCACGCAAGGCTCTAAGCAGCGGGAGGGTCTTTGACTAGCTTATTACAGGATATTCCACAGCAAGCGCGTCCCTTAAAGGAAAGAAAAAACGCGCAACTATTTCAAACATTCTGATGATCCAACTTATGAACTACAGATTGCCAAATATTTAATGAACATATTTAATTAAAAGTGGGTTGTCGTGGCTTTTTTTTTAAATTTTCAATATTAGTGAACAAATTATAGAGAAATAGGTTACTGTCGTTTTAATCGTTTTTCCTAAAATAACCAAGAGAAGTAGTTGGCATTATATTTATAGCCGAACGCTCAGAATGATTTATAAGCGCACTGCCGGCAATGCATTTTCGCACGGTGCAGCCAGTTAAGTACGCCGACGAACGCGCGGTCGGTATGAATGTGTTGCCGTATTTCCTTTCTTACTCAGCATCCAATATTCCTTTATTTTATTACCTAGAGTATTTTCTAGAACGGACTTGACTGACATGCTTCTCTAAGCGTGCTCATTGTGAAATTCATTCACACCAACAGAATTTCCCTTCATGTACAGATTTGCGCAACTTTTATGTGTAACATGTACAACATGTACAACTTAACTATATTCAAGTAAACTTTTGCTTTCGGATAAAAATATATCAGCGATGTTTCAATAATTTTTATTTCACTCTGCCTTAATCATCTCTATATCTGTAAATTTGTGGGAAACATTATATGATGCATTAAATTACCCATAACCTCTTCAGAACTGCGCTTGGAAAACTCTTTTGTCAGTCGACGAAGTTATACAAACTATTTAAATGCGTGATGTTTGAAATATTTTGGGCATTACGAAGAAGCTTTGTATTCCGGTACTTCGATACGCTTTCCGTTACTCGAACATTGTTTTTGCCAAATAAACATTGATATTGGACATATTTTGTCAAATTTCGTGACGGTGGATATTAGCTCTTTTGGTTCCGAATTTTGGTTTTCAAGTGGTTTCCTCTTATGTTTTGTTTCACATTAAAGTGTTCTCAAATGGTTGCTCAAAAGTCTTTAAAGTGCACTTTATTTGGACGATTTTAGTATGTATATTTTAGTATATAGGTATAAATAAGGTTTGATAATAAGATCATCCATATTCATACTCAAGATTTCTGCAGCTGCAAGAAGAAAGCTGTTCCACGCGGCAACCACGCCTCATACCGTCATCGTTTAAAATACATACTAAATTTGGCGATATATTGTGTTCGTGTAGACAATGATAAAACGTGGATAACTGAATATTGCATCTAAAGGATAAGTTAAAGTAATATTATATCACGCATATTACGTTTCTCGAGATATATCAATGTATGTTTCCTTACCGTTATCAGGCTGTTAGCTATAGTGTAATCCCCTCGATAATCCCTATAAAACGGTGTAATCTGTACTATATAATCTGTACTGTCCTCTTTATATATGCATGTAATGTCAACACGATTGAGAGAACATATGAGAACGTATAATATTTTTAGAAAAACTTTGCAAAAAATGAAGTGATCTTGATTTCATCTTTTCATAATGACTGATCCAAAGGCAAAGTAGAGGAATGCGCTGCCAAAAAGTAAATTGCTTGATAAAATATTAACATAGTAATGATTTAATATATATATTATTATATATATATATTTACTTTATTTACATAAATGCATATTGACATTTAAAGTTGAATAAAGCAGCTGTGATTTGTTTCTAAACTATCTGAAAACAACACTTAAACACAAAGTTCCTCCTGAGGCTGCACGACGAAAGGCTTTCCATTGTCGTTTAATCTTTTTTCCTGTAGTTCAGAAACCAAACCATGTACGGCAGTGTATTGTAGAACACAACCTATATGCACTTGACACCCACATTTGAGATATTAATAGTTCGAACAACTATTAAAAATGTCATTTTTTTTCTTTAGATTCGGTTGAAACATCTGGCGGGAAGGTTCTCATTCACTGTCAAGCTGGCATCTCTCGCTCGGCAACCATATGCCTTGCATACTTAATGAGTAAACGACAATATACTTTGGAACAAGCGTACGAGTACGTGAAAGCGAGGCGTTCGGTTATTTCACCTAATTTTCATTTCATGGGACAACTGTTGAACTGGGAGCGGGAAAACCGAGCTCTAAATGCAGCAATGTCTCCAGATAAACTATCGCCTTCGCCGTCCCAATGCGGTCTATTTAGCTACTCAAATATGGCCACTACTCCAGATTCGAGACCAAGTAGTCTGCATACGAACAGTTGTTTTGTTACCGTTTCTACGCCAACGTGAAGTGTGTTCGAATATAGCGTTATCATAGATAGACATAGAAATCAATTTCAACTATAAACGGTGAAACTACGGTCTTTTTGAACACCTTTTTTTAAATACACTCATCACCGATAATATTCAAAATCAGTACAGAGGTAGTTAGGTCACATTCAAATATTCATTCCACCTGTCACATGGCCATGGGCGACCTTCATTGTTAGTCGCATCTTTCAAAGAGATTATACAGAAACAAGCCAGATTGTCAACGGGCGTAGAGGCTATCCTTGCATACCAACGAAGGTGAAAACACCCGAGGGTGACAATGCATAGTTTCCTTTGGTAAAAGCATATAAGCATTAGAATTCCTGGCATCTCACTCGATAGAATTAATTTCGAGTGTAAATTTTATAAATTTCTTAGACCTAACCACGGGCAGTTGTTCTTGTATCAAATATAGGTTTAATAAAGGTCATTTACACTCGAAATTTCTGTCAACAAAACCCTCCATATAAGCATTAAAAGGCCCTGCGGAGGGAGTGAATGAGCGATGATTTGCAGTATAAACAGAACTTCACCAATTGACATGAAAATTTGAAAGATTATATTTATATTTATCAACACTTTTGATAACAGGAATTTTAGTAGATCATATATATTAACAAATTCGTCATGTCTTATGATATCTGTTCCCAAACGCCTCATACAAAATACCTCGAAACAGTCAAAAGATAAAGTTCATTCGTGCATTTATGGTTTTATGTAAATATATTTTTGTAAATATTCCATGCAGATGATATAATTTATGGGTGCAATAAAATTTACTGTAGCTAGTGAAATTTAAATGGTTTGTTCAGAATAATATGCATTGGTTTCATATTAATGCATATTATTATTATTTGCATATTAATTCATCTTTTTTTTTTTAACCCAGCCGCGTAGAACTGTGAGGTCGGCTGGGAGGCCGGCGCGCTTTTACTGTAGATGTCTTTCAGCGCTATTTGTAAAAGGCCGGATGGTTTTCGGTGGCGCAATCGTCACTGCGAGACTCGTGACATTTATGTTGAAAAATTGTCAGTCAAGGCTCTACCGAAACTCGTGGGTTTTGTCCCGATATTTCAGTTTCCTCCCATAGGGATCCGTTTGGATAGGGTGGGTTGGGATTAGTTAGGATTAACTCCTACTGATCCTGACATGAGTCATAAGGTTGCTGCCAGGGAAGCCTTTGAAAGCCTTCATATCTGGCTGAGCTGCGTCCTTCGCAATTCAGCTTACTACAGAAAAGCTCTCAGCTGCAACCCTCACTCACATTTGGGGATAGGGCAATTAGGAACTGAGAAAAAGACTGACCAATAGACTGGCAGTTGCAACCTCAGAGCCAGGGTACGACGAGATTGATCTAGCATGCAAATCGTTGCAAATTGGCAGCGCTTTGCAGCTGGCCTAAAAACGCTTTGCATAAGGAAAACATATGCTGTGCTTTGTCTTACTTCTTTGTTCACTAGTCCTACAGCTCTCCAGGCTCTCCAGTCGCTTATTATTTTCAACTATTTTTAGTTCACTGCAAAGAGCCTAGTTGATTTCAAAGAATTATACAGGAAACCTAGCTAGGAAACTCGCTGAAGCCTCTACGACAGCAATCTCGAAACCAGAGCCCGCAATTGCTACGACAGTGGAACATAATCCTGGATTGAAGCCAAACTTCAAGGCCAGTCCCAGTCTTTTCAAGCCTCGATCAGTCAATGACTGATATAAACACACGCTATATCTTATCTCCAGACAGCGTGTCAGTGGAGGTAAGATTTGGCTTCAAGAAAAAAATAGGCAGTTTATCTGAAGGTAGTGTTCCAGTTATATTCATTTCAATGTTAAAATGCTGTCGCATGTTCCTAGCCAGTGCGCTTATGACTATGAGAGGCATTCATCCCCCTGAACGTCAGCCATTTTGAATACAGTGTTCTCAGGAGGTTGATGCCAAGCTGCCAACCTCGTGCCAGGGGAGAAAAGACCCTGGCTATGACCCTGGTGGACGCTGGTCACGTGATCTGCTAAAATCTAGCAGATTTTTAAGATGAGGTCAATAAAAAGTTTGATATTTGGATGATTTTTATAGTTTAATTATAAATTCGCATTTCAGTATGATCCAAGATAGTTAATTGGAAATCTGCTACATTTTAGCAGATCACGTGACCAGGGTCTTTTCTCCCCAAGCGGGAAAGACCCTGGGTTACGGGTTGAGTGAATGCCTCTCATAAGTCATAAGCGCACTGGCTAGGAACTGAACATTGCAACGGTTACGTCAAAATCATAGAAAACCAAGAAGTCGACCTTCTGTATGAGTTGCCTTATGTCTCCAATCTGTTACTAGGCACTGATCTAATATTTAACGGTGTTAGAAATGGACCTTTCCCCTTATAACTAAAATTTCGATCCAGACAAAAATTTCATCATAGCTTTAAAGAGCATCACAAAATTAGTAATATTCCAAAGTTTTGTTGCAAAATCTTGTAAAATGCGGATAATATAGCCTTGCGAAGTTTGCCGTTTTTCAGTCATTTTGTATTACAAACGGGAAATTGACATACGATTCGGGTGTTGGGGCTGCAATTTCCCGTTTGTAATCTAAAATGATTGAAAATTGCAAACTTCGCAAGGCTCTATTTTCCTCATTTTACAACATTTCGCAACGAAACTTTGGAATATTACTAATTTTGTGATGCTCTTTCAAGCTGTGATGAAATATTTTTCTCAAATTCATTAATAATTCATGAGCAATTCAGCCAATGATAATCACCTATTTGATCACAAGATGCCATTTGGATAACCCGGTGAAACTTGATGAAAGTCACTAGTGTTTTCATCAAATATCTTAATTACGCATGCAAAATTACTTGAATAGAATTCCTAATTACGTTATGCTTGGTTAATTAAGAATTCTATTCAAATCAGCAAACGAAAACATTCTGTTACGTCTCGATTCATTTGAGAAGCCATATAAACAACTCGAGCTCGTGTCTCACCGGGATATCCAAACACTCGAAAACAATGTATGAAAACACTCGCGCTTCGCGCTCGTGTTCTCATACATTGTTTTCTCGTGTTTGGATATCCCGGTGAAACACGGCAATTGATAAAACTAGAATAGTGAAGCGAATAGTGCGAATAGTCCGCGAATAGTCGGCGAATAGTCCGCGAATAGTCGACGAATAGTGCGAATAGTCCGCGAATAGTCGACGAATAGTACGAATAGTCCACGAATAGGCGACGAATAGTACGAATAGTGCAATAGAGACTTTGCAAGGCTTTGCAGCAATGCTATAGAACTAAATTTACCGGGGGGGGGGCTCTGTTGACAAACATGAAATCGTGAAAACATTCGTCGACGTACGTCAATGACGTCATACGTCTAGTGATTGTCATCAGTGGCGCCGTGGCCGGGGGGGGGCATGGCCCTCCCCTATTGTTGACACCCGTCGTAAAATTGCCAATGCTGCCGGAAATTGTCGGAAAATTGTCAAGGCTGTCGGAAATTGTCAAAGTTGTCGACGGGGGGGGGGTGAAGATTTGAAATGTTGTCGTCCGGAAAACTTTTTGGTTTGTCGGAAAAATTTTTCGGTTTGTCGGAAAAGTACTGCCCTTGCCCCCCTCCCCCCAAAAAAAAACATGGGTCCCGCGGCGCCACTGATTGTCATTCTACTTCCTGTTAAATATTTGTTAAAACTCAGTGGTCCCGTAATGTTTACCGATTACGTATGACGTCATTGACATCAACGAATGTTTTCACGATTTCATGTTTGTCAATAGAGCCCCCCCCCCTCCCCGCTTCGGTAAATTTAGTTCTACAGCACGGTGGAAAGCCTTGCAAATTCTCTATTGCACTATTCGTCGACTATTCGTACTATTCGTCGACTATTCGCGGACTATTCGCACTATTCGTCGACTATTCGCGGATTATTCGCACTATTCGTCGACTATTCGCGGATTATTCGTACTATTCGTCGACTATTCGCGGATTATTCGTACTATTCGTCGACTATTCGCGGACTATTCGCACTATTCGTCGACTATTCGCGGACTATTCGCACTATTCGTCGACTATTCGCGGACTATTCGCACTATTCGTCGACTATTCGCACTATTCGCACTATTCGCTTCACTATTCTAGTTTTATCAATTGCCGTGAAACACTCGCTCTCGTTGTTCATATATTACGTCTAGACTTGCCTAGATCAAAATCTTGGTTATAAGGGGAAAGGACCAATAGGGAACGAGCACGTGGTGTAACTGACCAGCATAACATGCAGGCGCATACTAAACAAAACAAACTAGAGAAGATGCGTTCATGGTGGAGAAGAACTGTATAAGATCTATATAAATTTTTACTCAAGTTAACAATGCAGTTCGATATTAGAAGGTGCGTTTGGTTCAATTGAACTGTTTTTATTCTTGTAAAATTGACATAAGTAAAATAGCCCAGACGTTTTTGCATGTCGTGTTGACATATGTCATGGTTGCCATATGCAATTTAATAATATTTAATTATAACTGTTTCGACAAATATATAGAAAATAATTAAAGCTATAAAATGCTGGCCGTCTCGAGTCCCTATTTAATAGCTTTCGTAGTAGCATTAGGCTTGGTTAAAATATTTTAAAGTAGGGTAATACTCAATAAGACTGCTCTAAAGGAAACATCAATTGTTATTAAAATTTGTATATAAATTACTGGTGTCGTGTCAACGTGATGGCGTCTACTGCTTTTTGTTAAACGCCAGGGGTTGTCATAGAAATAAGAATAGTTACATTTCTTTAAAAACATCTACAGAAATGCTGGAACAGCATTCCTCTGTTGCAGAATAGGAACCTTACAGAAGGTTGCAATTATGTCTCCATGTTCCTAGCCAGTGCACTGACGAGAAGCATTCACCCTCCTGAAAATATTTATAATGATGGACGTTCAGGGGGGTGAATGCCTCTTGTGTAAAGCACACTGACTAGAAATACGCCAAGTTCATTTTGGTGACAAATCATGATTGCAAATCATGATGTAGAAACTGAGTCAACCTTCTGCAGGGTTCCTATTCTATGCCTCTGTGTTTTCAACTGTCAAGTTATTGCCTTCACTGTCAAATGCCACACTGTTGATTTTTTGTTCAAATGATTCTATTTAGTATACCTTCCCTAGTATTGTGATTTATAAAGTAGAAATCTCTTCTTGAACTTAATCCCATACCTGTATAGTTGTTTGCAGCTGAAATCTGTTTTCCACTGATTTGAACAACATGTTCTACAAATTTTTGTATGATATGGTTGCTGTTGAAGTGAAAAACACCAGTAATAATGAACTGTTGCACATAAAAACATTGTCTGTTCTCATGTAAAACTTGTAAATGCATCAGTCAAATTGAAAGTGTAACATCCCAACCCCTGGGCATATACCCAGGTTTTGGCTTTTAGGACACATCTTATTAAAGTGCTCAAATTCTCCACCCCCTGTCAAAAAGCATTGTTCAAAAGCCCTTTGTCAAGCTTGTATTTTAATACTGACCAGGCAAATCCAATATTCAAACAAATTTTTTTAGTGGAATCAAATGCCCCACCATGCACAATCAATTTTACTTGCAATCCCGCGTTTTTGGAACATCAACAATGGCAATTATGTCTGACCCATGACTGGTTCCGCTATAGCCTACCATGATTTCACGGTGAAAAATAATTGTCACAGCTTTGTTACACTGTCAGTGTGGATTATAACGGTCGGCAATCGGCTATTTGCCGAACAAAAACACCAAATGGCCGATCAATTTCATTCTGCACGGACATTTTGTCCGATCAATTAAATGCACCACACTGTTCATTTAAATTGAAGGTAGTTTATGTGAAAAGTACTGTTTGAAAAGCATCTAACTATGCCTACTATACCATGCAATCAATAAATATTTGGATGAAAAAATCACTCAGAGGAAACATTGTCATAATTGAGCTTCTCTTTTAGCAAATACTCTCTCAAGTGACCGAATCTCGATAGTTACAGTCCATAGCCGGCGGCGTTTACAATACTTACTACTTACAAAAATATGTTTCATTTCTATAAGCCGTAGGCCTAACTATATATTAGTAAATACCTTTATTTTCTAAAGAAACACAAACAAAGTGAAGGCGCGGAGGACGTTGCTAGTTGGCGTACGCCAAGCTTTTTTCTGCATGCAAACGTGCAATCAATAATGGTACGTCGATCTGTAGCACTGTCACGTAAAAATGGTTGAAATAGTTGGCTGACCATTCTTGGCCAATGTCCGAGCAACAGTCTCGTTAATCGGACATTTGTCAGACCTAAGCAAAAACGTTATAATCCACACTGTACACTGTTATTCAGCTATCAATCAGGTTCTTTCCTCTGAAGCTCCTATTAATATGCTGGATATGAGATTGCCTTGTTCTGCCTTGCCATTGAGTGGGTTGAACTTGCATAGGCCTAAAAAAAATACCTGTGGTTCCGGTTCCCAACCGACCCTATTTTTTTCTGCCGACCCTATTATTTTTTTCAACGCGATTGACTGTGCGACCCTATTTTCTCCGGGTGGTTGCGGGCTGCTCATACAGCGTGCCAAAATGGGGTCTGTTGTCAGTTGTCACACTAATTATTGAACCAAACTGCCTAAATTTGTCCATTAAGGAACTACGTATCTCTAGTTAATATTGATGTCGGGACTCTACTGTAAATCGCCCAGCAAAAAGCCGCAAAAACCATGAAAAAAAAAAATTTAATTTATTTCCGACCTACCGACCCTAATTTTTTCACAATATGAAACCGGAACCACAGGATTTTTTTAGGCCATATTCTAAACTAAATCAAATTTAATTTATTTTCACAAACATTTTAGATTTGATATTTATCGAAAAGTACCTAAAGATCTGACCCAGCCTACCCAAGCTGGAGCTATAAGTAAGATTTCATTCTTGATTTTAAATGAAAGACCATCAGTATATGTCATGAGTGTCATGTCATCAATGCATGTTAGGGATCATGTGCACACTGAAATAAAACAAATTTTGAATAGATGTGTCCAGGGATGTAGCGAAGACTTTGTCATTGGGGGAAGTGTAGGGGTCAAATACCCTTTATTTTTTAAATTACGTTTTTATATGTTACCTGAAAACATATAACTACAGTTGTTTTTCCAGGGGGGGGGGGGGCTAATTTCCATAAATTGGCCCAACATTCATGAAATTTCCCAAAATATTTTTTCTTGATCACAAAATTTTCCTGGAATTGTTGGTGACATGGGTGGGAGAGGTAAATTCTTACCTTAGATATATTTCCTTTTTCCGTGATGTTTTATTAAACCTGCCCCTTCTCTTTAATTCTTTCCTCAATTTTTTTCTAAATTTGCCTGATTTTGGGGTAGAATTTGCCCCATCACCTCTAAATTTACCTGAAATCAGATCATGAACAAATATGGGGGTGGGGGCTTACAACCCCCGGTTGCACATCCCTGAACGTGTCTTCTTGAAAATCCAAGATTTGAATTAAAAATCAAGACAACATTTTTATGGTTATACCTGTATTTCAAAATTATTTCAAAGCCTTCTTCAAAGTGTCTTCCAACTGCATCCTTCTTCGGTCACAACTATTCGGAATTTGTTCTAGGCTTATATTTTTCAAATTGTCAGCTTGTAATGGAGATTGTGCATCACGGGGAAGTTCACTATTAGTTTATTCCACTCCACCTTAAAAATGAATCCAATCTTGCTAAAATTTTATTTTCTTGAATGTTTTAGTCTCAATTCTCAGTGCTTTAGTTATGATCTTCCTCTTCTTATCAGAATTTTATAGTTTTATTACACCTGAAATGTAAGTAAAGTGTGTTGTAATGTATTTCATTATTTGAGTAATTAGTGTTGTAAAATATAAAGGCTTGCAGTACCTTTTTTGGGAAACGAGATGCAAAGATGAAAAATGGCGAGATTCTTGATTGAATTTCATGAGAGAAATCGACATCTTGTGAATGAAAGGTTGAAATAATGTGATTGTGAATTTTTAGTGTCAGTGAATTGTTTGTTGATATGGCCGGATCATCGAAAGAAAGAATGAAGACCAGCTTGAACTTAACGTTGCCAAGATTAAAATGTGATTGTAAGTTCTCCTTTATCTGAAATATTTCGAACTCACAGAATGAATGTGAAAACTGTCACTGGCAACATTACTGCACATCAAACAAAACATCAGTGAGAACATACTCCAGTGCAAACACAAAATGTCTTATGTTGAGTAATCAACAAGATATACAGTAATATTTTGATTTTATTTTCAAAAATCATCGAAGATACTAGAACATTTAGAAAATGAAGTTAATGAACTGCTTCGCCACAAGCATCCGCCTTTTACGACGAAAGACCCACAAAAATCCAGTGCACACATATTTTGGTTATTTTTTCCATTCGTTGAAATCTCGGTAAATTCGTGAATTTTACTTATTTTATAGTTGTTGGGCTGGACATACAGGATGAAATGGGAAGGTACAATGATAATGGTTTCTATTAGAATTGAACTCAATTAACCTTGTTCCCAGGCAGTAGCGAAGCTAGTCATGCACGGTAACTGATAATAAACCTGCTTCTAAATAGGTTAAAGACAATGGTTTCTAATTATTTAATACACCCTTCAGAAAAGTACGTCGACTTGGCTGTAGAGCTTCGCTTTTGTAAAATGTGATTGGCCGACACAAATTTTCCGTCGGAAAAAATATTGAAGTTGAAAATCTTCAACTTTTAACAATGACATTTTCGGAAAATTTTCTGTCCATGGAAATTTTTCTTGAGTGGAAATAGGCCTTTAGAGTCTGCATTTGGGACTTTGGTGGGGCAATCGTCAGGCAAGCGCCTTTCGCCTCGGCAATCGTGCGTTCGATTCTCGCTGGGGACTCACGACATGGTTATAAGAAGAATCCGAGATTTTGTAGAAAATAAGAAGAATCCGAGATTTTGTGGAAAATAAGAAGAATCCGAGATTTTGTGGATAGAGAAACCTTGATCTCTATCTACAATGCATTGGTTCGTCCTCATTTTGATTATTGCAGTGAGGTGTGGGATACCCTGGGCATTGGTCTTTCAAGTTGACTTCAAAAACTTCAGAATAGAGCTGCAAGGATAATAATGAGCATGAAAAATGATACCCCTGGATTAGAAGCAATTTCTGCTTTCGGGTGGGAAACTATATTGAGTCTCAACGAACCAAGTCGAAAGCAGTTCAAATGTATAAAGTTTGAAATGATTTGGCTCCAAATGTGTGCGTAAAAGTGGCATCACAGATTATGAGATCAGGGGGCTAGGACTGAAAATCTAAAAAAAACGTTTTGCTTATGATGGGTGAAACTGTCAGTGGAATTCCTTACCCCCAGATTTGTGTGATTCGGATTCATTGCTGATAATTAGAAATGGAATTACTGCTCACAATTTCTCGTAATTGTAAATATAGTTATTATAGCCATACTAATAGGTTGATTTTTGTAAATATTTAATAATATATATTCATGTAATGAACACACCCCTCGTGGAAGTCAGCGAAAGTTGACGGGGCTAGCGTGTTGTTTTAAATAAAGTTTTACCCACCTATACTTACCTACCTACGTTTATGTGAAAAGGGATGACGCAACCCTGGGTACTCCGGTTTCTGTAGGAACAGTGAATGTTGACAGGGTGGGTTGGGATGAGCCCCTGTCTAAAACCAAGATGTCGATTATGAAAAGAATGCTAAGGAATTGTACTTTCCGGAGTGTGTATTGGAGACACGTTTTTCACGAAACGTTACTCTTCAATTTTCCAGGCACGAAGTTGGATTTCAAGAAAATACTCAGAAATGGGAAATAAATGGCGGAGGTAGTGAGACACTTCAGACATTATATATTTAGACGTTTATTCGGGTATTGATTGTTGTACTAATTTGTATTAAATCTGATTTGATGTAGAGGGCTGTACATTTCAAGGACGATTTGAAATCAACAAGGTATTGAAGTCAATGTCCAGGTTTTGTTTAATTCGTTGAATCATCTCCAAAATACCAAACGTTCTTCCTGTTTCTACCATCACATGAAGTACACACAGTGGGAAGAAGTTATTCCGCTGACCTCAGAATGACATTTCGTCAAAACTTTTTTCATCAAGATTGGTTTTGAAACAAACTTGGAGTAGGGTTAGGTTAGAGTTGGTGTTTGGAATAGGGTTAGGTTAGGGTTAGAGTTGGTGTTTGGAATAGGGTTAGTGTCGATTTCAGGTAACTTTGCAACACGCTGTTCCCAAGTTTGTTGTCAACTTGCCAATTACGTTTCCAAATTCGGAAGTTGGGCGGGAACTTCGCAACGAAGTTCGCAAGTTCATTTCGAAGTTCGAACTTTGACTGTAAACAAATGTAAAAATTTCATTTATAAATTTATTTAAAAAGGCACTTTCGTCTTGGGAGACCACTGGACTAATATTTTACTGCAGTAATATGTGCATAGCGTCATGCAGTAATTTCAACTCCAACTATGAACATTTGTTTACAATCAAAGTTCGAACTTTGAAATGAACTTGCGAACTTCGTTGCGAAGTTCCCGCCCAACTTCCGAACATGACAACGTAATTGACAAGTTCGCAACGAACTTGGGAACAGTGTGTTGAAAAGTTACCTGAAATCGACAATAATGTTAGTAAAACCGTTGCTTTGTTACGTTTTGTCACTCTGAGGCCAGCGAAATAACATCTTCCCACACAGTAACGTCATAGCATGTTGAAACGTGTTCATTCTTCCAGGTTCCAGGAAATTTTCATGTTTCAACTCACGGAGCTGGGCAGCAGGTTTGTGATGCGGTTTAGAATAGATTCGTGTTGATTTCATATAATTAATTTGGATTGTATGAAACAGTGTACATCACAAGATAAACATTAAACTTGTTCACTTCAATTTGAACAGCCTGACACGGTTGACATGGCGCATGTAATTGACGGTTTACGATTTGGTGACGACATCCATGTGAGTATATTTTGGTGAGTTTGTGCCTTGTATTTGATTTTGTTAGGCCAAAAAAAAAATATGTGGGTTTCCGGTTTTCCGACCCTACCTAAGCTTTTGGACGTCGAAATCCCGACCCTAAACTTTTTATTGGATCATGCCTGTAAGTGTTTCCACTTAGAGGAAAAAGTTCGCGGAAAATTGAAATTTGAGGCAATATTAGGGAAATTTATCTTTGGATGTGGAAGCACTGACTAAACAAAATGGCGTCCGCTTGTTCGGAAAATTAAAAAAAAAGTTTAAAAAAAAAAGTTAAAACCGACCTACCCTAGCTAAGTTTTTATAAGAAGAAACCAGAAACCCACATATTTTTTTTTTGGCCTTATCAGTACATGTATGCTTATAAATTATACATGTTGAATCAATAGACCTAATCCACTAACACTTATTTATGCTCATATAGCCTTGTTCCATTTACCCTTGAGGACCAGAGGCTTTTCCATTTACCCTTGAGGACCAGAGTAACTCTGCCACCCAGGGTATATAGGTTCCATTTCTCTCACAAAATATAATTTAAATGCTTCTTGGTTACCTACCTTTGTACCAGAATAGAGTTACTGTAGTACATAAGCATGTAAATTATTCGAAATTTGAATCAAGTGCCAAGGGGGAATAAACATGCATTTTCTATTTCTCATTTACTAGCTGGAGAATATCGATGCGGCATTTGTGTCTTTGAGTAATTTAAACAAGGAGGAATCCAACGGTATGTATGTATAATTGGTCAATCGGCAGTGCATTTTTTTAAGGATTCTTCAGTGTTGGGTCAAAACTGCCAAAGGGCCCATTGTCTCCTTGCCGTCCCCTCTGGATAGTATGCGATCGCCGAAGGTGTGCGCCGAGTACCGAAGGCACGAACTAGCTATGGGGTCTGGGGGGCATGCCCCTCCCCAGGAAATTTTTTAAATTTGGGTCTCTGAAATAACATTTCCTGCATTCTGAGAACACATTTTAAAAAAATCTCAGCTTTTCAAAACAAAGCTTTAATGGTGAAATTTGTAATAAATTGCATGCTAATCATTAAAACGCAACATATGTTTAAGTATGCTCACCAACAAATTTTGTTTTTTAAACTTCTTTTCAATGTTAAACTCATTTACTCAATACAGGTCCCAAGCTAAGGCCCTGGCTCAGGGCAATAGGCCATTTTTTCTTCAGTGGTGGGGCAGAGGAAGGGGCCCAGTGGAGCAAATGCCCCGTCAGTCCATGGTATTAAAAAATACCTTGTCAATCGGCATTTCTATTATTATTCTCCCTTTATTCGTCAATATAAGGCTATCATTAGTCTAAAAATATGACCGATGTTATGAAAATATGAACGTTGTAAATTTACATTTGTGTTGTATAGGTATTTCCTCACATGACTACGTTTTAAGAGTTGTTCCAACGATTTACGAGAAACTAGATGGCACCAAACTTTATTCCTTTCAATACACCTGGGCTTATAAGGTAACAGCAATATGGCGGCGTTGTTACAGAATAGGTATACATACGGCTTGCGGCTTGGTTCACATATCTTGGCTTGCGGCTTGCGTATATTACAAATCCTTTCCTACACGCGTAAAAACGCCGAGCCTGCTGTTTAACAGGATTGGGCAATGTTTTGCTGCCCACGTTGTTCACACTTGTCAACAATATTGAACAATATTGTTGAGCCTGAATCGGGTGTAACAATATTGTTCAATATTGTTCAATATTGTTGACAACTGTAAACAATAGGGCCATTTATACGAGCGAAAATAAGCCGCGGCTTAAATAAGTCGCGAACGACTCGTATAAACAGTCAATTTGCAATAAGCCGCGGCTAAAATAAGCCCAGAGTTGAAAGCTAGGCCTAAATAAGCCGCGGCTTATTGCAAATTGACTGTTTATACGAGTTGTTCGCGACTTATTTAAGCCGCGGCTTATTTAGGCCGCGGCTTATTTTCGCTCGTATAAATGGCCCTAATGTGGGCAGCAAAACATTGTTCAATCCTGTTCTCATCAACCATTGCAACAACCTGATCGTTTCTAGGCGTGTAGTACTTTGCGGTTTTGCCCAATATGAAACAGAAAGACTCCAGTACTTTATGCAGATCTTGCGTAGCGACGTCGCAAATGCAATCCATTGATTTTGCAACACAAGCTCTTGCTATTCGTTAAAATTACATGCATTTGTTAAATTACACCCACTCTGAACTTTATCGAATTGATATCGGCATCTTAATCGGCAACTAGATCGGTAAAACAAACTTAGCCTCCCACCCTTATGTAAAAATGTTGTTATCTCCCAAAATCTGGGAGACACGTCACCAGCCTGGACCAGGGTCTTTCCTCCAGCGAGGAGCGTAGTGGAAAGAGCCTGGGTACGAGGTTGCTCTTAGTGTTACTGTTGGTGTTGTTATTCTTGTTGGTCGTGATGTTGCACAATTGGCTCAATAATGGCCGATTACAAGTGACCAACAATAAGTTTCTAAACGAATTTCCAAATTGTAGGACTACATTTCATACGGCCACGGAGGGCGAGTAATGCCAGGTACAGTATGTTTGAATGTTAGGGCATTGAAATATATTCATTTTAATTTAAAATGAAGTGAAAATATGACAACCAAGATGTGTGCATATTTCTTTTATGTCATTTTAGCGATTTGGTTCCGTTATGATCTCAGTCCAATCACAGTGAAATATGTGGAAAGAAGGAAACCTTTTTATCATTTTATAACAACCGTGAGTATAGATATTCTTTAATCAATTAAACCGCATTGCGCCTTAAGGCCATGTTACACGGTGCAATTTTTCTTGCAACTTGCAATGCAATTCTACTCTTGAGAGATGCAAAATTGCCAAATACGAGTCTTCATTACACTCCGCTGTTGTTTTCTCAACATATCGAAAATTCTTCACTGGTTTCACTAATTAACATCTCTCAAGAGTAGAATTGCATTGCAAGTTGCAAGAAAAATTGCACCGTGTAACATGGCCTTTATAATGCACGTTGATATTTAAATCTGTCTAACCCCAGATGATTTTAACCACCGTGAAGAAAGTACCGGGGCATCGTTAATATTTCCCAGACTATGTGCGGTATTTGCGTGGAATCATTATCCGCAATGCGCCATTTTATTCATCAGTGATCAAGGAGAAAGTGATTTCTTCTCAAACTCGTGTTATATTGGGGCTTCGGTGCCGCAATCGTCAGAGCATAGAGCAAACGCCTTTCACGGACTCATGTGCGAACTCATGTGAAAAGAGTCGGTCAACGTTCTGCCAAAAGTCGTGGGTTTTCTCCGGGCGCTCCCGTTTCCTCCCAGGCCAAAAAAAAAAATTGTGGGTTTCCGGTTTCCCGACCCTACCTAGCTTTTGGACGTCGAAATCCCGACCCTAAACTTTTTTATTGGATCATGCTTGTAAGTGTTTCCACTTAGAGGAAAAAGTTTGTGGAAAATTGAAATTTGAGGCAATATTAGGAAATTTATCTTTCGATGTGGAAGCACTGACTAAACAAAATGGCGTCCACTTGTTCGGAAAATTTTAAAAAAAAGTTTAAAAAAAAAGTTAAAACCGACCTACCCTACCTAAGTTTTTATAAGAAGAAACCGGAAACCCACATAATTTTTTTTTTTGGCCCCACAGGGAAAGTTGACAGGGTGGGTTAGGATAAACACAGTTAGGAAAGTAATATCACAATTGTTGTAAAGATAAATAGTCTAGGCTAAGTAAGTAACATGACGGTAATACTTGATGTAATCGGCCACTGAAAAGCCCCAATGGGGAGTGAGCTGAATAATAATGAATGTAATATAGTAGACCTCTCCTTACTCTATTCTTTCAATTTTACAGGTTTTCGCAATCGTTGGTGGCACTTTCACCGTGGCTGGGATCATTGACTCATTGTTGTTCACGGCGTCTGAACTTTTTAAGAAGTTTCAGCTTGGTAAACTAACTTAGGTTTGGCAAATACTTAAATAATTTCATTCGTACACTAACGGTTGCAACGCACCGTTATAAAAGCCCAAACTTAATTATTTATTTTATTATATGAACGGATGCATGTCAATATTCTCGAATAATTTAGTGAGTTGAATTCTTAAACCGTGGGACGCCTTGCTATAGCCTCCTCGCAAATCCATGCTTTGGAACGGAATTAAGCACAACAATAGTGCATCCAATCACGATTAGTGATGGAACGTTCTATCACAGAGGAAGAGGGATACAGTTCCATGGGCCTTTCATTGTTTTGAGAATCCCAGTCATCAGAAAATTCAGTCATCAGCTCTAGAGCGAGCTATGGTTTGCATGACACTTAAGCCAGTTTTCCCCTCAATCGTATAGTACCGAAACGTAGCGTATTTCTTTGTTTCCTGAGCGGTAGTGTGGAATCAATAACTTCGACACAAAAGAAATTGCTACGGTACGTTACGATTGAAATGGAAAACAGGCTTTAGTATCACCAATGACGATCCAGTGAATCGATGATCAGAATGTTCCATTGTTCTTCCCTCTGTTCTCCATGCCTTCATTTACGACTCAGTGATGGGAATGTCCATTATCTTTTAGTTGTTTTTCGAAAATCCCACTGTTCTCCATGCCATCCAGTCACTGGCTGTTTTGACAAATTTGTGACGTCATAAAAAGGCCTATTTTGTTACTCATTACTTAGCTTGTTTTAGCATAAATACAAAAGCAAGACAAAATTTTGTTCATTTCTCGTTCAATTTTTAACCAAATTCAACCAAATTTTAATCAGTTCTTCCTTAGCCGATGGGAAATGCATTCAAAAAATTTCGTATGAATATGTTTGGTACAGTATTTCTTGAGTTATCGTGCTCACAGACAAACACACACACACATACACATACACACACACATACAAACCCAGATGATTACATAACCTCCTGGCGGAAGTAATTAATAAAGAAAATAGCCAACAGTACGTCGTTATTTTGGTCACATGGTACTTAAAATCTGGTCTTTAACGTAGTAATACTAGTATCGATTAACAACTTTAAATAGACGTTTTGAGTATACGTTGGCGTCATTTAAGAGTTGACGTCGGTGAATAAAACGTTGCGGTGTTTTGGACTGATTTCAGTCGGCTTTAAACGGTTAATGTCATCTTATATTGAGAGGGTCTGAATGGGATTTATTTTTGTTCCTATTTTCCTGAAGACCGAAGTGTTTAGTGTCAAAGTAGCTAAAATTTTACTGTTTAATGTCAGAAAAAACTTTACATTTACGTTAATGCTCCAAATTAAATTTTGAAGAGCCAAACATTTTAATGCTTAATGTTATTGACGTGCTCCCATCTGGGACCCTCAACTACTGTACGTCTAACGCCTGTATTCTAAAAGTTGACTCACACTCACACACATGCAGAGTGGAAGTTGTTCAATCTATAAGCTTCCCTTGAGTGTTAGTTTTTTTGAATAGCTGGAGGAGTGGAGGGTGAGTAGTCACATACTAGTAAGGTACGAGACTAACAGCATTGACACTCAAGAGTCAAGGGAAGCTCAGTTTGAGCCCCCACTCTTTGAGAGTGAGTTTTTAGAATACAGGCAAAAGACTGTAATTCATTATTAAGCAACCAGCAAGCCAGGTGACTGAAATCAGATCTGAACTGAACTAATTTGGAATTTAATTTAGAAAGTAATTTAGTAATTTTGAGAATTTAATTTGTTAGTAATTTTTAATTTAAACAATTTTAAATTATTGCCTCATTGTGTATAACTGTTCATTACTGGGCCTAACAAAATAATCTTGTAGTACTAGTTTCATAGCCCGAACAAAATTTTATTGCTTCAGCAATGGCATGGGGCATGTGACAGTTGGCATAACCACAACATATAAACATTTCAAGAAGCAATAATTGTCGTCACGTAACTGGTAAATAAAATAAATTTCTGGAGTCATATTGCAGGCAACGGAAAAGCCCAACGGCATTAAAAAAAAACACATTAGGATTGCCAGAACAAAAGAAAAGAGGCTCGGCGGGACCGGATCCACGGGATATCTTCTGTTAAGCTTTATTATTTTGTTAGGGTTTATAGTTATATTATTCTAATTTAATATAATATTATTGCGTTAAAGCAGTCTATAACTATAAGAATGACAGAATAGCTCGCTCTCAGGCTGATAACTTCCAGACGAAACTTTAAGTCTTTTTTTCTTTGTATATTAAAGGGGAAAGCTAGATCTCCTAAAAACTCTGCTGTTTCTATTATTCGGCAGCTTGCTTTGAAGCTTTTCACTCGAACTAGGTCATGCTGATTAACTTATGAAAAACTCGCTCCTCAACTAAAACTAATTTGTATGGTACAATAGAGATGAAAGCAATTATTAACGCATGATTTTATATGCATGATTTACTTTGTAAACAAACGATTACAGATTATGAGACATTGTTGAGAAATGTCATGCATGTATGTATGTATTCATCCCACGTCATTTTCAAAACTTTTAAAGCCTTTCAAAGTTCAGGAAGTTGGTTAATGTGCTGTACTCTTCATGCTTTGGCAGCAACCAGACTAGTCTATATGACTGAAAATGCTTAAATTTGTATAAACAATAAGTTCTCGGTGCAAACACCAAACCAAATATGAATTCCTCTGTCACATCGTATGTTGCTGGCGAAGTCGTTTCAAAGTCTATGGACGATTTCAGCAGTGCTGTAGGAAAGCTTGATTTCTCCGCAGAGTCCATTCCGGGGCTAACACCGTCGAGATGTAACGACGAAGAATACAAACGACTTTTAAAACACAGAGAGAAGTTACGAGCACAGCATTTAAAGATGGAAGCGGACAGACAAGCAATGAGACGAAAAATTCTCATGAAATATGGTATTAAAGAAAGCGATAGACACAAGAGTGTGCTGAGTTCGGAGTTTTCCAACGACGAGAAAGAATTGCTAGTGGGCGAGGAAGAGAGCAGGGAAAAGGAAAGCGAGTCCTGTCTCTCCTGCATATCTTGTTGTTTCAAGACCAAGTGAATCTCAATCGTTATGGAAGCTTATTCTGCAATTGCTAATGGAAGAAAGCCTTCAGTTTTTGCCAGACACAGTAGGACGTGTCTTAGTGGTGGTCAAAGTGCTAGTCCAATATACTGTATAACAGGGAAAATGACCTTTTTCTCGCGTACCGAAAGCAATGCATGCAGGCAGTAATTTTAAAGATCCATCCAGTGCAGTTTCGAATTCAGTGGATGGTTTGTCTATTTGTGGGATATGCAGTATAGTCACGGTGTCCGCCTCAATAACTTTTCTCAACTGATTAAAATATTTGCTGAAATTGATTTTTTTGTTTTCCCAGTTTGATCCTAACCTCCCGCTATGAGAATGTACACCTAAAGGCTAAGCGCTAAACATAATTTTAAAATGTATTTAATTTAAATTTGTTGGCGCGTGTCTAATTGAATATAAGGTTGACGTATTTACCGACCTCGAGTCTATAATGACTTCAATTTTAGAATTTGCGTGAGAAAAATTTAGATGTTGAATTAAATCTATTTTGGAAATAGTTAATAGATAGGAATATGTACAATTTTCATTCTTCAATTTGTTTATTTGAAAAATAAATTGTCAATAAAAATTTTCAAGCATTAAATTTGGACGTCTTTTACTATTACTGTTACAATATTAGTGCATGGTATTAACTTGATATTTATATTTCTTTGGTTATCTGACTGTGTTAGACAGGCAACCAATCTCGTCAATTTCAACATCGACTACATCGCCTTTCTAAAAAAAAATGAAATGAAAAGCAATTAGAAGATCTTCAATGAATAATAAGCAGTAGCGTAGCCGGCCCAACGATTTAGTCCCGCTACGCGAAGATTTTCGTGTTCATTGACTGTGAAAACAATAAATTTCTAAAGAAATGAATAATGATAATAATTTTGAATTTGCATAGCGGGACTAAAATGTCGGGCTGGCTACGCCACTGATAATAAGTATATGTTATCACAAGGTGTACCTTAAGAAACAAGGGAGGTTTCTTAAACAATCCTACGCCAGGGGGAGTTCCAGTGAGGATAACGTCACCTGGTTTCAGCGTCATAAATCTAAATCAAGTGGAAAACACTGAATAAAAAAACACAGAGCAGCATAGTTTCTATTTTGGCTATAAATTTGCAACTTCACATAGCACTGCGTTGTAGAGGTCCGCTTTGCCTCTTTCTAATCAACAAATCACATAATATCCTTTTGATTTGTGGAAATCGCCATGCATGACGTATATTTATTGTTGCAAAATTTTAGATAGTTAAGACTGTTCACACTATCAAAGTATCTGTGATCACAGTAGGAATTTTGAATGGGTAAATTCTACGTTTTGAAGGAGCTGAAAGAAATGTTTGAGGGATAAACAACGAGTCATTTCCCTCAAAAAATTTTTACTAATCATTCAAAACTTATAATTTACGATGGATAATTCCTATATACACTGTTTCAATAATTACGCCATTTCATTTAGCCTGGAAGCCTCGCTCTCATGAATCGTGAGCCAATCACCTTGCGTAATTTACTGATGATGGCGAGGCTCCAGGACCATAAAGTATGTGTGACGTAATTATCGAAAGGATGTATTGGGATCACAGAATCGTTGATAGAGTAAACCCAGGCGCCTTCACTTACTGTGATATATACGATATCGCAGAGGCAGTTTTAAACACCATTTTTTCAGTATTTGAATTTTGCATTGTCTCGCCATTTAAACGACATCTTATGCCTAGTTTATGCGGATCTAGGTGTAAATAAAATCAGATTAGCATGTGCCTGAAAATCCAGATAATTACAATAACCTTCGATCAAATAAAAAGACAATGGGAAATAAACAAGACTCTACTGAATAACACCGAATTGGTTTGTTTTTTTTAGTAAACTTACAGTAATTGAAGTATTGACTAGGCAAAAGTAGGAATACATTCTTTCTCGCAATTCAGAGTACTCAAAATCATTGTTATATTTGCATACCTGACAAACTATTCTTGTGAACAATAGAAGGTCCCAGAGGACAAAATGTATCAAACGACTTCCCCAACCCCCATTGACCGTTATTTTTATGTAGTTGCCAGTCTCGCGCGCTGACGTCATGTGCAACTGTGTAACCAAACACGTGGTCCATTGCTTCAGACTCCTTTGAAAAACACACAGGGAAATATTTTATAATTTGTTATTGTCCATTTTCTAATGTGTCTGGTCGAACCTTTATACGTGTGCAACGATGATCAAACAACTCAAATGAGTTTAGTCAAGTTATCGATGTCGTTACATGAAATAATGCCAGCCTATATTGGTGGCGTTTGTGTTCCCCTGTTATCATCGTCTTTCTGTACAAAACATTGCATATTCTGCATTTTACCATCCAGTTGTTACCCTGGGTACTGGTTCGTAATGGGGAATACGACAGGAAGTTAAATACAATCAGACTCCCTGGGGACGAGGTTGGTTGGGTGACTTGGAACCATGTGGAACAAACATACAGACTTCGCTAATTATGCAAATGTTTAGATTAAATGACGTCACATTTTAAATATAATACAACGCTCAAATCTTCGAATCACTAACTTTTGCAAACAGGTTTGTACGTATATCAGACAAGTTCAGTTCTTAGGCTTCAGAGGTCTCCATTATATAAAATTGAATAGCAAATTTTTTATATGAAATTGAATAGTAATTTTTTTCAATTTTTGGACATGTGCTTCACAAAAAACTTTCAGACAGGTATATATTTTTTTACAAACCTTTAGTTTGTGTCCAATTTTGCCAATAATAATCGCCATCTCCACTTCATAATCTAATTCCTACGTAAAAGTATTTTCAATGACAGAATATTTTAAAATACCATTTTTATTGGCCTTATAGCTATCACGTAGTTTGCCAATGCTTATTTAGAGAACGTTGACTAATAGCTAAACTGTTAGTTAGATAACAATTTCAAGTCCAGTTGGTCCAATATAGTCAGGTGGCTAGGGAGTATGGGGCATCCATTTAGTACGTACGCAAAAAAATTCGCATGCATTTTAACGTACGCAAAGAACAATAGAAATGATGTCGTTTACAGTAAAGGGGCAGTGTCACGGCGCTGATTGGCTAAAATAAACGGCGCAAAGAAACGTTTAAAATTAATGCTACATTGCGGGAACCACTGAGTATTTTGATAAAATACAAAACAATAGATACTCCGAAAATTGAAAGCATTTTGAAAAATTTATTTCGACGTTTCGACTAAACTATAGTCATCAGGTTCATTTCCTGATGATGACTATAGTTTAGTCGAGACGTCGAAATAAATTTTTCAAAATGCTTTCAATTTTCGGAGTATCTATTGTTTTGTATTTTAATGCTACATGATTGGAAAAGATGCAGCAGCCTTTTAAAACAAAGCAAGGATGTCCTGCATAACGAACGGATTATAAATAGTACATCGTATTTCACTCCTAACTTGATTAATTGTTGGCAGACAGTTTTTCAAGTTTGCGCATATTTTGGATGCGCAAGTAGAACCGTGACACTGTCCCTTTAACAATAGGCATACGCAAAAACTGCACAATTTCAAACTTCCCGCGACACCCTTTAAAGTTGCGTATGTACTGTACTAAATGGACCCCCTATTTGGCTTAGTGCAAAATTTCATTCAAACCGTTACAGATGGTCGTGCACCGTTCCCAGACCTATCCACTAGTTATTAAATTTGAATTTTTGCTGGGAGCCCAAAATGTTTGTGGATTTTTGTGCTTGTGCCTATATACTTTCTAAAATGATAAATTTTAGAATTTCAGCAATGCCAAAATAGATATTTGCAGTAACACAAATAACAAATATTTTGCCCCTTCATACATTACGACTGCTTGATCAAAAGAAATTGATCATTCAAATTCTGTGAAAGTGTGTAACTGTGCATGTACATTGTGTGCATGTCCATGGACCATGGTTAGTCCATGGACCATGGTTGGACCATGGTGAATTTTTTCAATTCTGTATATAAGCTATTAATAATTTCATGACCATGCAATATATAGACTATAGTGTTGCCCAAGATCTTATTTTGATCCATTCCAGGCAATGCATAGCTGAGATGCTAAGATTGGCCATTTTTTTCTTTTAATGAGAAAATATACAGGAAAAAACACAAAATGATCCTGAAAAAAGGTCTCAAAGCATTTATTTAAATTTTGAGCTCTTGGCTAACATTCAAAGTGGACAACTGGTTGAAGATCCGAGAAGAGTTTGTTGCTTTTATCTGACCTGTAAGTGTGACGCTTTTTTTAAACCACCTGACTAATTTGGTTCATAGTTTGCACAGAAAAGTCTGGTTCACTTATTTTTATTTTAGGCTTCCCTGATGAACTTGCAGTTCTGTAACTATTTAATAAGTATTTAACCATTGTAGAACACTAAAGATTAAAGAATTTCCAAAACTTGATTTAGTGTGGGATATTAGAGCACGATTTTACATGCTATATCATACACAACATTATGGTCGTAACATTAAATATTTTTATCAAATTGTACATAACCTTACTTTAACAATATCCGGGCAAACTATATCTTCCCCCTGACCAATAACAGCGCTTGGAAGTTTAAAAAATAATATAGGTGCCTCTGGGATAGGCTGGTTTTGTTCCAGACAGTGGTCAACATAATTCATTCCTAAACAAATTATTTTCTCTGGATTCTGAATTGGAGCCTTGATCTTCACTTCCTCTCTTTTTATTACACCTTTTCCACTTGCGACAGCTCTAAAAGATGATACTATGTTTCTATGTCGTTTTGGGTTTGTAATAAATATAGTACAAGATGTTTTATTGTGTAAATTGTTGCTCACACATAGAATGTCCACAATATATGTTTTAACGCATGATACAGGATGTTTACTTGATAAGGAGGATGTGCTGGGATCTTGAAAAGGATGATGAATGAGCAACGGCCCAGGCCCAGTGACGGATGGATCAAGATTGGGGTGGGGTATTACTGTTCAAACATGAAACATTTCAGTCGGTAATTAATCTTTTTCCCCAAATTTTTGGCGAGGGGGGGGGGGAAGATAAAAAAAAATTAGGGGCCCATGATGGCAAGAGACCCACAACAAGTTCTCATCGGCTTGTCCCTATCCGAGGATAAGAGAAAAATATAGGATTCAGGATTTCAAGTTGTTGCAGACTATGGGATAAGGCACATCTCTACTGGATAGTAAGAGAATTTGAGTACGGATTTGGAAATGAAGAATCTGGAACCGATATGGTTGATAGCCTATTGAGAACCTTGCTATTATTAGTTCTGTAGCATTTTAAGGATTGGAAAATTTCATAGTAGAACAATAATTATTGGAACTAGAATAGTCAGTTATTGTTATAGAATGATAGAGAGCATGCCTGCTAAACTCTATTCCTCTGCAAAAACCACGGATCTCAGAGGCAAAAACCAATAAAATAATGCAAAGTTTACAACCGGGGTTTTTCCCTACTACAGAGAAAACCCACGTTTAACCTTAACCAATGAAAACACTCCATGTAACAAATAAATAAACTATCAAATTGAATTGGATATTTTGCAATAATATTTCCATTGATCTAAATGTTACTTAGCGACACTTACTCTTTCAAATGGAATTTTCGAAAGTGCATGCATTAATGGTTCGTATTTAACTAGCAAACTCCAAATTTTATATATATAAATAGTTTTATACGATATAACTAATGTAAACCTTTCTATTAAAACGTTTCAATATATACGTGATAAATTATTTAATAGCATAAAAATGTTACAGTCAATTGATATTATAATGAATCGAATTAGAAATGAATATAGAACAATGATCAATTATGATATACTCACCGGCTAGCAGCGAGCAACGCACTTTCTCCTGCCTCCAAAAATGACCTCGTATCGCTTGGTATCGAGGCATCAACGGCACTTAAATCTACGATATCACCATTCTGGGCAACTTCAGCCCCAATTCTTGTACAACCATTCTGACAAAACTGAACAAGACGCATGTTTTTGGCCCGTTTTCAAGTCCACACTGCGCGACAAGTTTGCAAATGACGGAATAGGATTGTAAGTCGGGTACCGGTGAAAAAGACCTTGGACATAATTCCGGGAATATAGTTCCGCCTTTCGTACACGCGCTATCCACGCGTGAAATACGTAACCATTGTGTTCGCAACAACCTTGTTGATATTATCAGACTTGTTGCAAGGTTGTTCCAACAAGTCAGATACAGTCATGACGATATTGTTACAACCTTGTGTGATCAGCTTGTAACATTCTTGTTATATCATGACTGTATAGACTTGTTAGAACAACCTTGTAACAAGTCTGATAATGCCATCAAGCTTGTTACAAGTTGTTAACAGCTTATACCAAACTTGCTCCAACAACTGGGAACAAGCAGTGCGAACACAACTTGTTGACAACTTGTGAACAGATTTGTAACAACTCGTTTGCAGACTTGTAACAACTTGTGCGTTTTTACGTGTCTACTAAATACTAATGGTTGGTACATGTGTAAAATTCTCACATCTTGTAACAAGTCTCCCAACAAAGCTGTCAACAAGTTGTGTTCGCACTGCTTGTCCCAAGTTGTCAACAAGTTTGGAACAAACTGTTAACAGCTTAATATACACTGAACCTTGTTGATATTATCCGACATGTTGCAAGGTTATTCCAACAAGTCTGCTACAGTCTCAGATAACAATATTGTTAGAACCTTGAGTCAACCTTGTAACATCTTGTTATATCATGCATAGGCGTAACGGGCGGGGGGGGCGGTAGCCCCCCCCCCAGTTTTTTGGACAGTCTGGCAATATTGGATAAACAGTCGGGCAATTTTGGTTTGTAATAAAAATAAATGGGAAAAATTCTGTCAATTTAGTCGAAAATTCAGTCAATTTTGTGTTGTTTGGAAAAGTTGTGTGATGTTCCGAAAAATTTTGGTATGTCCGGAAAAATTTCTGACCCCTAAAATGGTACACTGACCGAAATTTTTTTGGCGACGGGGGGGGGGAGGTCGCCGAAATAATTTTTCCGGAAAAATTTTTTTAGGTACTAGTCGGGCACAATCACGAAAAGTCGGGCAAATTTCTGTCCGCCCCCCTAATTTTTTCCTTCCGGTACGCCCATGATATCATGACTGTATCAGACTTGTCAGAACACCTTGAAATAAGTCTGATAATGCCATCAAGCTTGTTACAAGTTGTTAACAACTTGTTCCAAACTTGTTACAACAACTGAGAACAAGCAGTGCAAACACAACTGCAAACAAATTGTTACAAATCTGTTCACACGCTGTTGACAAGTTGCGTTCGCACTCACTGTTTGCTCATAGTTGTTGTAAGAAGTTTGGAACAAGCTGTTAACAACTTGTAACAATTAAGCTTGATGGAATTATCAGACTTGTCGATCTAGGACTGGACTAGTTACAAGGTTGTTCTAACAAGTCTGGTACAGTCATGATATAACAAGAATGTTGCAAGGTTGAAGACAAAAGGTTATAGCAATATTGTCATATCATGACTATATCAGACTTGTTGGAACAACCTTGCAACAAGCAGGGCCGTAGCTAGACCGATAATTTTTTTTTGGGGGGGTTGCATATTCATATATCGTGTTCTGCCCGACAGATTTCTTTTGAAATCGATTGTTTTTACGTATATGAACATGAATGTATGAATATACCCCCCCCCCCCCTCAATTATAGCCAGGCGTTTAGTGCGGGCGGTAGAAGACTAAACGCGGGGGGCACTACCTACACTGGCACAGACCGTTCAAAATGCGTGTATATCCTCGCGTGGAGGCCTTGTATATCCCGCGCGAACAACACGTCATGCTCGTGTATGACCCGCGCGATTTACGCGTGGAGCACGTGTATTTCACTCACGAAGAAGCACGAGGGTTGGAAAATGGTGAGTTGATGTGAAAATTTTCTTTGAAAATATCATCAAAACGGACATTTTAATAGCTTGATCTTGCTTTTTAGGTTCTCTACACTATCTACGAACATGCCTCTGGTTATGGCATCTTCAAGGTCGTCGCACAAGAAGAAATCGGCGTGTTATTGCCAGAAGTACAAGAAGCACAAACCGATTTGGCTCGCTTTGGTAAACTTGTAAAATTGGTCGCTTTTTTGCCTTTTAAGTCGGCTGCAAATGCATTGGATAATATTAACTGCATTTCTGAAGGTAAGGGGTGCTGACTTATATATGTTTATATACACTGATAGCATGCTATGATTCTAAAGACTGGTTGCCATTGATAAATTGTAATATCGCAAGAGTATAAATGCATCGCAAGAGTAATAGAAATAGGCTGATTGCAATTTCTGCGATTATGATTGGTCCGATTCTTGCGATTTAATGGCAACCAGGTTATAGAAACAGGCTGGCCGGGTACATTTCATGTAAACTCTACGCCGAAGATGTGCCAATATTAACTATAGATAGTATTGTAATTTGCGAAATTCATGCCGAAGATCTTTGGCATATGCCACTTAAAAGGCACCCTGGCAGGCTGGTTGTGATTTCTGCGATTGGGTCATTCCAGAAAAGATCCATACCCCCCTACGGAGGAAATCGAAAATAACCCCCTCCCCCCCTTCGGACATCCTTGAATGGTTCATCCTCCCCCCTCTCCGGACATCAAAGCCCAAAATTACCCCCCTCCCCTTCGGACATCCACTACTTCTAAATTTTTCTAAAGGCTACCTCGCCGTTTGAAAACGTTACCGAAAATTAGACTACGTTCACACTACGCGCGAGCGAACTAATGCAGGCAGAATTTACGTGTGTTCACACTGCCGCCATTACAGTTTGTTTACAAATTGAATTAGTACTCGCGTAAACCCAAAATATTTCAAATAGACCCAAGAAATTTAACTGAAAAGCATTCGAGTTTACATGTTTGTGTTCACACGGAGCTATCAAGCGCTTCGCCGTTTTTACCTCGCTCCGTTTAGAAACCGTGCTCAAATTGTTACGGCAAAAGTGACGTGAAAGTTTTCAAACGATTTCGCTCCAGCGTAGAGTGAATTAGTGATGGCTTATTGTGACTTTTCTACGCTGTTTTCAAATAGCTCTGGCGTGGCGGAACACTTGGCGGCTTCTTGTGACTTGCGAACACAAACACGTGGCAGGTTTTGTCGGATAATTTGCAGAAATTCACTTCGAAATTTGTTCAAGTAAAATTCGGACTGAAATTCGATGTAACTTGCGACTGATTGACAAGCGTTGCTGTGTTTACTTACATGTTAATGCATTTTTTAGTATTACTGCATTCCTTAACCTCGCCCTTAATATGAAAGCCATTTCTATTTTCTAGACACGCACCTCGCAAGGAAGCTTCATTGACTATATGCTAAAACAAATTGTTTTGAGTTCAGTTCACATAGCAGTCTCTTAATTCGAGCAACAGTTTAATAACTATTATTTTTAACACTTGAATAATTCAAACTTATATATACGAACGAAAACTGCAAACTATATAAATAAAGCGTGTCAATTTTCGACTCATTCTCAACATGCAGAATACGCTGTTACAGCAAGTTAGTTTTTGGGCCTTTTTGGTGGCCATGCATGCAAAAGTGGGCCGCTTATTTTGCTTACGAGTTACGTGGACGTATAATTATTGCTGTTACATAAACGTTCCGGTGTTCAAGAGCTACATATATAGCCGATAAAAATTGCGTGCTCATTATAATCGCCAATCACATGGCTTTATCACAGTCTCAAACCTTGAGATAAACATATCCACATTCCTCTCTTCGGACATCCTAAGACACTTCCTCTCCCCCCCTTCGGACATCCTAAGACATTTTCCCTCCCTCCCCCTTCGAACAGCAAAAATTTTCTCCGTGGGGGGGGGGGAATGGATCTTTTCTGGAACGACCCATTGTGATTGTCTGATTCTTGCAATTGCATACCCTGGTTGTCAGAGGTTCTGTATCTTTCACCTTATTCCCGCTTGTATTTATTTTACGCGATGCGAAGAGAACCTCTGGTGGCACGCGATACAAATCTCTCTTCCATGCTGACGTTGCCGTTTGAGAAATTGCAAAACCGGTTTTATATTTTGTGACATTTTTAAACTTCTGGGTTTGTCATACTACCAAAATAGCTCTCTTCAGACTGTTTGGCAGCCTTGTGTAAAACATTAAAAATAAGCAGCCCACAAAGCTTCTCGCCATGCACAAAGCCAAAAGCAACCTTACTGATTGTTAAATTTGTGGAATGCCGTTTGTATTAGCGAACATATAAAGTCAAAAGTGAAAGAATATAAATATTTATATGTATGTGTGCAACGGAGCCAGTATGTATGTTGTCCTTAACAGACAACGGAAAAATATTGGCAAAATAAATCATATTAAGAACTATTAAAGTCAAACAATTACCAAAATTTAAAACCTTGAACGATATAAAGCAAGGGGTCATTCCAGAAAACATCCATACCACCCCCACAGAGGAAATAGGAAGTTAACCCCCCTACCCCCTTCGGTTGTCCTAATACATTTACTATTATCAGAAACAATTTTTTCTCCCCTCCCCCTCCGGACGGCAGACATTTCCTCCGTGGGGGGAGTATGGATCTTTTCTGGAACGACCCAAGTGGCTTTGAAGCAATCAGACGCTGATTAGTCCACCATTTGACTTGTGTGAGACTGTGGTTATATGTAAAGTATTTAAAAATTAAACAAACACGCAAAATAAAGCCATTTAAAGGGTTGTTTTTTAGCCTGGGCTGAAATTATTTGCGATTACATGCATGCCGGGCTGAGTTTCAGCCTGGGCTGAAATTTCAGCCTGGGCAGCTCAAACCGGTCATGTAATCGCTTGCTGTGTTTTAAATTAATAGAATTTTATCATTAGGCCGGGCTGAAAACTCTCCATGTAATCAGCCGCTTAGTGTGATAAATCTGTGTATATAGTCTATGTAATGTGGTGGATTATTAAACAGACTTGATATGAAATCTGATCCTTAATTTCCTGTGTGTCAATGAGACGCACATGTTTAATATATGTCACCTCTGATTGCCCTTTAACCCCTGGTCTTTGCTTGCATGACTCTTGACACTTGCATGACACTTGCTATTTTAATGTATATTGCTTCTTCTTAGTTCCATTCACAGCTCACTAGATGCTGCGAGTAGTCACGGTGCTTGATATAATTTGTGCTTTTTACTGTAGTTCTATTTGCTTTTAATGCCCACAGCAATCCCTACCTTGCAGGTACCCTAGTTGCAAAAATTATTAAAACCACATTATCTATAAAGGGACATTCCAGAAAACATCTGCTGTTGTCGTTGCTGCCTACACTGGCACCAACTGTTCAAGATTGTGGCTTATCATATGATATACTTCAAGCATAGCAGACTGTGCTTCACTTGGTTTTGTAATGGTGAAATATACTTATTTTCAAGAAACTATAAAAGCCATGGGGGTACCGGAAGGAAAAAATTAGAGGGGCGGAAAGAAATTTGCCCGACTTTTTCGCCCCTTTACCCATGATAAAAGCTAGTCAATCCAGGCTAGTGTCCAATCCACAGCTCTATCCAATTGTCAGACTGAAAATGATGTCTGTAAAAGACTCCTCAAAATTAATCATTGAACCAGTCTACCAATTTCTTTTCAAAAAAATTCCTGACCATATGTACAGTTTACCGAGCATCCTATCAATTGACTAATTTACTGACTGGTTCATGCAAAAGTGGGGACTTAACACCTCACACATATACACACCTCACACACATACACACCCTGCCCCCACACACTACATCCATGAGTGTACAGTAGCTCTGTTCTGGAATGACCCAATATACCATTGTTAGAATTTTTAAATTAACACATATCTTATGGACATTCCTTCAATGTTGATTTCCCTCTTTTAAGGTGTGATCCATGATGATCTTAAGGTTTTCCTGGAAAGTAATATTCCTGTTGGCAAGAAAAAATCTAAAGTCAGTTTGGGTGTCTCTGATCCAAAGCTTGGTGCAGCCATTCAAGAATCTTGTGAAATCCAATGCGAAGCTGGAGGGATTGTCAATGAAGTAATACGTGGCATAAGACTGTACTTTCACAAGATGATCTCAGGATTATCTGACACAATGGCCGGAAAAGCTCAGCTTGGATTGGGACACAGTTATTCTCGGGCAAAAGTGAAATTTAATGTTCATCGAGCTGATAATATGATTATCCAGTCAATTAGTTTGTTGGACCAGCTTGATAAGGATGTCAATACTTTCTCAATGAGAATCAGGTTGGTAATATTTTGATTTAGGGAAAGAATGTTTTAACCAAGGGCAAAATAATCATGATTAGGTAATTTCCTCCCCCACAGAGGAAATTGGAAGTTAACACACTCTCTACCTCCTTCGGATGGATGTTTACTTTCATTCAATTTGTTCTAAAAGTGCTACTTTTTTCTGAGCTATACCAAGGGAGTTAAGGTGCTGGTACACCAGTTTGGGTGCCAAAAAATTTCACCAATGATTAAGGTGTGGACTATCCAATAACCATTGAGTACTGAAATACCATCCCTTAGGACAAAGAATTACATCTCAATAATTGAGGAAATTACCTTTCCGAGACACTGAATTCCAATGTGTTGTTGGGATGCAGCATCCCCAAGTCTTCTTGCATTCTCGTCCTCTTCTCTTGATCAATAATGGGTGTGCCCAGGTTGACACAGGGTGAGTTAGGATAAACAAAGGAAAGTACTATCACAATTGTTGTAAAGATAATTAGTCTAGGCTAGGTACATAGGCACTGATCTGAAATAAGACTGGATAACGCATCTATAGTATACAAAAGTGAAGCCGGAAGTCACCGGCCGCCACCCGATTCTGGGGCCCCACTTTTGTATAGATTTGTATTACAGACGGTAGTTTTTCACGTTTTTTGCCTTGGCTACGTTTCCGATCGGGCCAATTTTACAATCACAACGATAGAAGCATACAAGAAGAATTTTGAGCAAAAAATTTGGAGTATTATGGCTTTATAACTCCGCGAAATGAGATTTACAACTCTGAAGGAGTGGAGAGCCTCAGACTTTGCTTATCAACACGAGCTCGTTTTGCTACTTTCATACAAAATAAACTCAAAATATACAAGAATTCTTGTTACTGGACGAATACTCTCACAAAATTTGAAGAAATGAAGCAGCTACATTGTGAACGAAAGCGTACAGAGGTTAGTTTTAAAATACCTTGAGGCTACTTCCATAATTATATGAATTAAAATAACATTGAGTCGTTGTTTATAATTGGATTAAAAATATTTCATTGTCACTTGTCTTCCTACTTTAAAACATATAAAACTTCTCGACAAGTCGCCTAGGAATGCTTTTGACAAAATTGACATTTAAAACTGTTCCTTATTATAGTCTTATTAAATTCGTATAATTATAAAAGTAGCCTCAAGGTATTTTAAAACTAACCGCCTCAGTACGCTTTCGTTCACAATGTAGCTGCTTCATTTCTTCAAGTTTCCTGAGAATATTTGTCCAGTAAACAGTAATTCTTGTATATTTTAAGCGATTTTGTATGAAAGTACCAAACGAGCTCGTGTTGATAAACAAAGTCTAACCTCTGTACGCTTTCATTCACAATGTAGCTGCTTCATTTCTTCAAATTTCGTGAGAATATTCGTCCAGTAACAACAATTCTTGTATATTTTGAGTTGATTTTGTATGAAAGTAGCAAAACGAGCTCGTGTTGATAAGCAAAGTCTGAGGCTCTCCACTCCTTCAGAGTTGTAAATCCCGTTTCGCGGCGTTATAAACCCATAATACTCCAAATTTTTTGCTCAAAATTCTTCTTGTATGCTTCTATTGTTGTGATTGTAAAATTGGCCCGATCGGAAACGTAGCCAAGGCAAAAAACGCGAAAAACTACCGTCTGTAATACAAATCTATACAAAAGTGGGGCCCCAGAATCGGGTGGCGGCCGGTGACTTCCGGCTTCACTTTTGTATACTATAGATGCGTTATCCAGTCTTATTTCAGATCAGTGTACGTAGGTAATACAAGTAAGCATAATACTTGATGTAATCGGTCACTGAAAAGCCCTGTTGGGGAGTGAGCTGAATACTTTACAATCATATGTATGTGATTTTTGCATTGGAAACCCTGTACTTTCTAATTAGTTATCTTGTTCTTGCTTTAATACACTATTTTTCCTTCATTCTCTTGATATGGCTATACCTTCTCAGTCGACATATATAGTATCTTCTCTCTCGTCTCCACAACCTTCAATTCCTTTCTTGTACAGTATCCTTGTTTCTCATTCTCTCTTTTCTATCTCCTCTAATATTTTTGCAGTCTATATCTAATCTCTGCTATACTACAATCCTGGCAAAAAGTATTGTGGACAGCCTGTGCATAAACAGAAAGTTTGCAGCTGTAAGTGTCCACAAAATTTTTGCCATGGTTATAGTATTGTGCAAAAATCTTTTGTTTCATTTCACTAGGGAATGGTACTCTTACCACTTTCCTGAATTGGTGAAGATTGTTGCAGATAATCTCCTGTATGCACGAGTGGTAAGATACATCAAATCACGCAAAGATCTGACTGAGGACAGACTTGAGGGACTTGAGGAGATTGTCCAAGATGAAGCCAAAACAAAGGCCATTTATGATGCATCTCGATCTTCCATGGGTATGCAAATAAAAAATTATTGATAGAACTTTAATGCTGGTTTACACTACCAACGTTTCTGTGATAACAGTAGGAATTTTGCATTGGTAACTTCTAAGTTGTGAAGAACTAAAACATTTCTTAAGAATCCTTCAAAACTTAGAATTTACCTAATTCCTACTGTGATCACAGAAACTTTGATAGTGTTAAAACCAGCATTTATACAGTTAATTTGGTCACACCTCCTATCTTTATTGGGAAGTACACAATATTGTTAATTCCAAGAAAAACAACATGCCATAATTACTGTACTAAGTCTAAGGGAAAGGTTATTTTCTCTATATATTATATCTTTCAACTGGTCCTTGTATTTTGAGTTCAACCCAACTCTATAAGTTGGTCATAACATTTCACATTGTGTTCGGAGGATAATTTATAATATAGTTTAGGCAACTGAATATATGCCCAAGTTGTGTAGTTTGTTCACAGTTGAGTTACAGTAGATATCATCCTCAATTATAAACATTGTGTTGTAGGGATGGATATTTCTCCCATTGACTTGATCAACATCCAGGCATTTGCATCCAAAGTGATTGGTCTTACAGAATACAGAACAAAACTTCACAATTATTTGGTCTCAAAAATGGGTTCAGTTGCGCCAAATCTCACCGCTCTGGTGGGCGAACAGGTACTCATTGAATATGTCCACATTATATTGTCATACTTTTCATAAGCTGATTGAGAATGATTGTTGCCAAAACTAAAGTCCCTAGCTTACAGATGAAAACGTTTTGTTTGTTCATTTCAAATCTCTATATAGACCATGTTTATGATAAGATTTTTGTAACAACTTTAACTCTTAAAGTGGCAAATACGCCCTAATGCATTATTATTATTATTTTATTCTTCTGATCATCATGAGTAGATTGCTGGCCCTCAGTGGGTTTACAGGTCAATTTCCACATTAATTAACCATTAATGCATATGACTCTCCCCTTGTCAAGTAAAATTGTTTGGCATTAGACAGAGTAAAATAATAAAGTCTGGTGACTGGTGCATTTGGGCAGATTGCAAAATAATTGGTTGACAACCTAAGTTTTAAGCAAGAGTACTTGTCGACATCAGGGTCTTAGCTAGGATTTGAGATCTTGGGCGTGTTTCTAATGACCAGGGTGTGCACATGTCAATTACTTTGAGTAGCCAAATTCACGGTTCTAGTTATACTCGCCAACAACAGACAATGCCTGTGGCTGTTCTATGCTTTGCAACCAATTTCAAGACGAGCATACGCTCAAACTGCGCAGTGACATTAGAATATTAGGTTATTGCAGCAACTCTTGGGGGTATTTAAAACCATTTTAACACCATACAGTTCATATCAACATTAAAACATCACGGATCACATTTCGTAAATTGGAAGAAATTCTGTCTGTTGTAAGTACTGTAGCATCACCTTATTTTATGAACCTACACGGCCTTATATAAATAATGAAGCCGCGTTCATTTTATCTAGCCGTGTTTTGCCACTTTTGGCCGCGAAAACACGGCCAACACGGCCCTCTAGCTAAGACCCTGCTTGTCGTAGAAAGTAGAAACAACCGAGACGTTCACTGTATATCAAAAAAGACAAATAAATTTGGCAACTTGTCGGTAACAAACCAATTGCCTGGCGTTGTAGGTTGGTGCACGGCTGATCTCCCATGCTGGAAGTCTGACCAACCTTGCTAAGTATCCTGCGTCTACAGTGCAAATCCTTGGCGCTGAAAAAGCACTCTTCAGGTTTGAAAGTGAAATGATTATAATTCGTAATTTAAAAGTGGAATTAGAAATAATTTCTTATTTAAAGGAAATCTCAATTTTAAAAAGTTATGAAAGCAATGCCTGTGACAACAAAATGGCGTCTTTTAGTTTTTGTTACGTGTTTATTTATCTCAAGTGAAAATGCTATTCCTGTATTCCATATATCAAAATAATCACTGCCATTGAAAGTTCATTCTTCTACATAACCACAGCATTTTAAAATTTGCCACTTTTCATTGAAATTTACATTTTACATGCTCTATAGCAGGGTCTTAGCCAGCCTACCCTCCAGCCGTCTTTTGGACGCCCATTTTCAAATTTGGACGGCCTTCTAAAAAAAGACTGCTTTTGGACGGTAAACATAAACATTGCTCACTTGCAAGCTGCCAAATCTGCCGAACCAAAGATTCCTAGGCCTAGCTGCCAAAAACCGTAGAATATATATAAGATAATTAGTTGCTTTTTGTTGTTTTTTGGTTGTGTTCTTCACTCACACTATAGCTTATCAAAGCTACAAGTACTGTATTTATAGCATGAAAGTGACAACATAATATCACTCATAAGATTAATATATTGGCAGATTTACTTAAACTGTACTACTGTAGTGAGTGTAGTGAGTAGTCCCATAGTCTGAATAATTGAATATATTATTAGTTTTTTGAGCGATTCTCAAGTGCGGTCACCGATTACTCCCAGCATTCGGGAATAATCACATTGAATTACTGGTGCATGAAGTGGTGCCATGGTTCCATATGGCAAAATATACGTGTCATAAATGAAATTTCAAATTTGGACACCCAAGTTGCAAATCCTGGCTAAGACCCTGCTCTATAGTTAAAAATTGCTATGCAAATTTTAACTTGCTAGTTGAAATCATGGATGAAACGATGTGTTTATCTTGTGTTTTCAGAGCGCTAAAAAAGAAAGGCAACACGCCAAAATACGGATTAATTTTTCATTCTTCCTTCATTGGTCGAGCAGCTACACAAAACAAGGGGCGTATTTCTCGATATCTTGCGAACAAATGTTCAATAGCTTCAAGAATAGATTGCTTTTCAGGTGAGTTTACCGATATGTTCTTATGCAGTGTATTGCAATCATGCTAATGAAGTGTTCTAAAAAATGTTGGAGTTCATTTCTGGAGTAAACATTTGTGTACTATACAACACAAATTATTTGCATGCAGTACAGTACAGAAAGCTGTAACTTTCATTGTAACATTGAGTAAAGGTCATATACAAATAGCAGCTACGTTTAGTTAGATCTGCAAAAATTCATGATATAAATATATTACTAGTTAACCATCGTCATCTTCCTCTTGTCTTTTAATATGTTAGAAGTACAATCGACCATATTTGGTGATAAGATGCATGAGCAGGTCGAAGAACGTCTAAAATTCTACGAAAGTGGCGAAGCTCCAAGAAAAAATATTGATGTCATGAAGGAAGCAATCTCAGAGGCAGCCAGTCAGACTGTGACGTCGGAAAAGAAGAAAAAGAAGAAACGAAAGAAGGAAAAAAATGGATTGGATGAAACGGTTGAAGAGAAGAAAAGTGAAACGCCTGCAAAAGAAACGCTTCCGGAGGAAACATCCAGTGCTTCGGAGAAGAAAAAGAAAAAGAAGAAGAAATCTGAGTCGTTTGAAGATTTGTCAGAAACAAAGGGTAACGAGAATATTTGTTTTGGTTTGTGGAGAACACCACCTGTATTTATGATTGCAAAGATGTCACTGGGTCACAAACCCAAACAAATATTATATTATCACAATAAAAACATACAAATAACTCACTTTAGTATGATTACATAGCCATAGGTGATTATTGAAAATTCTCCACGCTGATTGGTTACCGTTGAGGTGATTATAACGCGATAATCACCCAAGCGATTTTCAAAATGGCGGCCGAAGTCGCTTTGTCAATTAAAGGACGAAGAAATGTGTATTTTTTATTTTTTTCCAAATAATCATCTTTCAAATTATACTAAAACAATTATTCACCTGAGGCTCGGTGATTATCGTGAATAAAAACCTCGACTTCGTCTCGGTTTTTACTCACCTATCGATAATCACCTCTTAATTGTTAAGTGAAGGGTTTTGAACTTCTAATCTTGTTCAATTTTCCTTTCACACTTTCCATTCAGCTTAACTGATACTCAGTGAGCCAATTTACTGAAAAATGGAAGTAAATTAAAACTTACTAATAATAAAACCAAATTATATTATTACATTATCTGTCAACCTAATTAACTACAAAATTTTACAAGTATACTCAATGCATGGAATATATCAGTAATAGAATTTATAATATTTAAAAAAATCTATTGAATATATTTTATAATATTTAAAAAAATCTATTGAATATATTTTATAATATTTAAAAAAGTCTATTGAATATATTTTATAATATTTAAAAAATCTATTGAATATATTTTATAATATTTAAAAAAATCGAATGAAGAATAGAAGTTAAAATATTTTTCTATTTTTCCAAAAGATGCTGAAGAATTGGCGGCGGAAACGCCAAAGTCAAAAAAGAAGAAGAAAAAGCAGAGTGCGGAAGAGGAAGAAACGGAGACACCGAAAGAAAAGAAAAAGAAGCGAAAGCGCAGTGAAGTGGAAGTAGAGGTAGCAGGAGAGGCAGAAGAAGAACCACGATCTTTAAAAAAGAAAAAGAAGAAGAAGTCACTTAGTTCAAAGGAAGATGATTAAATCTGCAATGAATTTTATTTTAGTTTTACTTACTGTAATATCGTGTCCTCTTCAGATAAAGTCGCGTTTTACCTTAAACGGCTTATTTACATCATCCGCTGTGAAGGGGGCAAGGCTGAGGGAGGCGAGATGTTTTCACAGCATAAAAATAATGAAGTCAATAATTATAAAAAGTGGGAAAAAAGATAAAGAGGAGCTTATGTTATTGCTATCATCCTAACGTTGTTAATCGTATACTAGGAAAAAAATGTTGAATCAGAGGATGTGACTTTTTTCCAGTTATCGAAATCATTTCGCGTCTTGTCCCAACAATGTGAGACCATGTAAACGATCCCTCGTATACCTGTGCCACTACATTTAACCACTTACCCTTGTCATATTATGTATTTGGGTTATTTTGGTGTACGATAAAGGCGAGAAATTAAGTTGTCTCCCTCACATCCGGCAGTTGTTCGCCAACGTCTGCGAAGGATTAGGAGGCTAGAAATTAAGCACAATACAAAGTAAATCTTTATCTGGGCAACAGATACAAGGAAAAGAAGGGGACCTGTTCTTGTACATAGCTTTGCAACAATTCCCTTCGTTGTGTTAAGAGATTTCATTAGTGCATGGCAAATATGTATGATATGTAGGCCCCAGTTACACGATACTGGGTTCGCTTGTGACGACATCGAATTTAACTGTTTCAGGAATATCTTAACACTTAAAATTGCAATATGACAAAATAAAACAAAAACTGTAGAAGGGGAACATTTTGTGGTTAGACATTTCGCGTGAGCGGCATATTTTCATGTCGTAAAAAGCGAATCCGATATCATGTATAACTGGGGCCATTGTAGAAGCGAAAGAAGCTTTCTGAATAAAATATTTGTTATGAAACAAGAAATGTTTTGGCTATTTCTGTCGAAGTCTTTCAAACTTGCCATCCAGACTTTCCAATCTAGCAAACAAAGATCTTGGGTCTTTCTACGTTTTCCGTTTCGCGAATAATTATCCCACCAGTATTTTTATCCTGATTTCTGTCCTTCCGCCGTTTTTGCCAATTCCTCATTCCTCGATGCTTTGGGTATAAGTCGTTTCCGCAGCTTCTGTGTATAAATAGAGCTTTTTACACTTAGCTGTATGTCAGTTTGTTATTTGGCTATCTTTGGGGCGAGAGGAATCTATAGGATGAGAATTGACAGAAGACAAACGGAACATAAAGTCCTAAGTGAGACAGTTATTCATTTGGGGGGGGGGGGGCAAGGGTATTTTCGTGACTCGTGATTAGCAATTATTCGTGATTCGTGATTTAAAGAAATACCATTCCGTAAATCGTGATTAATATGCGTGCCGTGAATCGTGAAGAGTTAAAAGGCTAGCTAGGGTCTTGAATTTAGAAATATTTTACCCTAACTTGTGAATGTTTACGTTTAAAACTCGGCCCAAATGTAATAGTATGGGGAAAAATTAATAAATTTGCTTCCCGCGGTTGCCTTTCTTGAGGTTTCTTCGTTTCATCGGTAAACGTCGTTATCGTATACCTTCGTACCTCTTCGTAAACTTCGTGGACCATCGTACGATGCTCGTAATGTTTCGTAATGCCTCGCAATGATTTCCATTGTCCTTTAAACGGCTCTAATGTTAAAGTCAGTATGTGTTAAATGGTTTCAGACTTTGTTACGCTTCTGTGTTTCGTGACGAGACCCCCCCTTGCCCCCCCCCCCTCCTCTTCATTCGTCACGCTCTTTTCTAACTAATAAGTATAATATTCTGTCGTTTCCTACAATGGAAAGCACAAATAAAAAATGCCATTTAATATGTAAATTCGGTCTACTCCACTTGAGCCAAAACTCAAAAGCAACAATCGACAGCGACTCCTTCCAAACTGAAAAGCAACATTCGTCAGAAGACGGTGTATTTTGCAACGGTCACTTGAGGCTTGCTTTTTTCTCGCCGTTCGTATGTGTGCTCGTTGATAGGGTGGTAGACTGCTTAGTCTTTTTCAATCGGGATTACTTATACATCCCACTTCTGGTGTGAAATAAGTATCAACCGCAAAATCACCGTCGGCAGCGCAGGCTGAGAATTGTTTGAATTCATAGACGTTTTTGATTCTTAAGAATTAATTAACAGCTTTGTAATCGTGCAACCTTCATTAAGCACAACGTTGCCTCGCTTGTATGGTATGGACTTCATCTAACCCTTATTATAGTAGCTATATGAGAATGATCCCCCACCCCATCCGGTTCCTAACCCCTAAAGCATCCACATAGCTAGTGTCGTATGTTGGCAGCAAGAGGCGCCCTAGCAAGTGTTCAACTCTGTCACGTTTAACTTGGGTTCTTTGCAACTCACCAGCAAGCAAATATGATTAGCTGCTTTTAACTAGCGGTTTCGAAAACGAAGACCTGTGATGGGCCATCTAAATTTCGTCGCTTTCGTATCGATCATGAATACAAAGACCAATCAAGACTCGCTTTCGAATTACGAAAACAAAGACCCAACTTCGCTCTCATATTAATATAACGGACACCCATATATACTCATTCGCGTGATTCACAAAGTATAAGCGCAGAATGTCTCATGAAAATTTTTCGATAAATTTTTGAGATTGCACTTGTGGGGATGGAAGAGAAAACGGTTGTCATTTAATAATAGCATGGAAACCCGCAGATATATTCATAACAAAGACAAAGTCAGATACTAGACGTTGGTATGAGTAATTCAGTTAAGCCCTCAGTTAATCCAACAATGCAAGACCTGGACAGGTTAACTAGGTTAAACTCCAAATTTTAGTTTATTGTCAGAAACGTTTTATACTAAGCAAAAGGTGAATCAGTAAACTATGCCTATATATACAGTTTCAGTAACTATCATCAAATCTGTCAAATCTTATAAACTTTCGCACGCTGGGCTCGACTTTTTTCCATGTGTGCAATGAGCAGTGTCGCTCGTACTTGTAGAGAAAATTGTGAGACCAGTTGCAGCGATATGAGGTATGTGGAGATCTCAAACTCAGTAATAATTCATGAGCAAATTAGCGAATGAACTCACCCTAATTCGTCACATGATTGAGGTTGGATACCGCAAGGAAACACGCTAAAAATCATATACCATCACTGTTGTTAGATGAAAAACGGTTTTCATCTAATAACTGAGATCCTAATTACAAATTCAAGTCAAAACACAACAATATACTATAATAATATATATAAGCCAATGAAATGTTTTCGTTTGAGATGTTGTGTAAACAACTCGTTTCTCGTGTTTCATCAGGGGACCAAACACATACAGTTTTCTCGTGTTTGGATCCCCTGATGAAACACTCAAACTCGTTGTTTACATATAACTTCTCTAACTTCTTCAGGAAATACAATAATCACTGTCGAAGAATTTTGTAGATGGAAATTTTCGAGTCCATGTTGGAGCTCGACAACTGGACTCTGTAGCTCAGTTGGTTAGAGCGCTGCACCGGTTCGATCCCTGCCAGAGGGCATGTACTACTTGCATTCGTAGCTGCCCCCTGGTAATTTACACTCGAAAAATGCACAAAAATCCTAATATAATCACCTGTGTATAATCAAATCGTCATGATATAGTTTATGAGTGACCCTATTGCTGTCGTATGTAATCACATTAAATATAAAGTTTCTAACTAAAACAATATATAGATTATACAGTATACATCTCGTCGCTTTCTTTTACCACACGTTTACACTTCTTTTTTGCAAACCACGAAAAGAATGTAAATTAATTGGATATAGGGATTTTTTGTAATATGAAAGCGAAGATGGATTTTTGTAACGCCTTTGCAGAATTAACCCGCTGTGAAGGAAAAGGATTTATTCGGGTTTTTTTTATACGTAACACCTATAAAATACGTATCGTAGTGTAGCCGGTTGATAATTCCATTAAACTTTGCTTTATTCTATTAGGTATGTACTTTCTTGTATCCGTTACACTCGTTAGTAAAAAATCTTATTAATAAATTCGTAATCGGTTTCTCAAAAGCCAAAGAAGAAGGAAATGGGGAAATAGAAGGTACGACACTTATTACACATCGGACAGCGTTCTTGTCAACTGCTCTTCCTTCATTTGTTAGTAAAACCTGTATATGAGTTTTAAAGAGTTAAAAATATACAGTAATTTTTGTTTCTTTGCTCTTTGACTTTAAAGAACTAGATTCCTCAATTCCACGGAGACGAATACCTACATGGCTGTTACAATGCTTCCTATCATCCTTGCAAAGAATTCAAAACGTTTGTAAAACGGTAAGCCACTTATTCTACATCTCGTGTTCCGACCGATCAAAAATGGTTCCGCGAGTTCAATATTACTATAAACGACTCAAATGCAGTCATTCTGATGCCAGTGATGGCGACGTTATTCTTCACCAGCGCAATATATAGGCCCTTTTACACAATACGACTATATAGTGGTATGATTGTCATTCTGGCGTATGAAAACGACTGCTGAGTGCTGACGCCACTATTCCTATTCAATACATCTGCATGTTTATGGTGAAATGTGACATCTTTTCACGCGCCAGGATAAGAATCGTATACGAGCCTCATGAGTTATGTATATGGGCCTTGTATGTCTAACCCATTAGTCCGTATGGTGTGGCTCGATATTGACTATATATCTTGTAGTTTGGAAACTTTTAGATGATACAATTACCTAAAAAATAAATATATAAAGATCTACGACGTTTAGAGAGCGAAGGTCTTTCCTTTTCTCTGGCAGTATATTCTATATTTTTGCATCATCTATACGCATTTTATATACCTACATCCACGGACACCCACCGGCTACCGTTCAAGAAAAGCGCTGGAAAGGAGACCCTTCTCAGTAGCGGATACTTGCATGACCAAAACTTGGGGGATTTAGGTTGCAAACATATGCCACCTTTCGTTGCTCGAAATTTAAGTTCTTTGAACTTTTTGCCTTAAATTTAATGCAGTGTATAACTTAATTTATAGAACAAAAGTTATTCCGAATAAGGAGTGCATAATAATAACACACAATTTATAAAAACTGTATGTTTCGAATCAAATCTGATTCATGTTTTGCAAGATATCTTGCAAAACACTGCTGGAGATGAATCAGATTTGATTCGAAATATACAGTTTTCTAGTGATACCTTAATTGACAGCCTACCAAAGCTTTTATTGTTCAACTATTATTGGTACAGCTTTGTTACACAGTTATTCTGCTGTATCATTCAAAGGCTTTCATAAATTATATTATAGAGGGACGGTTGCCCCCGACCTAGTGCCTCCCACTGACCCTTCTCTGGACTAGCCCTTCCCTGGATATACCTTCTTCGCAAGTTGTGCTATATACACGTAGAAGCAAAGCCAAAAGACTTCCTTAATTCGACTCCTATTTTATGTAGTATGCTCGCGTGATTTACCAATTACTTTTAGAAAACGAATAGCAATGTTTGTACTTACTGAAAACAAAAACAATAATAAAACGATTACAATTCACAGGAAATGTACGTAGCTGAAACTGGCTGCCACTGGTCTAATTTTGTTAATGATATTTTACTCTAAAAAAGATTTGTTGCCCAACATATCCTGCGGATTTCCACATGGCATTTTCACACCTGAAAATAGACTAAAATCTAGCTTATAGCGTGAGAAATATAGCCACAACAACACGTACGTTTGCAGTCCACCTTTTCGAGGACGACGTACAGGGGGTATACACTGCACGTGTGCTGGAGCGCAATTTCTTTTCAAAACAAATATGAAAGGTTTCAGTCTTGCTAAACTATAATTTATGCATGATACGTGACATAACTTGCTATAGCGGAGGTAAGCAGTCTCTGAGTGCCCTCTAGTTTGGAATCAATTCTGGTGATGAAAATCTAATCTGGTGATAAAGACCACTGCACATTGGCAGCTGTGTCTTTCAAGTTCGCCCCTGAGCCTTGCTGAAGCTGGCACTCGTCAATCAGCTTGGGATAGGGTGTTATGTAGAGTGAGCGTTTAATTAACAGTTTAATGATGGTTAGTGTATAGGTATTAAGTGTCATTGGATGGTGGTCAACAGGCAGTTGTTAAAGTGAGAAATTCAAGTGTTAATTCTTTTCATTATATGTCGGAGTAGTCTGGCAAATAAATGGAATTGCTCCTGTATAAGTGTCAACATTTTTGAAGTTGACTTGGTGTCAGCTCAGATAGCGCAGAAAATGCCCCGAGGCTAGATATGATAGTATGCATTATTTGCTCCATGATTGTAGCTCATTGTAGCCTAAGCATGGTTGGCCTAGACTATAATCTCTGGTCTACTGCGCCCGAGAGTGAGGTCTACACGACCCGTGTCAGTGGGGCGCGTGTGTACACAACTCCAAATAAATAAGAAACACATAAACAAAGAAAATAAAGAACAAGCTTATAAGATCATGTCAAAACATCTCCTTGGCTACTCAATGTGATCGTTCTGCATCTTGAGTATTCAAGTGTGTATTGACGTACAGGTCAGTGAGTGTGGTCAAGGCCAGTGCCATTCATCAATATAATTCTGCCTGCACGCGGTATCTTCGCTTGTAGGTAAAGGAAACAAGTTATAGAAGTATTGGTATTCCGCATTCTTTGACTGAAAGATTGACCCAGATCTTCCTGTACTTCAAGAAGGAAGAAATACAATTGTTTGGTGTTTGACTATACTCATTTGGTTTTCCAGGTTGGTGGTCAACGTGAGAGAGAAAGGATTGTATCTTCAAAGCCGTAAGTTTTGTATTCGATCTTTTAATTTAATATACATTATAGTACGTTGAAACACTGCAATGTGTCAGGTCGATTTAAGGTTGTGCTAAATAGTTACCAATATTTGAAGAATAGTTTTTGGTCTGTGTCTGTGATACGTTTTTAGATGACTGCGTGGCAAGCCCATATTTTTCAACTATCATTGACTATATTAGATCTAGAACCGGTGCGACAAATCACATTGTGTAAACGTGTATAGCTTATCTCTTAAGCTGGAGAGGGTCCCGAAAGGGATTTCGTGGGAATGTTTGTTTCTTTTGACAAGGAGAAGCTGGGTGTGATCATGATGAATGAATGCGTCATGGTCAGTTTTAAATATTGCCGGAATTTCAAGTCTTGTAACCATTACTCATTAGGGATAAAACAAGATTAGCAACGAGTTTGGAATCTTTTTGTCGTATCCTATACCTCAAAACCATCATTGTGTAGGGATCATCGTTTCTGAAGTATTTTCGTCGTGAAATTAATCCATATAATGTGTAATTGCGGCCGTCAAAGTAATTTTCAGCCGGTCACTTTGGCATGGCGCTCATGCATGCGTTAATCGGTTATAGTTTTTGTGCGTAAACGTTGTGAACTTGTATCTATCTGCGTGGGACAAACTGTCGTGTTTTAGACTTTTGGTTTTTACGACACCGGTCGTAGTTGGGAACTGTACACCAACTCCTGTGATTCCATTTTCTTGTTGCATACACGCGCATTTGTAATGATTTCTCCGATTTCAGCATGCATGCATGTCGTATTGTAAAGGCGATATCAGGCGAGTTTTCTCACAGACAACTGTTCAAATCGTATTCTAACTATATCCATAATCAAAACAGTCGAGGTTGAAGAAAAGCATTCTTTAAAGAGCGCTGTGAAAGGATAGAAAAACTGTCTGATGCATCAGCAACGCGGCAGTACGCGTGATCAGCCAGATATAGCTAAAAATGTTTTATAAAATTTGTAATCGGAGAACCATCTCATGTATAGTTGTACTACTATATGGTTACATTTACTGACATGTAATTGTACAAAAATATATGCATGGCCGTAGGGATAACGATAATAAGTAGGGATAATAATTTTGAAACGTTTGAGAGCCGGAAAGGATTTCGGATTTTAGCGAATTTGGAGTCTTCTAAATTGGCTTGTCGGAGTGCCTGCGTGCATGCTGTAGTCGCATCTCGAAATGCTGTGATGCCGTGTATGTGCGAGTCCTAATATATAAAATATCACCGTTGGTGAAACTAAAAGTAGGTGGAATCCGTGGAAATCTTTGGAACTCATTAATACTAGATTTTTTTGTGCACTATAGCCATATTGCATGGTTAAATATACACGTTTTCGGCTTTTAAACGATCTCAAACGCTGGATAACCGAGTGTATATAGTATACCATGGTTGGTGTCTGAACTACAAAGGATGAAAGGCATTTTGTCAGGAAATTTGACTAATGACCTTCGCCATGGAAATAAAGAAATTAATTTTTTCGGGTAGTTCAGATACCAGTTTCCTCTCGGGTACCTATACTTATATATAACGGTTCCCGAGGCCGAGGGAAATAAGATACCAACTCTTCTAAATATAACGTCTCATCAATCAATCAGCTTCTCAAAATGATGGCATAATTAAATCAATAGGCAATATATATACTCAAGAATATTACATTGCTTTGACTGAAGTAATTATCGACTTTAGGGCGCGAACCCTCAAATAGTAACGCAAAGTGCTTTGTAACCCAATGCGGTTGGAGCACACGACGCACACTTCCTATTCTCTCTGTTATCATTGGGGGTTTTGAGTTAGATTTCCTTTCGATTGTGTGGAAGGCACATGCGCTATACGTGCGCAATCATGCAGCCGTACCTGATACAACGGCCGCGATTCGATTCCGGCAACCCTTCTGCGTGATTATAATTCCCCCTCAGTTATACGTTTGACGTTCCCAGTTTTGTTCTACCAAACCCGAAGGTTTTTTCAATCCTGTTGTGAATGCACACTATGGCCACTCAACGAAAAATGGGAAGAATTAGTGTGTTTTTTCGATGCTCCGGTTTCGTACTGTACTAACTAACAGAATAGACACATAACGACCCTTATTCCACCCTTTTTTATTTCCAACTCAAAGAGCTATCCATTCCTAATAGACAATTCCCATTATAGACTAATTTTAAAACTATATGCAAGGAGATGCAAATAAATCAGCACAGCTAGAATGAGCATATACTAACATGAGTAAAATTGCAAAGTTTGGTTGTAAAATGCTGAAAATATATAGCCATGCAAAGTTTGCAAATTTTGTATACTTTTGCATGCGTGCCGAAATTGCTACCATTTTCGGCTCAAATGTGGTAGCAATTTCCGCACGTAATACAAAAGTATACAAAATTTGCGAACTTTGCAAGGCTATATTCAGGGGCGTAGCGTGTGGGGGGGGGGGGTGTGTGTGACACCCCCCAGTTTTAGTGAGGTAGTCGGTAAAACGCGAAGTTATTCGGTAATGGCAAGAGCCATGACAGCGGTCGGTAAAACAAATCGGTTAAAGTGGAATTTTGCTCCTCGGTAAATGGCTTTTAATAATAAAAAAAAAATTAAATTAATGTTGTGCCTTGTTCTCCGATAAAGTTATGCAAAATGTACTACGTAATTCTTCAGTATTAAAACACTTATATTAAATATCTACGCATAAGCATTGGAGTCCCTAATTTCCTATCGTATTACACTTGCAAGAGCTGCAATAACAGTCGGTTCTGATTGGACATGTTCAACTGTGCGCGAACTTTTGACCTTGATACAATGATACGCAAAAGAATTAAAGATTATACTTATATATTTGTTATTGACACGCGGTGCTCATAAAATGTTTCGCCAATTTTTCAAGTCTGTTCATTACAATAAACAACAAGATAAATGCCATTGGGTAAAATGACTTATCGCGAAGTAACAAAGACAACAATTATTCCAATTAATAAAACATTTGCTACGTTTCTGGTTCTACGTTATTTCTAGACGGCTGACTAAAGTCACGGTAAGTGTCATTAAATTAAACGCGCGCCGAAATATTTATTTGTCAATTGCTGTATAGCTGTTATGGTATATGTTATATGTAGCGTATAAGGGGCGGTCACGGATTCTAATAAAACCTCACGGTGAGCTCACACTCACAGTCTCACAGCTTGTTAATATCTGACGGATTCTCACGGATTTCGAAAATAACACAACTTCAACAATATGGTTTTGTTTGATATAAATAAAAGCTACCAAACCTTGTGTGTATAAGGTACAGAAGGCTCTGAAAATGCCATTTCCAACGATCTAGAGACTCCATGCGCGCGTGGGTCGGTAAAACTTACATGTTACACCCCCAGTTGTGTTGGTCATGCTACGCCCCTGGCTATATTTTCCGCATTTTACAACATTTCGCAACCAAACTTTGCAATTTTATACTCATTTTAGTATGCTCTTTCTAGCTGTGGTGATTTATTTGCATTTCCTTGCCTAATTTTAAGATTATTCTATAATGGGAATTGTCTATTAGTGTTGGTTACTTTATAACTAAATACAGATAACTTATAGAAGTACTTGGTAGCTTGATACAGGTCAGAGGACATGCATGTACATGTAACGACGTTTTCAAAAGTTAATTTCGTTTTCAAAACCAGATTATAAAAAGAATCGAATGAGGCTACACAATGACTTTAAGTGGTACCCACCCCAGGGCAAATCTATTTTGTCGTGAGCTCACGGAAATTTGGTTATTATATTCAGACCTGCATGAGTATATAATTGTAAATAGCTCTTCAAAACTGCAATGGACTGATCATGCACTAAGAAACCCAATAGAAATTGGAAAAGTTTTGTTAATTAATATAATATCTTTACCATTGCCATTGCCATTGCCATTGTACATTAATATGAAGCAAATAATAAATACGACATTTCAACTGTTTGAATCGAATGGACGCAAAAATCAGTTGGTCGTTGCAATATGAACTTGTCAGTATATTGATGTTTGTGATGTTACTCTGACTGTGTGCATTCACACCGGGCAAGCTGAAAAGTTTGCCTGACAACGGTAGGAATCGAACCCGCTACCTTTGGGATATACTAGTCCAATGCTCTACCAACTGAGCTACGAGGACTAGTGACTTGACCTCGTAGCTCAGTTGGTAGAGCATAAGGGACCGGCCATTATTTATGGCGGGGGGTGGCACCGAAGAGAAAAGGGTTGGGTAAACAAAATTTTGAGTGAGTAAAAGGTTGGGTAAATGAAAAACTAAACAACTAAAGGGTTGGGTAATAAAAAATTATTGTCATTTCCAAAGAATGACTCACTGAAATATTGGAGACAAAAAAGCAATGTCAACAGTCATATGTAGATACAATATGTGAATCAATCAGATTCATTATCTTGATCATTTTCCGATTTGTTGCATGGGAGACAAATGGTGTCTCCAAAAAAACAACATGTGCAGACAATATGAAACTTTAGACTGCAGAAAATTTCACAAGCCGTTATCAAACTCATGTCACAGAAGTGGTAAAGGTATCCTTTGGTAAAGTTTTTGGCCAGGGGTGGGTATTTATTTTTTAATTGATACTTGAGGTTGGGTAATCAAGTTTTTGACTTTCTAATGGTTGGGTCAGCAAAATCTTTCCCACAAAAAACATTTCTCTTCGGTGCCACCCCCCACCATAAATAATGACCAGTCCCTAAGATCTAGATTGGACTATAGTATCCCAAACGTCGCGGGTTTAGCCTGCGTAGCAGGCGCTATTTTATGGGGGAAGGCGAGGGTGGGAGAAGCCGTAGGGGGGAAGGCGAAGGAGCGAGGAAAATTGGGAGAGGCGAGAAAAAAATAGCTATTTCAATTTTTTCCTCGCTCCTTCGCCTTCCCCCCTAGCTTCTCCCACCCCCGCCCTCCCCCATAAAATAGCGCCTGCTACGCAGGCTTTCGCGTCTTCGATTCCTACCGTTGTCAGGCAAACTTTTCAGCTTGCCTGGTGTGGATACACACTCAGAGTAACATCACAAACATCATATTCACCTGAGTACATAACACCAACACGCACAAAAAAGTTGTCAGTTATATTGGTTTAATTTCTTGCGTGCAAAAAAACAGCCGGAAATGCGTTCCACAGTATACTTGAGACAATTCAATAACTTTTTTTCCACATCTTTCCGAAGGAGTTGGTATATTGGAACCTTTCCGAAGGAGTTGGTATATTGTGCATGCATGCAGAAAAAAGGTTCTACAGTATATATTTCTCTTGTTTGTCTCTTTTTAAACAAGTTGGTCAGTGATGAAATGGCGGCGCTGATTCTGTTTGATTGTTGAAAAAACGAAAATTGTTGAAGACTGCCTGAAAATATGAAATATGTATATATCCACCGTCTATTAACCTCTATTAACCCCCGCCCCCATTGTATAAGCCTCTTCCTCTCCAATAAGCTCCGTGTTATTGGGAAATGAATTTATTAAGCCCCCTCTCTATTAATCCCCCCTCCCCCAATCTCGTACCCAGAGCCAAAGAATAATCAGATGGCTCTGGGCACAAGATTGCCTCACCGCCATCACAACAAACAAACACCACATATGTTCTGATCAAATTTATCATTTGGCTTGGAAATTCTATTTAAATATCAATTTTTATCAAAACTTCAATTTTTGAAAAGACATCTGGCAATATACTCAACGGGGAACTAATCAGTATTAAATACGGGTCAGCAGGAACCGTGTATATATATATAATATATTTAAATCTTAAGGTGCTTTGAAGATTAGGATAGAAGAGCTCTAATTCGATTAACTTGATTCCAACCAAATTATATGTGAAAAAATTCTTGAAAAACTATGGGAGCTTTCCATCTGCAGTAAACTCGTTTGGCATTGGAAAAAGAACTTTACCGAACCTTAACGAAGTGCAAAAAAACCCTTACCGAAGGTATGGAACCTTGAGGTACTCTTTCTTAACACTCGCATCCCTGAGTCACTGAGTGCATTTTTAAGGATTCTTAAGTGTTGGGGCAAAACTGCCAATAGGCCCATTCTCTCCTCGCCGAATTAGGTATGAGCCGAGTACCGCAGGCACGAGTTAGCTAGGGAGGTCTCTGAAATTTCTGAAATTTGGGTCTCTGAAATTTCCTTTGAAGAAATCTCATCTTCTCAAAACAAAGTTTTAATGGTGAAATCAGTGTAATAAATTGCATGCTAAACTGACATTCAAACACAACATAAGTTTAAGTACAATCTGACCAACAAATTCTGTTTTTTAAACTTCTTTTCAATGTTAAACTCATTTACTCAATACAGGTCTTAAGCCCCGCTGGCTTTGGGGCAATATATAGGCCATATTTTTTTCTTCAGTGGTGGGGCAGAGGAAGGGGCCCAGTGGGGCAAGTACCTCACCAGTCTATGGTATTGAAAAATACCTTGCAGTCTCGCATGCTCAAAACCAGATAAGTATACTACATAGTTTTTTTCTGCTTATGATATGTTAGACGTATTCTTCTCTTGTCCGTGGTACGTGTTATGCAAAGTAACTTTCCATTTTCTCAGTTGAAATTCCGGCCACCTAGTGGGACCGAACAATCAACGGACCAAAGGGGGCATTTTGAAATTTCCTTGTTCTTAAAATGGAAAAAAGGTGGCGCCAATATGGCCGACCTCACTGTGACTTTGTCTTGCACTTCCTCTTCTTTCAAAAGATTCCCAAGTGCGAGACATGGATGTCCTAATGTACGCTTTGTTCTTGCTTAATTGTCGGCTAGAAATTAGAAACAAGAAACTTAAGACTAAAATTACTTTGTTTACAAACCGTTCTGGCCTCTTGAAAGCCGCGTTGCTCGTAAATAACGAGATTGGGTGCGTGGGAATGAGGCAGTATTAGGGAAACATAAAGCAATACTTTGGGAACAACATTACAAAGTCAAAGAAAATACATTATATTTTTACGCCGCTGCTGAGAAGGATATTAAAATGTGAAGCAGGAAAGTTAGGTTAACGTATTATTCAATTATTCACACAGCAATTAAATTGTGGCCGACAACACGGAAATGATAGCACAAAGACTTTTGTTCAACATGATAATGGTTTTCTTTCATAACTGCAAGAACTCACGCTACGCTTTGACATTTAATGACATTGTACGTATCATTGGACTATCAACATTGACACTCGACTGCACGGCTAGAACATTATCAAGACAACATTATTTGTGCTCTGTTGAAAACGTTCTAAACCATATTTATCTTGGAAAGCGCTGCTCGTTTCAAGGGGCTGAACTTTAACAGGATTTACGTATGTGCTAACCGCGAATTTCTCAACATTGGCCAATCAGCGTTGACAAAATTTACCGCCATTTTTCTGCGACATCGCACCAAGTTCAAAGCACTCGGAACAACATCTTGATTACGTAACGTTAAATATACTCCGAAAGTTGCTATAGAGAGCAACCTTGGCCCTGTCCTTTTATCCTTTCATTCGTGGTGTTATATATTTTCACGAGCTGGAGATATTAGCGGGGTTTGAGGTGAGAGACAAAACACTTTAACACATTACAGGTAAACCCATTTTACACACTTCAGTCACTGTTTGCTTATGGCAAATTCAAACTTCTTGTGTTTGTGTGGGTTTAGAAATTTTCCTTTTCTAAAACGGCCATATCAGTATATAGCCTATATACTACAGTATATAGGCTATATAGGACGTTCCGGCAAAGACTGATATTATATATTGTATACAAGTATTTGTTGTATCTTTAGTATCCCATATTATATTAAGCGTTCGTCGGTATATATGACTGGTTTATACTATAAAAGTTTCTGTGATCATAGACATAAACATAGTAGGAATTTTCATGCATATATATAGGTAAATTCTAAGTTCTGAAGGATTTGTAAGACTAATACATGTTTGAGGAAACTGACCCATGCAATGTTGACAATTATATTAACGTTTAACACTGATTGAGTTCCCTTAAACAAGTTTTAAGTATAGAAGTTCTCTTGGACTAACTAATAACTTTTATTAAGCTTTCGACTTCAGAAAATTTCAATCTTTCAGCGCGAAAATTTAAATTCCTCATGTATACAATTCTGAAGAAGGCTCGAAGAACTGAGTCGAAAGCTCAATATTGACAATAAAAATTATTATTATGTAGTTCAAAATTTCCTAATGTGATGGTGTAAACTTGGCTGCCTTTATGAATTGGCCAAATATATGTCTATTCTTGCATGGTAAAAAAAAATATTGTGAAGCACTGAACGTTTAAAGAGTAAAGTGATGTGAAGGCAGTAAAACAAGATTCATTTCTGTAACATTTTCATTGCAAAAAATCCCGCAGTATTAATTTAACTCGAAAACAATCCACAGTGACTTAAAATGATGAGTAAAATAGTCAGTTTTAGGACGTTTGCTAAGTTTTTTGAGTAAAGTTTCAAATTTACTCTGTGTTTTGAGCAAAAATTTACTTTCCTAAAAAAAGAAGTGAATTCGCTCATAAATTTGAGCAATTGTATTCAATGACATTTGCTGTGTTGGTTCACTAGCTGCATTATCAGTTTTACTCAAGTTTTGAATCAAATTTTTGGTGCGGCAAAGCCAATGTTAATAAAAGTTCGTTTAGCATTACCATTACTCCCATAAATTACCCATTATGATGCAGGACTATTTTTATTTTGAACAACATAAAGTCATGGTCATGTTAACTGAATACCAAAAGGGATGTCGACACAAGGTTGCACATATGTATCTAGTTACATGTATGTTGTGCTTGTGATGTTACTCTGAGTGTATATCCACACCGGCAGGCTTGAAAAATATGCCTGGCCACGGTGGGAATCGAACCTACGACCTTTGGAATACTAGCCCAATGGCAATGCTCTGCCAACTGAGCTACGCGGTCAGGTCGGTTCGAGTATGTAATATTTCGGAACTGAGTCTAGTTCCTTCGATATCAGTGTAATCTAATAATCATGATATTTGCTGTGTTGGTGTAATGTACTCAGGTGAATAAGATGATAAGGTCGTAGGTTCGATTCCCACCATGGCCAGGCATATTTTTCAAGCCTGCCCGGTGCAGTGAGCTCTATATATATATCTGGAGTAGGAACTTCTAATGTTTTGGCAATAGGCCAAGTGAAGCCAAAAAAATCCAAGATGGCGGCCATTGACGTCCAATAGCTCTGAAGGTCGTAAACAGTTTTTATACCATTTTCCCCAGCTAATTCCAGTTTTTTCTGATGGACCGTATCACTAATCAAATTTTCAGTTCATAAAATCACAATATTATTCTTTAAATCGAAGTCAAAATACGAAATTTTAACACACTCCTTGCCAAGATGGCGGAAATTGAAGGAGCTCTTGGACGTCAGTTCCAGTCCCTTTCTATTGTTTTTGTATGCGCGGTTAACACGAAACTGGCTTCACTTTGAGCAACCAAGTTCCTACTCCAGATATATATGGAGCTCACTGGCCCGGTGTGGATATACACTCAGAGTAACATCACAAGCATCTTATTCACCTGAGTACATTACACCAACACAGCAAACACTGTCATGTTGTTGTACTATATTAGAGGCTGCACTGATGGTTTGCAGACTATCAAAGTTTCTGTCGGATCACAGTAGGAATTTTACATAGGTTTTCGAAGTATTTGAAGAAATGCTTGAGGGAACCGCCTTGTAGGTACCTCAAAAATTTCTTACAAATCCTTCAAAACTTAAAAAATCCCTACTGTGAACACAGAAACTTTGGAAGTGTAAACCAACCAGATTTATCGAAGATATATAATTTCGAGTGCCATGCAGCGTTTGCTTTTATAAACAGTAATAGGTTGATGGAAAGAAAGACTAACAACATGTTTTCTTAATATTTTGCAACGCATGCAACTTTAATTAAAACTTGTCGTTTTGTTTAATAACTAACCCCGGTTTCAAAATGGCTTTTTTAATTAAACATGGCAGCTTCAATAAACCAAACGCAAAATAAGGGCATTTAAACTTGATTTAAAATTGATACATGCATGAAAATGAAACAAAACATTAAATGGATACAAAAGATATTACTTAACTGCTTGCGTTAATGAAAATAGGTATCGATAACTAGATGTGCGGTATGGACACAAATATCAAAAAGGAGGGCATTTGTGAAGTCATTTCCTCTCATTTATTTACAGCAAGACAGGATACGATAATATTTCTCTGTAAACTGATAGTCTGCCTGCAGTAATGTTCTTAACGACTTGTTTTCGTTATTTCCTGACTGTAGTCGAACATGCACAAACGGGATAGACGCGACACTCATTACTGCCACGCAAAACGTTTATTTTCGGACTTCCTGATTTTTCACGCTTCGGTTTACCCAACGAGATTCGCGGCAAGCCACAAAGAAACTTGTATTGTTGTTCTTTCAGGAGACGAAACAGAGGGGAGAATTTAATACGCTATTTCGTCAAGACTTCAAGGATTTGCTAACATTTGCCTTCGTTAATCATTCGGTAAGATCGAAGTATATCATTTTATTATACCATTTATGCATGGGTTTGTTTAGACTAGAAATTAAATGAATATTTGCCTCGCGTAAGCCATTTTTCGTTGCGGTAGGCCCTATACATTAACGCACATGACTCGATTATCATGCGTGGATCGCTGTAATCTTCTGACTTGTTTTGCTGGTAAAAACTGATGACAAGCTGACGTTAATACAACGTTGTTTTACACCAAATATCAGTTTCACGGCGGGTTTATTTCCAATTACAAATATATTTGTGTGATAGTATGCCTTGTACATGGAAATCCTTTCCCTGCGGGCTGCTGTAGCTGACGAGTGATGTTGTGGAATACGCGGATTTTTGTCTGAAAATCTCTCAACATCATTAAGTCAAATTATTGGAGTTATGAAAATTTTGAAGTTGTTAAAAATTTGGTTTGGCTGAAAACTGATTGTATGTATGCTTTAAACTTCAGCTATAGTACTGCACTACGCACTCGTATCTATATGGCTTGTAATTCGCGCAATATCGATCTTGTGGCTGTTACATTTATCTAAAATATTAAAATGTTGCATGTATATATGCTTTGTGCGGTTATTTTATATTAAGCTTGTACATGTAATAGCCTAACATGTCCACTACATACAGTGTAACATGACACACGCAGTAACGTAATTTAAAAGTTGAAAAGGGAGATTTTTCGTAAAAAAGGGAAGGAATTTTGGTAAAAAAAGAGATTTTCGAATAAAATATTTATAGAATGAATAAACCTTGATCTTTGAACAGATCATATACCGGGTGGCCCAAAAAAAAGTACTCCTGTTTGATTCGTAATAACTTCTAAACAAGTAAAGTTTTTAAAGAGAAATAACTTGCATTAAATAGAGGAAGGACTAACTTAGATTTTGATATATTACAGTTGTATTTAACTTAAAAATTCACGGATATATTAATGTTAAAAATGGGAGCATATTTTGGAATGTGTCTAAAATTAGCGAAAATCGGCATATCAAATATTAACTCCAGCGTTTGTTTGCTTAATGACATATTAGGCTAACTTGTATTTCAGCGAATTATCGTTAAGGTTTGTAAGGGATATGGCGTAGATTAGACATCTTACATGTAAGTCTTAGCTCATTGTTCCTGAAATATGAACGTTCGAAATTATGCAAGTATTTAATATTAGGTCTTTGCAAACTTAAATGTACATGAAAGACTGACCATGGAAGGCAGGCGCTTAAATTTTTCGTATTCTTAAATAGCCTAATTTTTTTATGTTTTTAATGGGTTCAAACAGACTGAGTAGATTATTTCTCGGTTAGAGCAGGATGAATATTCTTTATTGAAGGAAATATATTGCTTTTTGCAAATACACATCACCGTATCAACGCTACTATTTTGTTACGTTTTGTTCCAAAAATGTTGCATGTCTCTGGGGAGTTGCTTAATTGTTATGTCTTATGGAGTTGTATGGTTTGATTGTGTTTCATATAATTCTCAGTTTACTCCATGAACTTGCCAAGATTGAGAAACGGCAAAAGAGTTTGGGTGTTCTTAACAAGATTTCAGAACGTTGCAGAAGTTAGAAGAGCTTCACAATTCCGTTGTGACAGCATGCCCTAATTCAGAACTACGAACGATCCAATGACGATCCTTCGCGATGCAGTGGTCTCATGAAATAAGGAAACGTATTCGTGCTAGGAACACACACGAATTTCGGACGAATGAATCTTGCTTGTATTTTGTAGATATAATAATACTTTGTTTCATAATAAACAATTTGTCAAGTGTCATTTATTTACTGGTAATAGTGCATGTTTCAGTCGGGCAAATCTTGATTAATATTTGATACGCCGATTTTTGCATATTTCAGACACATCCAGAAATATCCTCTCGAATTTAAAGATTAATATCTCCGTGAATTTTTAAGTGAAATACAACTGTAATATATCAAAGTCTAAGTTAGTCCTTCCTCTATTTGATGCAAGTTATTTCTCTTTAAAAGCTATACTTGTTTAGATGTTATTACGAATCAAACAGGAGTACTTTTTTTGGGCCACCCGGTAGTTTACACATAGATATTTTGATCTTCTGTTTTTGTAAGGCAGTTTAAATCTAAACAGTATCGCACTCTATATATAATAATATTAAGTGAAGTCAGAGAGTTAATGCATGGAGTTAAAGTGCAACATGCTGCGATTTGTCAGGTGGATTTCAGGTGTTGCTAAATGTTGACGATGAATATATTGTCACCTGAAGATGTCGCAAATTAGGAATGATCACTTTTATACCACGTATTGTATTTCGGCTTCAAATAATCTACATCCGAAATTGCAATAAAAATTCCCCCATGCCTTTTAGCTGGAATCCAAAAAGACCCATGCAGACAAAGGATTCGACGGAAACTGCAGTGTAAACAGTCTGAAGTTTCTCAAACATAAACTGATATATGTCAGTGCCTACACGCATAAATGAATAAACTAAAGGCTCATGGTTAAGTTTACACTATCAAAGTTTCTGTGATCACAGTGGGAATTTTACATAGGTACAAGTTTTGAAAGATTGTTACTGAAATGTTTGAAGGAACTGACCTATACAGCATATATAAACACTGAGACAATTCCTTCAAACATTTCTTACCAATCCTTCAAAACCTATGAAAAATTCTTACTTGGTGATCACAGAAACTTTCAGTTGATAGTGTAAACCAGCCTATACCTTAAAGAAGAGGAAAACTTTGCACTTTTTCAAAACAATTTTGTTAAAGTTAGACGTTTGTTATACGCTGATGAATGTCGAATAGTCAAACACTCCAGACCATTATTTTTGCATCATTCTTCTCACACTTTATAAGTGTACAACCTACATGAAGATGTGTTGTAATATTTTTTTCAAAGACTAGATTTTTTTACCTCGGATTACTGAAACAGTGGATTAAAAGGTGCAAAAAGTGGCTTTTTTGCGTGTTAATTTGACTAGGCGTTATTTAAATCCTAAAATGAGTTTCACACTTTTTAGCCTAATTCGATCGGTTTCGAATTTAATTTTTGAAAATTCTGATCAGCTAGTGTGCATGTATACAGAAAAAAAACTTTTCAACACTTTGGAAACCAAGTTTATAGTTATAAAAGCAAAAACTTCAGTCAGTTATCTTTTAAATCCGCAATACATACTGCATATAGAAGCACAGAACCGATAAAAGTTGTAGTTGTTTGAATATATTATAATTAATAATGCAGCTAGTGTTTATAGCTACAGGAAACAGATCTAATGTCACTTGTTTGATCATAATCTATATTAGCAGTATATATAGTTTCTATAAAGTGTTAAAACAGGAAATATAAATAAAACAAAGTATGGACTATGGCAAGAATTAATAACTCGTAGTCTTCTCGTATGTCTTAACTTTAATACTTTTGTTTCAATTTTGCTTTCATTTTCCAAAAGTTATGTTACTGTTATGTGAGTGGTTCAAGTAAAAACGAAACGTTATTCACTGCATACGGAAAATGACTTTTTTACTATTTCATATATAATTAACCAACATAATGTCAACTAATACATATGTTAAAAAAGTCATTTTCCGCATTACGGAAAATATACACACATATATATATATATATATATATATATATATATATATATATATATATATATATATATATATATATATATATATATATATATATATATATATAATACGAAAATTATATATAAATACGAAAATTATATATAAAATAAAATAAATTGGAGTACAACGAGCCATTGAGCATTCTGTCAAACAACAGTTTTTATATATTATATAATATATATATAGGCATCTTTCCAAACACTCACAATTGAACGCAGGAAGCGCATTGTCTCTATAAAAGCGTTATTAAGTTTTTTTCATGTATTAAACATTATTAAGTTTTTGCCCCCAGCATTTCAATGTTTTGGATAATTGCGTGGGTTTCAATTATCTGAACTGATAAGAAAATAAAACCGATCATATTATTTTAAGACAGTTCAAGATTCGTGTCAGTTTGGTGAAATTTCATGCAACTAACGTTTTCTTGTCTATTTAAATGTTATTTTTTCAAATACAATGCCGTCAATGGCAATGTGTACAAAATTTATATATATTACATTATTAGTCACTCCAAGTTATATTTCAATCGCATTTATCCGGTTATACTTCAGGGCATTAATTGAATTTAAGATACTCAAGAGTTATATGGAATGGGTTAAAAATCATATCAGTTTTAAAATTGTAGACTTGCGAAACTTATCTATACTGATTCAAATTCTTCAAAATATTCTATCGTATACTTCATGAAATATATGAATGTGGAATACATTTATTTGAATGTGAAAGGAATGTAAATGTTGATTTTTTTATTAAAACATTTTGCCCAATGACAAAGGGTCATGAAGTGGTAAAATGCATAGATGTGTAAAATGGGATTTGGAACACTGCAATGGGATTTTCAAATCAGTCGCTAGGAAGAGTATTTGGCCGCAAATCAATGATTCAGGGGACCTGGATTCTGAAATAACGTCTGCTGGGAAAATAGAATTGACCCCGCACCCTCACGCCCTTCCATGATATGAAACAAATAGTACCAATCATTGGTCGGATTAATCCTTGGCTTAAAATTAAGTTCCTTCATTTCAGTTCACCAAAAAATGTTCGATTTCCATCACGGAAATGAGTTCCCCCTTCGCGATTATAATTACCAAGGTCAAGTAGTGTGCGTCAATACAGTTCCGTTATAAACGCTACATTACATAGGCATTTATAGTACTTTACCCAATCCATCACGGATATACACGCGATGGCTATTTGCAAAATTGCCCACTTCGGCGAGGAGACGCATCTCATTTAGCACTGTGACACTATTAATAAATGGATATGCCAATAATAACTTAGCTCGTCTCATGTGAAAAATGTTTGAAATTATATATAAAACTGCATAGTTTCGCTTAATTCTTGAAATATCTGTTTGACTGACTCATTGAGCTGTTGTGTCCTCCATCTTGGTTTTAATTCTACATTTAATTTCATTAATTTACTTTTAGTTGCGTGAGTCCAATGTTACCGGATGTTTAAAATTTTGTCAGTCAATTTTGTATTTGAAAGAGTGACGCAAGTTTAATTTTGACCAACGTATAGTCCATTGCCAATCTAGATGAAAAAATTGTGGCAGGTCACCACTGATTTGGATAATGTCGGTCAAAATATTTGAAAAACAACATTTGAAAACGCTTTCCCACATAAATTTAAACGTTTTTTTCAAATATTGGGAAACCAATTTTCTATTGCCATGATACACTGGGGAAAAAAGTGAAATCCATACTATACGAAATTTGCAATTGCACCGCTAAATCCATAGTATATCCATCCTGTTTCCATACTATATCCACACTATGGAAATATACAATTATTATGGATAATCAAAAATCCATTCTATTTCCAATAAAATTAATGGTCCATACAATTTCCATTCTATGACTTTCCATGGATTTTCAAAATTTTTTCCAGTGATATCTTTTAAAATCCTTAATGAAGTTAGGATAATTTAAATATCAGTCCTGTGAAATAACAGAAGGTAGCCTACCAATGAAATAAAGTAATGTATTAGTCTTACTATATCTAAGTATAACCTCATTAGTACGGCCAGTTCACGTGGGCAGATATTTTTCGTATCATTGCATCACCCACGCTAATTTTGAGTTGAGATAACTGTGCACTTAAGTTCTTTATATATACCCTTTGAATAGATTTCGAAAGAGGAATAATAGTGTTCAAAATTTATATTTGGCATGCCTTTTTTGGTGTAGTTCTCATGGGAATTTATTACGCCCCTTAATCGTTTGAGACGAAAGGCCAATATTGTATGGGTTTTAATATATCTGATATAATAGGAAATTACAGGAGTTCCTTGAATTTTTTATATTCGTCGTTTGTATGTCAAGATTAAATATCGATGTTTTTTATTTGAGCGCTAGCGTTAATTCCGTGTGGGAAGATCCATTTTTTATGCTGGATATTCACGATACAGACTTCATTAAAACCATGGCTTGAAGCCAGAACGAGGGGTAAATTACTCTGAAAATCTTCGTACACTTCATCAAAAATCCAAAAAAATCTTTGGAAAAATCCCAAAATCTTACTAAATCCCAAGTCCCAAGAAATCTCTAAAAAAAAATACTTGGAAAAGCCCAATAAAATTCTCAAAATTATTGCAATATTGAGAAATCCCATCAACTTAAACATTTAAATCGTGAATTGTTGTGAAAATGCCCTTCGTTGATTTACTTCATTTTAAAAATAATTCGACGGATTATATATGTCGAAAAAAAAGTCGGAAAAAGTTCGGCGAAAAAAAATAAAGGAAAATATTTCGAAAAAATCCCGAGAAAAATTACCGGGATTTTTTAATCCCAAAAATCTTCGTACGCTTTTTTTCAGAGTAATTTACCCCTCGTGCCAGAACATCTGGTGAATAAAGAGTAACTGAAAAAATCTTTGAACGGTCTATACTCTGTGCCAGTAATAAGAATGCTTCGGTTGATTGGGATGCATGCAACTACCTGAAAAATACAAGGAGAACTTCGACGTTTTGAGCGTCGAAACGTCGAATTTCTCCTTGTATTTTTCAGGTAGTTGCATCCCTATCAATCCAAAGATCTCTTACTGAAAGAAAGCGCAGAATGCATGGTCAGCGGACGTTTGTGGAACATGCGCGTAAGTTTGTGTGAGTTTGGTAAAACCACTGAGTGTTTTAACAAAATACAAAACAAGTGAACTCCAAAAATCGATAACATTTTTAAAATAAATAAAAATGTTATCGATTTTTGGAGTTTCACTTGTTTTGTATTTTGGTAGTTGTTGATAGCACTGTTATTAAAAATACTGTTTTTTCTGGATATGTGCATGTAGTATTCGTTACAATAACTTTGAGACAGTTAAGCAGCATGAGCGACCGCAAGAGAGCACGATTAACACATTAATTGTGTGATTCACAGATGTAAATTAAGTACTGTAGAATGATAAAAGCTACATACATATATGGTCATACACAGGAAACACAACCAGCAAAGCTAAAATAATCAGCCGACAAGTCAGTAAACAAACAAACAACGAAAAATCTTGAAATCTTTGAAAGTCTGGATTAAACAAGACGTGAATGTATAAGTAGATCAACTTTCTCCAAGCACTACGTCGAATGACGAATGGTATCTTACTATATAGTCACTAATTAATAATAACCAGCAGAAGACTGAGCAACCAAAACGGCGTTGAGATATAAATCGACTGTCAAGTCTACAACAAACCAGATTAACCGGAAATTAATCCTGTCTGTCCTGTATCACTAAGCACGGACTTTGCCGTTCATGAGTACACTTCATGGGATTTTATCTCGACACAAATATCATTCTTGTGCTCCTTTCTATACATAGAAGTTCTAACCATTCTCGACAACATTGAAGGTTTTTGTAGGATATTCATCGCGCTATGGAGAAAGCTCGCTTATATATAAAACATAAGATAGACAGTAATGATTACACAATGATATATTACAACCATATGTAAACACTTGTGGGCTATTTTTGCTGCGATAACTGTACAACCAGACCATGTCGACACGTTCAATGTCTTTCTCAGGCTCTCAGCATCAATTTTCAACGCATTAGGAAATTAAAAAAAGGATCAGACAAATCATTACATTTTTTAAAACATGTTTGAACCGTTTATACGACGCGCACGTATAGATTTACCATATAATTCATAAACCATTGCTTTCAACTCGCTTCGAACTAAATCTGGAATAACATCAAGGTTATCAAGACATTTTGCTAATACGAAATTGGAAATCGCAAAAGTTCTTCTAAAACTTTCACCACATTTCAAAACTTTTCTTCAATTTTTAATCAGGATGAAGCATTAAAAAATTAAAAAGGTTTAAAACGTAGTACATTTTATCGTTTTAACCTTTCTAAGTTAAATCCTGATTAAAAATTACAGAAATAAAATCCACTGTTCTGCCGGAATAAAGTCACTGTTCTGATCGTGAAAGTTACTTGCAAAAACCCATGACGACTTCACAGTTCTTGACATTCGTAAATATACAAAATATGAAGATTTTTAATGCACTGTTTTGTTTAAAGATTTTCTAGAAATAATTAATCTTAAAGTCTTACTTAAGTTAAAACTCTCAATGACTGAAACATCAAATGGTTTTTGTGCAGAAATTGTTAAAAGTATTTCGCATCTTTGCCTTTATAGATTACTTTTAAGTATTCTCTATTTATTAATCTTGGTTCTTTGAAGGTAGTTTATCTTGTCCTAGTGATAACTGATACATGTTTTTATCTTGGCCAAAATCGACCTCCAAAATAGGTTCGAGTTGACAGGTCATTTCCGGTAGTGAGAGAAAGTGCGGATTGGTATGTCAAACAACGTCAACTTCGGGATTAATGAGTTGCGTATAAAGTACAAGAGAATTGACCTTTTCATAGTCTGTGTTCCAGTCCACTACAATGGGTCGGAGAGTGTTTGGATTTGAACAACAACGCTAACAACACGTGTAGCCAAACGTGTCTAAAAGTGTAAACAAATGCCACACATAAGTTCGGACAAGAAGCTCGCTCGAACAAAATGGCGGCCGCAGGAGCGAACAATTTTGTTTCGAATTGCTAACAACTTGTTGTTTATTTACTAAAAGTAATTAATCGTGTATTTAGTGGTGACGTGACGCACCACTGCACTGTAATTATAAGCAATTTGAGACAGCGTACATTTTTTGCACAGACAAAACATGGTGCTTTACTTTAATGACTTATCGGTCAGTTTTGACATATTCAAGTGCATATAAATATCATGAAACCTTGAATACATTTAAAATGACCATTAGAGAACTCTCCTTGGGACTTAGGCTCAGAAACAATTATCATGAGAAGGCAGGCTTGTAAATTTTCCTTTATATGAGTACGTCCTTCGCCAGTCCTAAAGGGTAAAGCTTTATTTTGGCTTCCCCTAAGGGGAAACTCGCTCTCTCTCCATGTTACAACAAAAATAGGTGAGTCACTACAACAGGGAGGTGACGTCTTGCTGTTTTCTGGAAACTTCAACCGAGGTTTTTTGATAGACCTCCTCGGTGTCCTCGGTGGACGTTGTTTCACATCTAAGAATGCTGTTTTCCACTATGGCAACACAATTTCATTCTCATTTACTCAGTTGCATCTGATTGGTTCAATTTACCGCGTGCTATCACTGATATATGATTGGCTCTTTGCTTGGAAAATAAGTTTCTGATTGGTTGATCTTGATAAGTGGTGCAGGTATAGAGGAATTTCTTTGGCAAAAAGACTGCTTAGATGTACTTTTGTCAATGTGTAGACTGTATAGTCTTTACAGCCAAAAGTATATATTTGGTCTTTCTTAGTTCTCTATAAGAAGGAAAACGTAACACATGTGGGTATATACTGGCACGAATTCTTATAGTATTAAGACAGAAAAGTCCTCAATATAAAGGACGTGAAAGTCCTATAGGACTGAAAGTAGGACTTTTTATAGGACTGAAAGTCCTATATTTCGGCTTGGCTCTTTTTCTTTACTTTTTGAAGAGAGAATTCTAATAACGTCAAAGCATGTTTAACTTCAACACCTTCTTATAAAAAATTAATATGGTGCTATACAAACATATATGTAAAACATACATATATTACATATACAATTGAAAATAAAATAAATCACGGTTATCTGCCGTCATATCAAAACACGATCTAATATAATTAATTTCTGTGTCTATACAGGCTAAAATAATAAGACTGCGACGGAAACAGAATATAAGTTGGTTTTATTTTATATTGAATCCCAACAATACAATACGTTTGTCAAAATTGACTTGTTTTTTGTGTATTTTAGCATAACATATGATATTTTGTGAATGTGAATCGGGACTGCTGCCTGCATGTGGTAAAAACATAAAAGTCAGAAATTGAACAAGCATAAATATAAAAATGAAACAAAGACTCACAATGTCCACAATTAACTGAGTTAAATCAGGCCTTTGGCTTAGAAATGTATTTTAAGTAAAAACTGACGGAAACATTTATACTCATTAGGCCTGGCTATTGATCAAATTAATTCAAATTCACATTAATGCATTTTACGCCAAAATTCATGACACAAATCATGCCTTTGCTATCTGTGATGTTGAGGTAAAAGTAAATAGCCGGAAAGTTGAATGTATCCTGTCCATGTCTGGTTTTTATCATCAAAAGACGTTATATGATAGCTTTTTATTAAAATTAACTATATCGTTAAATTCCTACTGGTTTCCGGAGTTTTTTTATACTTAATTTCAAAGACTTATCCAGTTTATATAGACAAAGCGTTATTCAAAACTCGAAAGTTGAGGTCTTAAGTTATCGCAGGATTTAAAAGTTCACAAAGCGAATTCATGGCTTCCCGAATGCTAATCCGATGTCTGTAGGGTAAATAGTCATTGTGGCTTGGCTCAATATGCCGGAAATGGCGCCCTATTGAGCAGCGATAGGCTGTCGCTGTATTGAGGCACTTCATATCTAACATTCGCTATTCTAGAGCGTTATATGGCTGCCGTTGAACCGTTCTGCAAGGCTTTACTATGTAACTCGTAGTTTCACATTGAATATATAAGTTTATGTAGCGTAATAGGTATATGGATATTTAGCAAAACAGACACAGGATACATTGAGTAGACATTTAATCTTCTCTTGTCATTTCAAACGCATTCTAGCATCACGTCATCATGGCGAGAGCAAATAAGCGCTCGTCTTTTAATTGGCAGGTGGGCGGGCATGAAAATTATTCTTAAGGTGTCTGGTTTTAACTTGAGCTTGTAAGCCGTAAGTGATTGCTTGTGGGATTTGAAATAACTCGATTGCCCAAAGTTCCCCGTTATCTTGCACGCCTTTGCCCAAAACACACGAGCGATGATTTTATAAGAAGTGGCGATGGCTTATGAATTAGTCATATTAGCTATCCGATATGTTTATCGCTAAGCATTGCTACACGGCAAAGGCTTGGGGGTCCGGAAGCCAGAAAATTCCAACGTTTCCTGACTGCTCTTATTGGATGTAGCCATTTGCTTTCGGACGGCTTTCCTAGTTTCCTTCGATAGAACAAGTTTTGTTACAAACTATACTGGCTAATTTAGATTTCTCTGCTCCGGGTAAGTTTTGTAAGCGATACTAAGCTCGTTTGTTTGCTTATATCGTCGACCTATTGATCACAGACCGAACCATTTGTATCAAATCAGATCATAGCCGTATGCTATAGGTCACCCTATACGAGTATATAATAAGTACGTCTATATTCTCGCTTGTATTTTTGACCATATAAATAAACCATGAATAACTGTATATTTTTTGTTTACAGAAATTTCACTGTGTTCCGTGGATTGCCGGGTTATTTTGGTTTGTGATTTTACACGTAATTTATGCTGTTCACTTTATATTCATTCTCGACTCTCGATACGTTTGTTGATAAGTAAACCGATGTGGAAGTGTATTTAATGAGACCAGAATGGCATTACATGAAGATGATACATTAATAACTGTTCGTGAAAATCCCTTTGATTCAGACCATTACGATGTTGTGTGGATTAAACGTCGCGACAAGTTTGCAACGACTGATCATCGCTCAAGGCAAAAGCCATCGACTGTTGCAAATAAATTAAAATCGTACGATGGTACAGGTGCTGACGGTAACAAACTCAAGGATAAAACTATAGACTATACATTCATAGACGAGTACTGTAAAGTCTCTGGACCTGTGAAGACACGAGATGAGGATTCCAAACGGAGGGAGCCAAAGACAAATACGACAGCAGCATTTGGTCGACCGAAGGTGCCCTTTGGTAAATTTGTACAACAACATATAGGCGGTACGTCTGACCGTCCGCACACCACAACAGTACAACCCCTAGCCGACATTAGCGAATGTCAACAGGTTCAACGTACATCTTGCAGGAATGCGGAGAATCACGAAACTACGCCATTGAGTGACTGTTACAGCCAAGAGGATATCACTTTAGAATGTTGCGGTCATAATGTTGAAACATTGGTTGATTACTGCACATGTATGTTTTGTGTGAAAGGCTTGCTGTACCACTGTGCTGAGGACTCCTCGTGTTCGGACAATGTTTTAGACAATCCTTGCTCGTGTTCGCCTGTGAACATGGGTTGCGTTGGTCGTTGGAGTATGTTAGGCTTACTTTCAGTATTTCTACCGTGCTTAATGTGTTACCCACTCGCAAGGGGCTGTGTCGGAGTGTGTAAATGTTACAAAGAAGGTGAAAGCCGACGTAAAAGCCGAACTAGAAGTGTACAAAATCGGGAACGCGAGAGACTAACGTGACCCTGAATCTGAAACCGTTTTAAGCGAACGGCGACGAAAATAAATCACGTATTGACTCCGTGTTGATATTGCCCAAATAGTCGGTGGGCCCGAATAACCCAAGAGCGCATAACGAAAATATGGCTCAAATTACTCAAAACCGCAAGGAAATTACGGCGAACGATATTTGTACAGTGTACATATAGAACGAGCGAAATTTAAAATGTGAACCGCAAACTGTCTTCTCACTCATATTTATATACAGCCAAGTTTGTGCTTGTAAATATTAAATTTGTAAAACTCTACATGGCCTGGGGTTTTTTGTGTGGTACTCAGTACCAGAGAGAATGATAGGGTATTATGGTAGAGTAAATGTTCACAGTTTAATGATGGTTAGTGTATAGGCAAAGTTAAGTGTCATTGATTATTTACAATGTGCTTTCACGGCATGAGTAGTACTGTGTTCAGCGCTGTGGGACAACGACTCTACTGACCTAGATAATTGGTCCAGTATTTCGCGCCACATCATTCACTACACGACATGTCCTATAGCCTTCCCTCACAACGCATGCAACACTACGAAAACGATCTCGTTTTCCGACCCGCCAATTTCATTCATTCACAAAACTCGCTTATAACAAACAATCGTCATAGGGCATCTGTTAACGGCTACGAGACGAAACTTTTTAGACCTACAATTTCAAGTGCCCGTTGACCTCGTCTGTGGCAGTCTCAGACATGTAATCGAAAAAAAAATTGAAGGGAATTCAGCGCGTCCGAGCAAAATTCAATTTCTTCAACTAGATTGAAACTTCGCGCGCGCGGACTTGATAAGGCATGAGATTGCCTGGCTTTAAATTCGGACTATTAGCGCGTCTGTTGTAATTCATGTTGTAACTTGAGTGAATGGGGTTGAATCGTTATCAAAGACTGTGCTGATTTAGGTTCACAACGGGCGGTGAGTTAGGACATTATGAACTCCAGTAGGACACGCCATATGTGCTCAGATATAGCGCTGTGTAGGTGAGCTAAGGTCCGGAAATTACGGAGACGGTTTTCGAAGTAAAACTAGCATGCAAAGGACAAGGCTGGGGCACCCTACGTACGTTAGCTCGACACGCTAGTCGATGTTTGATCGTAAGAACATGGCGGCGAAAGGAGATCCGGAACACTTCAAAAATCAGATAGCGTTCAAGGATGTTGTTGCTTTTCACCGTGCACCTTACAACCCAAGGTCATGTCAATGAACTTCAATAGTGTACGTTAATTGTACAAGAATAGAAGGTATATATGATCCCCCGATGTGTTTGCCTGCAGGATGTCATAGCTCATGGCGAGCAACTCTCATTTCGTCCAAATTTTAATCGTCTTAATGATGTTTGCTTCAATAAAGAGCTTTGAGATGGAAACGTCTCGAACATAGCCTCGGAAGTAGCTCGCATGGATAGATTTAAACTTTTCTAAGTACACAAACAAGAAATGTTGCGTAGTAGGGTACTTTTCTTTGTGAACATGTGTATCACATGTAAATTTTCAAAAACTCCTGGTTTGAAGACTGTTTACTGTTGTCTTTTAAACAAGGAAACAGTTCATACCGACTGTGACAAGTTGTGTAATTTTTCATAATCTATATAGACTATATTTTTTTATGTATCGCACAGAATGGCACGTTTTCCATACGTGATTGTCAGTGCTAATGTTCAGCGATACAACGTTTCTTTGTACCTTTTCTTGTCAAAAGCTATTTATAGTGTTCGAATATAATAAGTACGTTTTTAGTCAAGTGTTAATGTTCTCAAAAAATCTAATTCATATCAATAATTGAAGATTTCTTACCAGAAACGTGGCGTTACGAGATTACTTATGAATATTGTGAGTAATGTAGGAAGTAAAGAATTTTTTGATTTACGCTACGTTGTTTCATCGTATCGTCGTATTTCCTACGTTTCTGATAAGAAATCTTTAGTTGTTAATATGAATGGGATTTGTTGGGAACATTAACGTAAACAGGGTTTCCTTCGGAGGCTAAATCATTCCATGGCTCTCTTGGGGCGGGGGACTGCCCCAAGAATTTGTGGGACCTCCCCTCACCACTGTGGTGTCCGATACTGAAGGTATTGATCCTCAGTTATTTTTCCTGTATTGATCCTGCACTTTTATCCGACCGGTATTGGAATATGCATGCCAGGTTTGGCATACTTTACTCTCCTCAACTTTATCTGATCAAATCGAACATGTTCAAAAAAGAGCGATAAAGATTATGTTCCCTCATCTCTCATATACTGATTACTGCTTCTCTTGAACAATCGCGATTATCTACACTCCACGAACGCAGAGAGAATCCATGCTTGTCTTTGTATAAATCTGTTTTAACAGGGTTCGTACAAAACTTGAAAGTCCTTGAATGTCCTTGAATTTGAAAACAAAAATTCAAGGCCTTGAATGTCCTTGAATTTGTAAAGAAGTGCTTGAATGTCCTTGAATTCTTCTTGCTTTAGTTTTTGGATATTTTTTGAAATTGTTTGACATTATTCAAGACGGACAATTTGTTGAACTGATTTTGCATCTTGAATTTGTTGATACATGGCCTTGAATGTCCTTGAAAAGTCCTTGAATTTAACTCTTCCTGACATGTACGAACCCTGTTTTAAACCATGATAATAAACTACATGAACTTCTTCCTGATCCTGTTTACCATAAAAATCATCTTACGAACCCTCGAAAGTATCCACTTTTTAAATGTAGAACAGAACGTGAAAAACAGTTTTATCCCATATTGTGTCAAAAAATGGGATTCAATTGAGATGACCCACTCAAACTAATGTTAATCTAATCTTCAAGTCGGTGCATTTATATATATACGAAAAGTTAACTTTTATAACCTTTTAACTTGTAAATAGTATGGCTACTTTTACCAATCTGTAATTTCAAGTTTTTCAGGTCGCTGGCCACGCCATGCACCTGTATGCCATTTGGAAATTTTAATAAATCATTCATTCAGTTATTTCCATTATGGTTGCAATCGACCTGAAAGAAATCGAGAAAACGTCGACATTTCCACACTACTACAACTAATTTCCAAACGAAAGGTCTTCGTAAACCTTACGGACCATTTGATGTTTGATGGGGGTGGGGCGCAAATCTGAAAAAAATAACGAGCATGCCCCAAAATGATGAAAAAATATCGAGCATGCCCCGAACTGATGAAAAAAATATCGAGCACGGCAAGTTGTAATTCCAATATATTACAATTTTTTTTTTTGGGGGGGGGGGGGGGAAATATCGTGATAAAAATTCGGGGGAAATATCGATGAGGCCAGAGAAAAATCGAACACTTTCAAAAAGGTGGCTCCCCCTCCTCCCATCAAAAATCAAATGGTCCGTCCCTTACCTCGGACAGTTATATACGAATTAGACATCTTACTAGTGAACACTACCGGCACTGAAATCCAAGTAACATTTACTGTCCCAGGCAAGGAATGATAACTGGATTTGCTGTGTACGGTTTGTAATAATGTATTCCACAACAATGAAAGATTTTATGGGCTATAATTTAAGCAAGCGTGTCTGAAATTTGAACCACAAAGTTCTAATGATGAACTGCATGAGATTTGCAGCAACAAGAGGGTCGGAACATGTTGGTAACCTATTTCCGCCATTGTTTAACAGCTCGGAGCATTAGATGAGTAAAATAAATAACCTTTCTGCCTCTACTCTAGTTATTAAACTTAAACTAAATTCAGTACTAACAAACTGGTCGTATCTTGCTTTTCATGAAAAGCGGGACGCGTTGGGGAAGGTTGCCGCTTCAAGTTTTGTTCTAAATTGCAGCCATGGCAAAACTGGAAGTTTTCCAAATGAATTCCGGACATGGGTTTAAAGAGAGAAAGATTGAAATGGGTAAAAGAGTGAAGTTTGCGAGAATAAACTTGCTTATCTAAAGTGGTATATTAACTAGATATCATGGGGCTTCGGTGGCGAATGGCCGAAGTGGTTAGCGCAATTGCCTTTCACGTCTGAGGTCGCAGGCCCAAATCCCAGTGCCGGAACTTTCTCAATGCGACCCGAACCCAGTCCTCACGCGAAAAGAAAAGTCTGCCTCCTCCGCAGGCCCTCGTTGTGTCATGGGAAGGTCACGATTTTGAGAGGGCTGCGGATTGCGGAATCTTGTAAAATGAATAAATGTTGTTCTAAACCTGCTTCGTTAAAGAAGGCAGTTTTATTCGTGCAACGTTGGTGTGGACAACAAACCTTATCGTTAAAAAATGCTTCCTTCCACGTCCTTAGAGTCGCCATTTTAATTTACAAGTTTCAAGCCGCTTTTTTATAGCCTGTTTATATTCAAGATTATGTATAAATTTACTTGTTGACGTCACGCCGGCGCCATTTTTTACAAGATTTCTTCCCATGACGCAACGAGGGCCTGCGGAGGAGGCAGAAGAAAAGTCAACGCTCTGCCAAAAGTCGTTTTTTTCCGGGCGGAAAGTTGACAGGGCGGGTTGGGTAAAAGGGCCCACAGTAATTGGCATATGCTGTTGTGGTGGCCCTTCCCTAGTTGGCAAAAGCTAAACCGAATATAGCAGTCTTCGTACAGACAAAGTTAGGAGAAAATCTCCTATATCAAAAGATAGGATAATAGGACTGAAGGGATATGTGTGAATAGAAGGGAATATAATGGATATAATATGTTGATTATCGAGAGGGCGAACGCAGTGCTGATGAAGGCAAAGTACTAGTGGATAAAAATGTACAAGTGGATTAATTAAGCCTCCATCTCAAATAAGCCGACTCCTTTTTATGGGAAAAAATTAATCAAGCCCCCTCTCCATTCAGCCCCCTCCACTAATAAGCTTCCCCTCCAATAAGGCACCCTTAGTTCTCCAACAACCCATTTCTATAACCCATTTCTATATTTCCGATAAGCCCCCTTCTTTCCAATATGCTCTCTCTCTCTATCCAATATGTCCCCTCTCCCCCCCCCCAAAAAAAAAAAAGAAAAACGTTTGAATGAAATGAACATGAAAAAAAACCAACACTGCTGTGTCAACATCTTAGCACATTTGTTCTCGCACATTGTACTCGCATATTGACGTCAGCTCTACCAATTGAGCTATCGAATCAACTGAATGGAGCACAGGTTGTAATCATGTATGGCTCTGAACTGAAGTAAGATCGGATTTTGAACATTTGTGCGGAGTGTGAAACTAACAAATCAACACCAAATATCTAACCATCAATGAAAAATTCAATAATAAATAACTTTATTTGGTCTTAACCATTTGTATAGTGGCAATTTTTTTTTCGTTATGTTTGTTTATATTTCTTTTACTCTATGTTTTCAAGTCTATTCGTACGTTTTCTCACACCGAGGCTTGGCTATTTAAAATATAATCTTCTGTATCTCCCAGAGAGGCGTCGGAATGTAAGCCTCGTTTCCATTTAGTCGAGGCGATCGTAAGCATCAATGTGGCTAGTGTAAGACATTAAGACTGACCGCGGCAAACCGCTAATTACAAATGGCAAACTTCATTCATGCTTCAAATTTATGGCACAAATCGTCTAAACTTCGAACAGCTAACAGTTGATCTCAAAATACTACTTGCCGTTTTCCGTTCGTACGTGGTTAGCGGTCTGCCGTAAATGTCAATCTTAACCTCTCTTATCAATATCTTCCAGGGGCCGGTTGTTCAAAGCTGGGTTAGCTTATCCCTAGGTTAAGGTTACACGTACAGAACACCCTTTGAGTGTTAATTTTGCCTAAATTTATTTTATTGGTTTCAATGAAAGCATTAGACTAGTTCTACTATCTGACCAAATTTGAACGAAAAATGTTGAAAACTCGCAGAGTTATTTAGTAAAATACATTTCGCTGCAATAAGAAAAACATTGAAAATGTAATATTCAAATTCAATTTTCTCCCGAAAAATTTAACGGTAATTACTGATGTTCAAACGAGTTGTGCTCCTGCGGGTTGTAACCAATTTTTCTCAAATTTTCACAGGACATAATTAAATACGTCAGTTTCAAAATTGTGTTCGGCTTTTGTTTAATTTTGGATATTTTAAAAATAAAGAGCAATTCACTCAAACAATTCAGAAATATATTGCAGTCGTCAAAGAAATCGCCATATCAGCGGAATGACGAAATAAACAAAAAATTCCGAACACAATTTTTTAGAACAACTATTTTAAGGTATAAAAATGATATTTTCATAAATATAACTTAAAACCAGCAGGAGCACAACTCAAAAGCGTAACGGTATCGCGATTTAAGATTTTCCTTATTTCCATTATAATTCTTACATTATTTTATTGTTTGTTAATTTTACAACTTTACCATATTTTGCATGCACTGGAGAACATTTGGTGAAAATTTGATGAAAATCGGACTGATATTCCGCAAAACGCCAAAAAGGGTGTCCTGTAACCTTAAAACTCAAAGCAAACTTCCCAAGAGCTTGGTTATAAATTTGGAAATATGTCTTCGGAGATCTTGTCTGAATCAGTAGGAGTTTTCTTCTCTGAAGTTTTGAAATAAACAGACGTGCAGAAAAGCATAAACTGAAACAGCAGATTACATTTTAACCGAGGATCAGGGTTAACCCAGCTTTGAACAACCGATCCCTGGAATAAAAAATTATGAAGACAAATTTGCATACAGCAAACAACAAGCCGTGGAAGATCCAACCTATACTGACCATGACTTGATCACGTCAGCCGCGACTAAATGGTAACCAGGTTAAACTACTTGGAAAGAACTGCAATCTGTGTATAAGGATGACTGTACTGAATATTTCTTTCACAGACTGTTGTCGACTTGTCTATGAGCTGGCAGTGGCCAATAATCTATGATTTCCGACTGCATGTTGGAACAAACGTCTGCAAGCCCTTAATGACTTGTGCGTTTTCCTATATTATTCTCTTTATCTTTCACCGAAAATCAGACCACTACATATAATGAAAATTAATAACATTTTCTCTCTCTGATAATTGTTGGTTGACGACCGTCTGCTGCACGATAGTGTTTAGTGAAGCCCAGCTAAAAATAATGGCAGTAGAATGCCCACTGTCCCGGGGTTCCGACGCCTCGGAGATATCATCGTCCACCGGACTTTTTAGAGGGTCCACAATAGGCATTTCTGGACGCAGGATAACTTTTATTTTAGAGACTGGATATGAAAGGAGGAAAAATGGCGGAATGCGAAAGTCACAGGGTGAGGAGAACAAACGGAAAACGTGAAAGATTGTTGGAAAATTTGAACACGGGATTTGAGAATATCCTATTGTGCACCCTCTTATTGCCAAGCTTCCTTCAGTGTTCCCTGATTTATGTTTGAATATGCTATGTAAAATACCGTATATGTAACCGTAAGTATTTACAGAACTTCAGGCATATTGTTGTCCCAATCTGCTTGGGTCACTAGTTGTTCGCGTTTACGAGGTTCTGACGTTAAATGTCTTAGAATAAGTGGATCTCAGTGAGCCCAAGACCGTAGCAATTTTCTTTTCCACTGAGATACACTTACTGATCTGTGTGTTATAAACCGAATGGTGCAACACCACATGAACCACCCAACGTTTTCTTATATGATAACGGTTGTTGTTTAGTTGGCGATAGACCCGAGGGATTACAGGATCACACTACTTGAAAAGTATGACAAGAACTACTTTGTTTTGATAGACGTACGGCTCTAAGACTTACGAATTGACTTCATTTCTGTATGAGATCAGTTTCATTTCAATTTTGTCTATCCAGTCTATTATGAGATCAGTTCCTGGCTTGAATCCAGATCGGATGGACCCTGGAATGACGTTTCGAGAGAATTAGGACGAACGGCATTCCAAACATAGGCGTACGGGATGGAAAAAGTTAGGGGGGGGGACAGAAAAAAATTTGCCCGACTTTAAAAAAAAATTCATTCCAAACTTCACATATTCGAATATTTTCTTACATATTTCTTTAATTTTCGGCTATCATCTTACATATTTCTTTCTCTTACTGATTAATTTCCAAACGTCAAAGTTCTTGTTATAATTTTGACGGTAGTTTGATCCGGTAATCCATCAAGTATAATATTTTCCTCATAAACTATATTCGATACTCCTTTTGAAGGCATTGAATGACCTTGTAACACACAAATTAACTAGTTCTAGTCATGAAATAATCACAGCGCATAAATTGTTTAGGAAGCATTTGGGATTACGCGGTCCCGTTTATACAACACACAGGTCAGTGGAGCATATGTTGTTTTTTACATATAAGTTAGTATCATAAAGTTATAGCTACAAAAGCTGCGGCCGTTTTCTTGGATTTCCCATCGGGCTTTGCAATCTTCGCTGTTTATACGTAACTTGAACAACGGTCGTATGGGGCAGCGGTCTTTCACAAGCAAATGCAGACGTTTCTTGAAGAGGTCTGGAAACTATTGTTTGGCACATCTACATTTGCAAAAACGTCGACGACGTATTCGACTACATCGGACAGTTATTCTTTGCCCACGGTTTTTTGACTTCCACTTTTTGTGCATACATCTTAAGTATCGCAGGCAAATTTTGCTGCCTTGTCTTTTTCTATGCTTCCTTTTTTCTTGAGATAAAAACTCATGACTTATTCTCCGTCTTCGGATGTTTCGCTTTGCATGTCGTTTTTTCTTGATTTTTACTTCAACCTTAAGAAATTTTGTCGCTCGTTGGTTTGCGACAAGAACTTTCGTGAAGAGTTTTGGCTCTCCTGTATGTCTGAACGCCAGATAGCGTGATACTTTCTTCTTTTTGCCATATTTATCTGATATAAATTGTACGTATCCGTCTTGTGTACGTACTATTCTGAAAAGACATCGTTTCATATGTCTGCCTTTTTTCTCATTCTGAAATAAACAACATGCTTCTTGTTACACGGTAGAATACTCGGACAAAAACTAGATGAATTATAATCATTCTCTTCCCGTTTGTACTTTATTTTTTGTCGTTAATCTTGTTCCAAAGCAAAAAGATTAAAAAGAAAGTGCAATTCCTGGCCTGTACAGCCATGAGGTGTTAGAACATTAAGGGCGTCAATCCTGGGGGGGGGGCGTATACCCGCACTATTTGGGGGTGGGGGATAAATATATAATTCCACGATTCATGACAGATGATTAATAGTTAACTATATTGGTCAGATTGACATCATTTTGCGATTGAAATTCTTACTTTTTAAAAAAATTATTTTCAATAAGTATAACAACCTCTGATAGCGCCCTATTCGACAGCAGTTCTGTGTTAATTTTAAAAATTTAAATATATTTATTTTCTCGTAAATAGTACAGTTGTTGTGAAAATACCATACCGGCCGGTTTAATGACCTTCGTCCCCACCCCCATTTTCTAGGTACGTACAAAAGCGACAATCCATTCCAAAGAGTGGGGGGACGAAGTGGACCAATGGACTTATTTTAATATAGATTATATAACGAATGTCCCCCCCCCCCCAGGATTGACATCCTTATATGCATTTTCCCTCTGTAAATGGAGTTTAATTTCTGTTTAAAGACTTCGATTCCTGTAGTGTGCAGTTATCTGATTAAAAAATCAACTCTCTAGCAAGCATGTTTTCACTTAGCCTGCGTGCAGCCTGACTTTTCAACACCACAGATCAATGTCGATATTGCAATTTGTACAAAACAAGTTAAACAACACGGCATACTCACCAAGCCAATAATTTCTCCTTTGACGTTCATACAAATGTAATAATTACTCTTATAATGTTTTATTCGAATTTTTCCGAATGTATCTGTTTCAGTGATTAAGAGTGCTAGGAAAACGAAATAAAACAGGTGTTAGTTAAAACCATACAAACAAACTGGTGGATTGTTTCAGGAAGGTATATGCCAAACTAAAATGAGGAGTTTTGGGTATCTTACATGGAAATTGTGAGTGTGAATTTTATACATTTATTGGGGAAGCCTCACATATCGATTTTGTCCATGAGAAACGTCATATGTTCGTTTCTCTGGAGACCCCACCCCACCCCCCTTAGAAACGTCACACATAGCTATCGATATTTTATTTTAATATAATACACATAAGGTAATTTTCTACTATTTTCTACGGTCGGCTATTGGCGATGCTTCCGCGAGGAATATGTCATCTTCTACTGACATATTTTTATTAATATATGTGAACTTCAAAATTTCCAACGTTTCTCAAAACAACTTTTTTTTGTATGACATATTGATAATTCGAGCGCGTTTCTTGAAATTTGAGTGTTTTCAATGCAAGGAAGGCGTAATAATATAAATGTATACGTACGTATAGAACAGGTGTGGGATTACGAATGTATAGACTGTTGTTTGTATCAAGTTGTTTTCTTTTTTATATTGTGTAAAGATGATTCCGAAATGTTAAGGCTTTCGAAAAAACTATCGAATTTTTCCATGATGTTTACAGAGAAACGTCACAACTGCAAACTCCCCCACCCCTAAACGAACATATGACGTTTCTCGTGGAAAAAAATCGATATGTGAGGCTTCCCTTGGACCTAAAACAGGACCTAACAAGTATCGAACCTGCGGTCCTGCGATTCCGGTGCAGCGCTGTAACCAACTGAAATACAGAGGTCAGTTGTCGAGCTCCAACCGCAAGTTCATGTACACAGCTATTTCAGTTAATGAGGTGGTCCACGAGCAAAGCGGAAAAGTCGAATACGAGCGCAAAAGGCTGCTGGGAATCGCTAACAAATTGGTTATCATTCCATGTTTCGCGCACCAATATAGGTTAGGGTTAGGGGTTAGGTATTAGGGTTAGGGGTTAGGTTAGGGTTAGGGTTAGGGTTAGGTTTAAGGTTGGAGTTAGGGTTAGGGTGTGTTATATGTCTATGGAGGTATCTAGTGAACTTTTCAGTACACTATAATATCCATTACATAACGTTTACTATATTGGTGCGCGAAACATGGAACGATTACCAACAAATGAATGAATTTTCATAGCGATTCCCAGCAGCCTTTCGCGCTCGTATTCGACTTTTCCGCTTTGCTCGTGGACAACCTTAATTGAAATAGCTGTATACTAAGGTTTCCTGCCTGAGGGCCTACAGTTACATTTTCCGCAACTGCTCTGGTTTATAGGTCCAATAAATGTATAAAATTCACACTCGCTATTTCCATCTACCAAACGTTTCTACAAACTAAAATGATCATGTTTTGTGACAGGCTTGTCCAGTGGCGGCGCCAGGCCTCAGAATTTGGGGGTGGGGGGGGGGGCATTTGAGGGGCAATACCAAGATGGCTGCCACTATGAAATTTTAGTTGACGATGAAAACAGGCTTTTAGTATATAATTTTTTTGTTTACATTGACTGATCTTTGATAAATTGTGAAGGTAAATATATATAGATTTATACCATCAAAATCTCAAACGAAAATATCCGAAGAAACAAACAAAATAATCAAAATATGTCCTCGACGAAAAACAAGAGTCCTGATCTCTCGTTTATGAGATATCAATTCGACGAATTTAAAAAACTCATATTTGGGGGGGGGGGGCAAGATAGAATTTTTAAAAAGGTCGCCCCCCAGGAGATTCGCCCCCCTCTCAAAAGGGGGGCGAATACCCTAGGAATATCGCCCCCCCCCCCTTTAGGATATTCGCCCCCCATATATGCGATGTGGTTTATATATATATTCAAATAATTTCGTGATACTTTCATCTTATTAGTGCCTTACACGTTTGAGAATTTAACTCTGCAAAACTAAAGCTGTTTTGTCTTTTTTGAAACGTATTATTGGAGTATTGGCAAGTTTTACGTACATTCAGAGATTTACAAACTAATATTGAAACTGTAAAAAACAGTTTCATGTATACGCGCATTCACTAATGAGTAATGACAACTTATAAGCCATACATTTTCCGATAACGACAAGGCGGTTGTGTAGCCTTTAGTCGCTCTTAGTGGCTAATAATTTTTTTGAGCGGGGAGGGGGGGACAAAATGGGGGGCAAAAAATAATTGGGGGGGCATTCCCCCCCCCCATGCCCCCCTTGGCGCCGCCACTGGGCTTGTTTAATTTTAAAAACAAAACTAAAGTAATCAGTGATCAACTTTTTGGGACTCGCTCTTTAGAATATTTATTCTTTCGTTTTACTATAGCATGTGTTCATTGTTATGAGTAACTAATCATATTATAAGGTGGTGACTCGTTTAGGGCGCTCACACACCCAAATTTTCCCGATAGCACCCTTTCTCTAAAGAAAGGGGCTTTTTAAAACTAATGAAGCGAGGGATATTCTTTCTTCCCAAATAGAAAATGAGGCCTTGTGCAAGTGATGTCTCTCCAAATTTAAACTGTGTATAGAGAGCGTTTGCACTCATTCCCCAGGAACCAACTCAACAAAAGCCATGGCGGCCATGTTGGTGCATATACCCCCGGTGGCAAAGTGGTTAGCGCACTTGCCAGGTTCAAATCTCAGTGAGAACTTCTCAATGTGACTCGAACCCAGTCCTCGTGTGAAAAGAATAAAAGTCAACGCTCTGCCGAAAGTCGTGGATTTTCTCCGGGTACTCCGTGTTTCCTCCCACAGGGAAAGTTGACAGGGTGGGTTAGGCACATAGGTCTGAGGTATGGACTACTGCTCAAGCGCCATTTGTAAGCTCAAAGTCTACCTCGGTCTGCTTCACGTCAGTCCGGTTCTATCTATCTATTCATAATGTAACCAGTCACTGAAAAGCTGTGAAATATCTGTATGCTGTGAAATATCTGTATGTGTGTATGTGTTCCAGACAAAAGAGTCGAATTAAAATTATTTTGAACACCAACATGCGGCTGCGCACTGGGAACGAGAAATAATAATATTATATAATTAATATCCATTGCCTCTACGGTCCAAATTCTCCCCAAAAAATGCTGTACTATTAAATTTGAATACACTACTAATTAACATAATGTGCTTAGTAATTAGCAAAGCAAGATATTTGCAAATAAATAGTCGTTGCATTCTTTTGTTCATGTTCCGTTTCGTCCTATAACGTTAAGAGCCTCTAACGCGTTTGTATTCATAAGCTACTCATGTTCTGCCTTCGTGCAAATATTGCAAGATATTAATAAAATGTTGGTTATACACACAATGTAAATAGCCCCCTCGACGAATCTAAATAAACTTTAACTTCAAAGATGAACGGTGACATCGCGTTCATTTGTAAAACGACAAACAGCAAATAAAATTTTCGTTGGAATGCGATGTCGACAAGTTATATTAAAACTATATATTATGCATGTTATTCTGCATGTAAAATGATCCGTTTGCCTTCGGTTGTGAAGTTTAAACTCTCACTATTTTTGTCTATTTTTCATCAAATATTTCAATGACTTTATTGGGTTAAATGAACAACTTATATACAGTATATACACAGAATTGAGACCCAAATGGAATTGGTGCGAACGGGGCATAATAGATTACACCACCCACGAGCACTCTTCCAACAAAATACGTACATAATATTTAGAATAAACAGTTCTAATTGGAATACTAACGACAGTTCGTGCAATGAGACAGTCAACTCCTGTGGCAAGGACAATCACACGATATAGACCAGTCCAAGTACATAACAGGTTTACATCAAATACAGTACTCAGTAGAATAGGACTATTGTTTGTAATGTTAAAATGTTTTGACACTAGAGTAGTAGAGAAAGTATTTGGAGGAGCTACTTTGCAAGCACTGTTCCATAATTTTACAACCTGTTGAAATAAGAGTTCTGACGTATGTAATGGTGTTATACATAAAGGAGTTTTGATCATCAGATTTGGATTCAGAGTAAGGTGGGAACGATTGTGGGTGACAAAAGAGACATAGTTGTGGGCGTTGAGGTTAGAGATACCATAAAAAGCCTTGCAGAAAAAAACCCAGATCTTTAATTTCTCTGTCATAACACAAAAGCAACATTTCTAAATGTATTTCTGCTAATTTGCTTGATTGAGAGACCCAGTGGGGTGGATAGAATATGAATGTTTATGTTGTAAACAGTTAACATTTCGAAGAAATTTTTATCACATTTTCCTATTTGGGAAGCCAAAGTTGCCTGCAGAGAAGGAAAAGAGAATACTTCAGATATCCAACATAGCGTTTCAAATACTGTCACGATATCCCGGAGGCTGAGAAGCACTGACCGTTTCGTTTTTGAAGGTGGGGGAGGGGAATATATATAGTCCGTTAATTCTGTGTGGTCTTCTGTGTTAAATCTTGGCAATGCCACACCAAACAGAAAAGTCCAAGGAAAACATTTAGAATTCTTCCTGTCAAGAAACCTTTTTAGTTATATTGATACATCAGTCGTGCAACAGGTCTGCCTCAAATCGTTCGAAGTATTCAAATAACCCATTGGAAATGTGTCGTTTAGAGATCGTGGTGAGACCGGGACCCTGTTCTTATTTCTGTTAATATGAGGATATTTTTTCTGAGATTCATGTACTAAAAACTTCCCTCGTATAAATTGCACAGACACATATAGCAGATCAAACAAAAAACCTTTGTCGGTAAGAAAATATTCACGGAATGTTTGTTTAAAAGTTTACAATGTAAACAGAGGCAAAATAAAGACCATGCTGGCGATTTTGTAACTTCACGGTGAGTCCTCACAGTTTCTGAATGCTATTTTTAATTGATGCTTGTTTTCTGACATAATTCCCTTTAAGCATACGATCGGTGTGCGTAAAAACACGCAGATCTGTTTTTGTTGTTGCCCTTCATCTCACAAGGTCATTGTTCCAGCAAATTAGTGTTGAGCTAACACAAACATAAGACCATGTTTATCTGACTGAGTCTGAGTAAACATTCAAGGTGACCGCACAAATATTAAATATAGGCTGATGGTAATGCTTACTGAAAAGCAACTATTTGAAGATTTGAACTTTGTAGGGCGGTTATTCAAACAAGAAAACAAACAGTCTCGTGCAAGGCATTCCCTTGCACACGATTTTCAACTTTAAAAAATGCCTGAGAAAAATGTGACAGCATGCTGACTGCAGCCAATAAAAAGTCGTACAACAGAATATCAGCCAATCAGATTCAAGCAATATCTTTATGTGAAATTTCTCTTGAATGAAAGACACCACACGTTTATTCTGTCTTCTTATATTGTAATTTTGGAATATTTTAAATGGGAATACCCATTTAATTTTTTCACTTGTATTCAAGCTTGGTCAATTATATAAGCCATGTTTCCTTATGAATTGCAAATATTCTTCAGTTCCATTCAAACAAGGAAAGACTAGACTGGTAATAAATGAATATCATCTATCATTACCATCGTATAAGGTAAACATTAAACTTATACTAGTCAAGAAAAAACACAGCCCAGCCCATTAGCAAAAACACAAATATTTGTGTGCATTTATGAAAAGACATTTATAAGTACAAAAATATTTCCATTAGTGTTTTTTTTTCTGTTTGACTTTGTCACTTGCCCTGTCAAGAGAGATCCAAAACGACTAAAAATATTCTTTATTGGCTTGTTATAGAACTTTATACTCCGCTTATAGTTGAGAGTGAAATAATTTGAATGTTTCACCGATCTGAAATAGCACTGAAGCGAGGCCTGGCCCCCTAGATGCAAGCATAACGCAATAAATTCACGAATGCTAAGATGCGCAATGAATATGCAGCGCAAAATTGAAATAAGATACGTATGGGAAGATCCTAACCACAAAAATTCTTTCAAAAATTCCCAAAACTTGCCCAAATTTTAAAATCCCAAGTGCCGAAACATCACTAAAAATCCCACAAAAAATCCCTGGGTATTTTTGCAGGGATTTTCACAAAACAACTTTTTCAACGTGTTTCCAGCTAGAAAACTCTAAAAAGCTCAATGTGTGAAACGTGTTTACATGAGGAAATCGTTTTTCATGTTCGTTTAATTTGTTTTCATTCCTGTGCGTTCTGAGAGGGTACAGTAACAAAAGCACAATATGAGTGCATTAAAACACTTTCGTAAGCTTTAATCGAGTTTGTTTTGTTTATCAACGAACCTTTAAACTGCATCTTATGCAGCGTCAAATCGACGTTTTGAGGGCACATGAAGTCTGACACCGAAGGTGCCATGTCCAAGGGGAAGACGTCACATGCAGATAATTACTGGTTGACTGTATATGTACGAGAATCCATCATTGTACATTGTTATGTACAGTATTTCAGTGTAACATCTGACGGTTCGTAGGTTCTACGTGTTGGCTGATGAAAGCATTGACACTGTGGACAAGGGATATTAAAACCAACATAAAGATTAGACTCTATGTAGGTCGATTCAGAAACACTGTTTCAGTCGGGTAAGAACTATAAATTTATAAATTCATATATTACAAATTATACACACGAGAAGGATCTTATATATATAGTACACGAGTAACAGATAATTTTACGCAGAAAATCGATTCCCGTCGAACATTTATTTTCGTCGCATCAAGACAGTGGATCAGTATGGTGCAGATTTCCTTTGTGGTTTGTTCATGAATATAACTATGATTTGAGAAGATTTATTTACCAACTTTGTACTGAACATGGATGCGATTGTACAGGTTCCCTTTGACTTTGTGTTTTGTTCACGAGTATTATAAAGATTTTTTTATCAACTTTAATCTTTATGCAGAAACATGTTCCTTCATCATAAAAATTAAAATCTTGTAGGGAGCCCAACTTGGACGTAATTATGAATATTCCTTTTCTGTGTTGTTCATGACTATAATGATTTGATAACATCTTCCTTGATCATAAGATCTTGTGGAAAGCTGAATATGGATGATTCCATGTTTAAAGTTTATTCCGCGATCCAGATCCGCGTTATTTCTCCACCTTTCACCTAAATAGGTCTCCCATTGTTTTCGCCAGCGGGTAGTGGGGTATCCGCGGATCAGATAATTTATGCCATTTTCCTAATCTTTGTGCTTTCCGATTTTACACATTAGATTTATCTGATAACTGATATGTCTAGCCACAAAATGCATGTTTTAATCCGGTAAATATTGAATAGTTGTAACAATGTCGCTGTCTTTACTTGTCAACCACGGCATGTATCCAAAATAAGGAGCTCAAAGCCAAAGGGCTTATAGCATCTCGGACCCCTTGGCGAAAAGTCACGTCTATTATTGTTATGCAAATTCAGAATGCCTTTCTAGAAGCTAGTCATTGACCGGCTTAATCAACTGAAAGAGATTACAAGAGAAATAGTTTTGAAGCGAATTTGGTACTTTTGCAAACGAAATCGCGCATGCGCATAATTGCGCTATTGTGGATTATATTCACCTTGGTTTCCCGTCCTTGGTATACGGTGAAACTCGTAAACATCTCTCTGTAAGGTATATTACATGAAATTGTTTCCATATGATGGAAGATTAAGACTGACAAATCAAAGTTAGAATTTGAGATTGTTCTTGTCTTAATTCACTTAATGGATCAATTAAGTCGAAAACATTGTGTTAGATTTAACCTTGCATATAAGTTTCAAATAAATGAATTTTTGAAATATTAGTCCAATATGCATGCATATGTATCCTATAAGGCTAGAATCGTATCTTGAAAGTGACAAGCATTGGATTCTGTTTAATTTTACAGTGTAATATAAAAGCTGTAATTTTTCTTATAGTTATTTACAGAACTGGTTCCAGTCTATTACAAGTCATAATTGGGTCGTAACCAAAGAAGATTTTTAATTACATAACAACTGCCTAAAACCTGTTAAATTTGGCAACGTCAATAGCAATGTGTATCATACAATAATTCATCATATCATAGTATAACTAGACCAGAGCATAAAGAGTTTTTGTGATGGAAATTTCAATGAATGAATACGGAGCGAAGACGTGGTGCTGTAATCGATATTTTTCACGATGCTTTTGAATCATAAGCGCAGTGGGAATAAACAAATAAAGACATAAAGTGTTTGTGAAATTTATTACAAAGGCATAGGCCATAGCATATGGAAGAAATCTAGTCTGTTACAGCATGAAAACAACGCTTTCATTTTGGTTCCAGATATTGAGTATAATCTTGTTAATGCTTTTGAGCGAACTTTGACTGTTCAGCATTACCAAGTTAAAAACATGACATGGATCAGGAGACAGTATAGAAATATTTAATATAGCGCTTAATGTCTGAATGGATATTTAGATCCTCCCACCCCGACACTCTGTCTCTGCTGTATTTAAAGTGTAGTAGGATTCCCGCAGTACTCTACACAAGGACTAAAGGGGGTCACGCATTCTCTCATGCATAGATAGGCATGGCCATGGCTCTATCAGCAATAAGTGTTCTTCCTAGAGTTCTAGTTAGGACTATTCTTTATTTTTCCAATGTTCCTACAGAAGGAATTTGGAGTATTCGGGTGTTTAAGAGTAAAACAGGAAGCACATTTCTCACATGAGAATGAGACAAAGCATGCAAAATTATAACCAGACAACCGCATAATGCAGGAATTAAGCCCTAGTTGCAATTGTTCCGCTCACGGGTCGACCGTCTGCCATACCCACTGGCACTGTGCTACCACTTTTCCCGGCAAAACTTTGTTATTCATGCGTTCTGGTAAATTTTTCCTTTAGTTCGAATAGACACGGGTGTAGTCTCCCTAATGACTTCATATTGATGGGAAAATTTATATGTGGACAAATTCTTGAGAAAAACTGTTGATAAAATTCTATGAGTTACCTTCTAACCGTTGCCACGTATAAATGCACGTGTAAATGCACATGCATAATTAACATAATTGACGTAAATAATAACAGATTTGCAGGCCAATCAAAACACGTGTACACATAGTTCGCCTTCCGTTATTCTTGGCACATCTTTAGCGAAATTTCAGCGTAAGTTCTTCAAATAACTGAAATAATCCGAACCAACCCCGCACCCTCAGGAAACGCCTTAATTGACACCCGCAGGAAGTTTTCACAGTTAAATGGTTATCACATTTTACAATGGTGTTTTGATAATAAATAATTGTGGTCTCTTTTTCATTCTTTTTGTGCCATAAGTTTTATATAAATATTTTTTCGTTGTGTTTCTAGAAACTTCAGACGAAATATTCTCATATTTCTAAATATATATTGGAAAGTAGTCGAATTAGTATTTTTATTCTTTTTGACCAATCGTTTCAAACTTTTCTATCTTGTTAGCTTTGCATCTATACACGTTGCGTTAAAGGAAATATCCCATAGGTCTTCTTGTAAATTGGAAAGTAATATGCCTAACTCTTAACTCTAGAATGTCAAATCAAAAGATTGGATTCATACACAAGCAACATTTCCATGGTTAACGAGAAGGCAAAGACAGCGTTTTAAGTACTGTTTAATAAACGAGTAGGAGTGTTTTGTCGCATATAAAACACGACGCGTAGCGGAGTGTTTTATCATATATAAAACACGAACTACGAGTTTATTAAACAGCTTCAAAAACGTCTCAGTTAGATCACGGCATTGGCGAAATAATTTTCCAAAATAACTTTGTATTAGCTGAGAAAATACAAGTTGAAATTTGAAGCGTGTTTTATCACATATAAAGACACACCACGCTTATGATTTCTCTTTGTGTTTTCCTCATGAATTATTAATGAGTTTTTGAATATACGTCTTACATATTCCAGTGTTAAGTTTTATTGCATATGAATCTCAAGACATCTAAGCATCTATTTTAACCATGGTCATGGAAACTATGATTGAAATATACTCGTCTTATTTTATGCGCACGATAGCATAATTTTCCTTAATTGAAATTCATTTGCTGCGCACCATTAACAGGTGGTTTACAGAATGTTTGTAAAATCAACATGAGTTATCTGTATAGGCAAGATTACAGACCCACATGAGCAGGAAGGATCTTTTCCTTTCTCACGTGGCAGGTGTCGAAACTAGCTGATAGAGTAATCAACATAAACTGATAACTCGTAAGAAATTAATTACGTACCAAAACTATTGACAACGGAAAAGGGATGGTTATGCCTCGTGTCAGCCCCTTTCCTGAACGAAAACATGCAGGACTGTAATGAGTTTTGAGTATATGAGTTTATCGGAATCATTGTCTTTTATCCCAAAACAAAAAAATGCTTGATTACCTAGCCTTTGCCTCGTGCCATCGTTCCACGAGTTTTGGGACTGCACGCAGCTATGACAGATTACCATGCTATTCTTACTAATGCTCATGGCGAAGCTCATGGGGCTAGTTGCCTAGGTTAAAGAATACCTAGGTGTACCTTTCAAACTTTTGATTGAATTTTCATTAAAAAATGGTGATTTTTCAACAGTTGTGAAAATTATTGAAAAGCTATATAAAACCACGGACATGACATGACAAAGTAAGAGTTAATTACCGAGAACGAGGTTTCTTAGCGAGATACAACCCGAGGGGCGTGTCCCGAAGAAAGCATCCTACGGCCCTCGGGATGCTTTCTGAGGGCAACGCTCCCGAGGGATGTATCTCGCTAAGAAACCGACGTTCGAGGTAATTAACTGACTTAGTTCAAATTTGTAAGGATTGAAAAACAATTAAATCTACTTTTTTGTCGAAAATACTTGCATTGAATTAAGAGAATAACGATTGTTACCATGGGGTCCATATGAAAATGAGATTGAAACGTGTTCGAACTATGTAGCGACGAAAAAAATGCTTCCAGGCAACCGGAATCAGATGAAAATGTAGGCTTATGGAAAGAGAATTTTTGCAAGCAAATGACGAACCATTGGGAGTTGCAGTGCTCAAACTAGACAGAGATAAACAAAGAGTCTTGAAAAACGCGTATTGAGCGTATACCGAATATACTGTAGGCACAAGACACAACACCATCTGGGCAGTTCGATCGTATTTGGAAAGAGTGGGCCGAAGGTAGAAGCGCTATAACGAACAATATGTGTATGGGTTTGTCGAAGCAAAGATTCTAAATTTGTTTTCATTAGGGTTTTATTTGAATAATTTGGGTAAGAATCTAAAGGCAAGTGGAGGGAATTTGACATCTCTATAGGGAAAAGGGGGGTTGATGAATAGAATTCAATTGAATTGATGATTAAATATTCACCAGGTTTTATCTAAGTATATAAAACCTGATTTTTGCGGGTTTTATATATATATAACCCGCAAAAATCCGGGTTTTATATAGATAAAACCTGTGAATTTATAATTATTAATTCAATTCTATTCATCAACCCCACTTTTCCCTGGAGAGATATCAAATCCCTCCCCTTGCTTTAAGAATCTTACCCGAATAAAACCCGACTGAGAACAATAGAAATCCGCACAAATTTGAACTAATAATAAAAAGAGACTTTAATTTATAAATACTATAAAGTTTAATCTGACCAATCAACGGGCAATCCCGGAAAGCTTGAAAACTCACTCTCCGCCTCCCGTGAATAGTGCTATCCGGCCTTCGTACAACCGACCGCCGTGCTTTATATTTGAATTGGCGCTGCAGCATCATTCAATCAAACAACATATTTTACTTACTTTTATTACAGAGTAATTTACGCATCTCCCTTGCCTAACGCTAATTATGCTAATTAGATGACTGCGTTGAAGCCTGAAAGAACAGTTTAAATTGGCTTAAGTTTCCCTTAAATTGGCTTAGCTCGGAATGAAATTATTTCAATCGGTTTAATTGTCCCAATACGTATTTTAACCATTATAAACAACAACATTAATAAGCTTTAGACAGTATTACAAATTACAACAATATCCAATTTTTGTCGTGCAGAGAGATTGTTGTGTAAACTAGTTTCGTGTTTCGTATTGAAAGGCCTTGTCGAAGTTTATAATAACAAAGTTCTAATACCAAATCATTGTTATGGTTCGAACTCGAAATTTGAAAATTCGAAGCTTGTCTCGCCGGTATGCCAGTACAAAACATTCATGTTTTGCTTTTGCTAAGAATGACAATTTGGCAGAAATCTATATGGAGAATGAAAACGCTGATCTATATAGCTATCTATTTTCATGTGCTTTCGTATTAGTAATGTATAATGACTTTTGAATATCTTTTGCTCTCAAACTGACAAAGAGTGAAAAGTTTTGTGAGAAACTATGGATTTTGATGTACGACTAGCTTATGAATTACCAGGAGGGCGACGAAACTCAACTCTGTTGATATAAAACGACTTTCGCTTGAAATGTCAAGAACAGTCTTTTTCAGATTGACAACTATAAACATCTCTATACTTTCTTTGCATGTAAGCTGAACTCGCATCTTTCATCTTAAAGTAACTCGCTTGCGTTTATTACCTCCCCCTGAGAAATACGAGGTCGACAAAAGTGGCATTCGCGTGCGTTCGCGTGATTACCTTTATTAACGAGTTATCAAAACAGACATATAACTAAACTGATTAACTTTCCTTAGCTCACGAAACGACAATGAAGAACTCCTATTGCCAAGTTTCAATAAGCGCTAAAGGATGGCAGATAATCGTCAACTTCACTTTTTTTTTCACTTCTTAGAGGAGTTGGCAGAGCAAGCTAATTAAACTATAGCCTTGTGTCCCAGTCCAATTCTAATTAAACTACAGCTTTCAACTCTCCCTCCAAGTAAACCCACCGATTGCCTAGAGGTTCCAGTACAGAGGAGCTTACGGGCAATTTACAATGATAGGATAATCGTAAGTCATTTTGAAAGGGCAACCAAGGAAATGTTAGAATATTTAAGAATAGGAAAGTAACATGAAATTCTAAGCCAGGATGATACTTCGGGTTGCTAACTTTCTTGTGGTTCGCTTATGAGTTATGGCTAGGTTTAATTCTGAACACTATCGTGCAGCAGATGGTAGCTATAACCAGTAATTTCCTATACTAATTATTTTCATGATACAAGCTGCTTTGTATATTTGTAACCAATAATCAAAGAGCCGTGGTCCTGCCATGCAATGTCAAAGCTTCTGAAACTGAAGACCATGCATCGAAGCTGACTGACATTATGCCCAAATCGCACGACTGCTCAACGATGGATCAATTAAGTTCATTCTTGAAGTACCATACACAAACCAGCTGTCATGAACAGCAACTTATCTGATTTATTGCTCCATGCTTTTATAGTGCGAGATAAAATATTATTTTTGCGAAAACATATCCGTAAAACCAATAAAGCGTGGACATTTGGATTTCGACATTGAATCCGGAAGAATGATTAATTCAAGGAGGCATTTATTTTGATGATAACGAGACCAACAATGTATAAAAACTGTCAAGATTTCTGTTTTGCAAAGTGTGGGTTCTCACCATGTTGTTTTTTCTTTTGCATAATGTTATTTTTAAGTCACATGACAGTGCATATCAGACTTATTTATCCATTAATATACTTTGCTTTTAAAAGGTACTTAGTCTAATGATTTTATTGTAAATAACAGTTATGAAAAAAATTGCAGGATTGTACAGGTCAGAAAGAGTAAAATTCAAGCTTTTTTGAGGCCTTTCAAGACCACGTATATTCACATTGGAAATTCAAGAACTGAAGGCCTGAAAAGACGCCGTTAGAAATCAGTAAAAAGTGACGTTAATTAAACTATTCAAACTGCAACCTTCATAAATTTCAAACAGCTTTGTAAAAAAATGAACAAAAAAATCAACTCAACAAATCCGTTTTTTAGTGTCGAACAATTTCAGAAATTAAGGACTTTAAGTACTTCTTTATAAATTCAAGGAATTTCAAGCAATCAAGGCCTTGAATTTAGGTATTTTTACACTTGCACGCGGTTCTCACGGCCAGAAAGAATATATAGTTGGTTTCATGGTTTGATTATTCAAGATTGAAGCGATACATTTCATCTCCTTTGAATTTTTTTTCAGTTAACAACTTTATTGAATATTAGAATATTAATTAAACGGTCGAAAACGGAAAGATGCGTGCGGGTCAGTACGTCTCATTTTACTCTGCATTACGTAATGAACATATGCTAGCTATATTGACTGTTTCCAAAAGGTTGAAGCCGAGGTTGCCGGGGAATGTATAATGATTCTTCGAATGGTCTACACCATTGGGGATATTATTAAAACATATTAAAACATGCCTATTAGATTAATCATCACTTGGTCTGTCGAAAGATAAGCTTAACTTTATCACAGGCTATTTTTATCAGTTCAGTGGACAGTGATAAAGTGCAGACCCAACCTTCATTTCAAAGATGTCGCTATATCGTAAGAAATGATTGGGGATTAGATTTTCCTTTGAAGTTTGCCGCGATTGCGGACATTATATTTCTTTAAGAAATTCACGATAAATCAAACTTGGCTTTATTAAACTCAATGTCATATGTCAAGTGCTTTGTAAAAAGAGCTGAAATTTTTGTGTGCTTTTAATCCATTAGTGTCATGCAGTAAAAAGTGTAGGCGCATGTTTGTACTGTCTGTTAGTTGTACAGCGGATTTTATTGCCAAAGGGAGAAATGTAGTCAAACAAAAACAGTACGATTCATCAGCGTGGGCTAATGTCTGTTTGGACACTCCCGAAAGCTTGAACAACAGTCTTGCCTTTTTAAGTCAGCTTTTTCCTCCGCGCTGAGAGAGTAGTCACAATATGCTTGAGGGCAGTGTTGTACAACATACAAGCAATGTGCTCTGCTACCTATAATTCAATCATTGATTTGGAAGTAAGATAACCCTATTAAATTAAATTAAGCACAGTTTCTCTAAATATTTCATATAAGCTATACTTTAGTCACTGCAGCCTGCAGGTAAAATAAGCGTGATAAGAGTCAACTTTCGTGTGAAGATTAAAAGACATTATGAATGTATAAAAATAATACTAACAGAAACTATGGCTGAAGAAGGTACACCACAGTGGAGATACAAAATTACAAGTTAAAATTATTTTTATTTGTTTTGGCACCTAGTACTTCTAATCTCGCATGTGTGAAGCAGACTACTTTACAATTAAAAACAAAAGCGCACTTCATCCTGGCTAAAACAACAGTGAACTGCTTCTGATGCTATACTCTCTTCACATATGAGTGCCTTTTATAGAGATTGTCTTCTAGAAGTGTCTATGAGTTTGTATAAACAAGGGCGTCCTTATTTGTAAAGGATTAGCCATTTAGCAGTAATAACAAATAATGTTTTATTGCATGAATAACAAAGTCCGCTTGAAGACAAGAAAGCATTTGGAAGTCGGTAATGAGAAATGAACCCCCCTAACGCGAACTAACAACCGTTTGTTCCGTCGCGGTGCTTTATTCAAGTTTGAAAATTAATTGTCTGTTCATAAAAGTCGGTATAGGAAGCGAAGAGGATGGAACATTGTTTATTATGCTATTTAGCTTCTATAAGAGGCGGTTGGAAGTCAGTATGCGAACGCTAATTATGCTAAACAGCGCATGCACTGCTAATGTGAATTCCGTCGCGTTTTTAGCAAGCGCATCCAATTTTGGGCCGCGAAAAGTGCGCAATCATTGCCTTCAAAAGCTGTATTCCGTCTGCTAGTGGTCAAAGCTTTGACGTATTGTTTGTTATGATTTCGCGGTCACGAGCGCTTGGCTTCATAGGTGCTGCGATATTGCCAATTATAGCGTTTCCTATATGTATGCCAAATGCCGCCCAAGATTTCATCACAGTCTCATCTGCGCTCAAGAGAGACTTTGTCGTATTATAATCGTGTTATCAAACTCTTAGTGGCAGCTAGTTAGGAATACACGACACACGATGTTAGACCACACATTATAAAGAAAATTGCTCGCAACGGGACAAAAGGAGCACGAAAGAAAAGCAAAACGTCCATGTTGGGGCAATGCTATCGGATTACAAAGTGCTGAATTGTAACTAGAAGAAATTAACTTTGTTACACTAGCACCAAGCAAAAACATATGCTTCATTCAAACCCGAACTACATCGGATCGTATACCTAACGTGCGTGCCGTGATTCTTCAAGCCTAAACGAGGTTTTAAATGCAAATTTTATTCTGAACACCTGTTGCGGGTTGCGCTGTAGAATAAAACTTGTCTATTTAACCCCATAATTTTAATAGAAACCTGACTTTACCAATTTACGTACGCTGACACCCTTGATAAAATTAAACTCACTCACCAGCGTCACTGCCCTCGGTAGCACTTGCGTTCACAGCTCTCCTTATTACTTGTACAAATTTTCCGCTGCTTTTTGAGTAGAGCCGAACAGTTGAAGCGTACGATGGAGTCGTCTTATCAGTTTTTTGTCGTTGATCATCATAATGCTTGCCAAGTATATCCTGCTGTTTCAACCGTGAGACGGAGAAAAAGAAAAATTAAGTTGATATAACTCGGCGATCGCTTAACGCGATCCAACGCTCACGAAACATGACAGCGCAGTGAAGTATAACTAACACTCACCGATGTTTCGGTATAAGCCAGCATCAATATTAAATATCTGAAACAAAAACACAGAAAGATAAACGTCCATTTATCAGAATGGCCACAACACTAGCAAGCGAAAGGTCATTAAGTGCTTTGAAATTTGATTTATCAAAAAAACCCACGTGTAAAATGACGCAGTTCCATAGCCGTAAACACGCATTTCAATTCCCCTCCTTGAATGGTTTGTACGGTCGATTATCGTCGTTTTGTGTACGATTTGTAAACCTTTCTTGGACGTCGCGTTCACTCGTTTGCCACATGTCTAGCTTGTCCGCTTGTGAAATCAATGTTTGTACTCATACCCGGGGGTAGCGGGCATCTACGTTCACTTGACTTTTCTTCGTACCCGAGCAGTGCGTTTCTATGTACACAGGCAGTGCGCACGACTCCCGTCGCTGGCGAAACATTGCAAAACGTCAAGCTTCATATAAAATTTCAATGTCCCGTCGCTGGACAAATATAAAATATCATCTCAATTGTCACATTCAAGTTTCACCGCGCAGCCATCTAATAATACGAACCGGTTTCCTGTTCCATTCAAACTGTCATATCCGAAGCGCGCACGCGCATCCGAGAGAACGCTAGGAGCTAGCCAACCTATCGTCATTCGTCATGGCTACGAGCGTTGTATTAGAATACTAAACATCAGAGCGATGCAGAAGTTAAAGGAGGGAGTTTAGTGGAGATCCAGCACGCAAACTATGCATTTTTTCGCAATCAAAGAATGTTTACTTTACAAGTGTTAAAACGTCAGATAAACATAGTCTTGGAACAGTTAATTAGCGCAATGAAGTCTATCTATGTGTGCTTGTTTTTCTAGCTTGTTTTACCATCAACAGTGAAGGTGACAAGCGATGGGCATTACACATATGTGATGTGTACCTAAAGAACACGTATTTTCACACAAGAACCGCAGCTGTCTAGATGGGCAAGCAAAGCTCAAGATAGCCGTACTGAAAAGTCCCTACAGTGAAGGTTTATGTATCGAGGTTGGAGTGCAAGAGCCCACAGGCGTGAGCCAGCAGTGAGTGCTGACGACAAGCAGTGAAGCTGGAATCGTATAAAACCTGATCTCAACAACTGGACTCTGATGTCCCTCAATCCTAAAAAAAAAATTGTTTGAAAGCAATTTTCAGTGGCTGGTGCCTTACATGGGCAAGTGACGTCGTGAAGACACCGCCCAAATTTTTTGTTGTCTCTTATAGTATCACGTGATCTAGTGCTTATTTGTTATTGATTAAATCATATTAATTCCTCTCAAAATTACTATGTTGACTTTTGTGAACTATTCACCAGGGGCCGGTAATTGTTCAAAGGTGGGTTAGCGCTAACCCTCGGTTGAAATTTAACCCGTTGTTTTAGTTTGTGTATTTCTGCACATGTGTTTATTTCAAAACATCAGAGAAGTAAACTCCTATCGATCCAGTCAAGATCTAGATCTCTGAAGTTATGGACAAGCTGTCAGGAAGTTTGCTCTGAATTTTAGCTTAACCTAGGGTTAAGCTAACCCAGCTTTGAACAACCGACCCCAGACGTTCGCCAGAAGTTAATTCACTTAACGAAATCACTCCGGAAGCCAGAGATGCGACAACATTTAATTATTGTTACGGTTTGTTTCAGTAGAGTTTTTATGGGAAAACTTATCAATGTGTTCCAAAAATAAATATATTTTGACGTAGGCTGCTTATGAACTAAGGTTAGCTACAAGAGCCACACAAGGTTAAACAAATAGTACACCTATGAGTACACCCTTCCGGAAAGTATGTTATTTTGGCCACAGAGACTCGCTTTCGTGTATTAGGCGAGCGCACGAACGTCAGCCGAAAAATGGCATATATAACTAATTTGGGCGGCTTGGCATAGCACCCGTGTAACAAAGCGAAAAACTGTATGTTTTGCAAGGGTGGGTAGTAGCGAAGTATAGTTGTAGTTCGCTACTGTAGCGAACTACAATTTTCAAGTAGCTAGTAGTTTTTGACTACTTTTCCAAAACAGTAGTTGTAGTTACAGCGAACTACATTTTGCCTAAAAGTAGCCAAGTAGTTGACTACTTTTCAAACAGCGAATCGCTATTCGCTACTTTTTAAAATTGTTAGCACCTTGATAGAATAGCATGATATTGAGACACGGTTTGCTTAAAGTCAATACTCAATAGTCAATTTGCACTCTTGAACACTGTAGTGCTTACAAACCAGGGACCGCGGAGACGGGGGGGCTGGGGGGGCTTTAGCCCCCCCACTTTTTTTGACAGCCAAAATTATTAAAATAGAAATCTAAATGAAACTTTCTAAATTAATTAAACCTTTTCTAGGCATTCTTAACTTTCGCATCTAATTAAAATGAATAAAGGCTAAGCACCAGTGCTCTCACAATCAAATTTTCGAATTCCTTAGAAAAAGCTCGAAAACTCCTCAAATTTCCTTAAAATTCCTTAAATTGGCAAAATTACCAGAAGGCCTGATCACACAGTTGCAAAACGTGTTTTTTCCTCCTTTTTTCAACTC